GCAGGTTCAGTAATCAACCCATGAAATGGGCATCCTGTAATTTAAAGGAAAACCATGGCTATGAAAAATGTTGGGACGTGTACTTGCTTGAAACCTGACTGGAAGCTCACAGAAAGTGATATCTGACATCTGAAATTAATTGGCATAGAAATTGGATATTGTAAAATTCTTACCAGAATTTTTGCTCTGGATGCTAGACCTTCATGGTTGAAAGCTTTTGGGAGCCACTGAAGGAATCCTTTTCTGTTGCCTCTATCAATGCCTTCCCCTTTGTATCAGAACAATTAAAAGCACCCATTGAGTCTCCCTGATCTTATCAATTTTAATATTTTGCCAAGAACATTTGTGTCCCACTCGCATCTTCAAAAAAAAAGAAAAAAGAAAAAAGAAAAGAAAAGAAAAAGAAAAAAGGAGGGATTGTAGGAAGTTAGCACCCACCCCTTTCCTAGAAGAGTGAAATAAAACCCAGGGACTCGCAGCATCTCGGCCCTTTTCTGTTCAGCAACTCAAACCATGTGATCCTGTCCACCATTAAACATCTTTCCAAACAGTCTCCATGTTTCCAGTGTCTTTTTCCCCACTTGGAACTGAACCCAGAAGGTTATTTCTTCCAATACTTCCTTCCTTCCTTCCTTCCTTCCTTCCTTCCTTCCTTCCTTCCTTCCTTCCTTCCTTCCTTCCTTCCTTCCTTCCTCCCTTCCTCCCTCCCTCCCTCCCTCCTTCCTTCCTTCCTTTTCTGTAACTTTAGATCCCATAACTAGAGGCACAGACCATGATCTTGTCATATTGTATGGTTTATTATGACTAACGAAGGGAAAGATTTCGGTTTTTTTTAAAAAAATGACTGCCCTATTAGTTTTTTGAAATAAAATATGTTAAAATCCAAGCCTTCTCTAGTTCACAATATACTTATTTGGAAGTAAGAGTCTCATGAATATGCCCTTGTTTATGAGAAGTTTCAAATCAGACTATAGACATTTTCTCGCTGAGCAGTTCTGCATTCTGCATTCTTCCCATGGTTCTTGGAACTATTGTACAATATGTCATCATTAACCGTAACAGGGATCTAAATAACAGGTTTGGCTGCATTCTGCCTTTTATAAATATTTCTGTGTCCAGACTACTGAGATTTATATTTACACTAAACAACCTGTGCTCTGTTGGGCCATCTTTTCAGAAATATTTACTTAAACCGATCAATAGAATGACCACTGGAGGAGGGGAAGCTGTGGGAGTGGGAGTGATTTCTGACTTCCTGCTAGCTTTCCCACTGATTTTGTGGGTGTGAAGTTTGCAAGGAGAAATTCAGTGGGGAAACCAATTAGGAAAGTCACAGATTGCATACCAGATTGCTCTGGTATGTTCTCTGCACTCACACACTCTCCCCCAGTGGCTGCACTCATATGGTCACTCACATACCCTGTTCCAGGGGGTGGGGGGTGCAATCCTTGTAGACCGAAACCCACTTCAGTAAATAGACTATTATGCCAAAGTAGGTGGAAATACATATTGATGATGACAACGGTTTTGGTCTCTGAATCTTGGCCCATCAATGCTAGAGAGGTATATTTTATGTCTACCAGGATTTTCTCAAAGTGTTCTGTAATGGATATCTTCCCCACCTGTCCCGTTCTCTATCTCTAATTCTTCTTCTTTGAAGCTGGACTAGACTGTAATGAGGAAAGACTAATTACTTTACAATTAGATATAATCCCTGGACAAACTTTACAAATTCCTCAGAAGGCGGGGGAAAAAAAGAAAAGAAAGAAAAGCAGCCACAACTACCTGTAAACAGCTGATGTTAAACAGCTTTAGATGATGGATTAACTTTATATTTGCATATATCAAAGGTTTCTTACCAGGGCAAGTTTTTCTAAAGTGTTTATTTAGAACGGGCTGTAAATCATTAATGATATATTTTATGGTTACACTTGAAAACTATGGGCTAAACATGTTATCCTCAGTCCTTGAATGTATTTATTTCATTTATTTGCATCCCATCTTTATTACTTTTACAAACAACTCAGGCTAGCAAACATAACCAACACACCTTCCCCCTCCTATTTTCTCCAGACTTGCAACCCTGTGAGGTTTGTTGGTCTGAGAGACAGTGACTGGTCTAAAGTCACCTAGCTGGCTAAGGTGGGACTTGAACCATGGTCTCCTCCTTTCTAGCCTGATACCTTAATCTCTAGACCAGGGGTCCCCAACCTCTGGCTTGCGGTCCACTACCATGGTCTGTTTGAAACCAGGCCACTGGGCAAGCTTGTGTGAGCGGAGGGCGCTTGAGCAGAGAGCACTTGTGCTAACATACAAAACTCCTCGCACGAGTGGAGGATGCTTGCACTCACGTGCAAAGCTCTATTCACATGAGTGCAAGGTGCTTCTGCTCGCATGTGAACCTCTACTCATAAAAGCAGAGGGTACTTGCACTCACGCGGGAAGCTCCATTTGAGCGAGCAGAGGGTGCACGTGCAGGCGCCTGCCATTCACATGCCCCCCCCCATGTCAGGCCAGGCCGCCAAGCTGGAAAGGTTGGGGACTGCTGCACTAGGCCAAAAATATGTTGGCCTTACTTGTGTTTGCCCAATAGTTCAGTCCTAATCGGCCTTGATACACAGGGCAGCAAGTGATGCTGTCCATACAGTTTTAATATGGGGCAAGTTAAGGAAATTAGCAGGTGGATCCTTCCTGGCTTCCAGAATAAAAAAAACCAAACAAACCACCAGATGCTATATTTAATATGTGGTAGCATATGGTTGGACAGGCATAGAGAAATGATTGTGATGGAGGGTTTAGTTGTCTTTCAAATTGCCCAACTTATTCAGGGATGGGTTCTACCTACCTTTATTACCGGTTCGCAACAGGGCTGCGCACGCTCGCTCGCTTCACTTGTGCACGCGCTTTTCTGCACATGTGCAGAAGCATTTTGATGACATCAGGTTTGGTGGGCAGAGCCTCCCGCCGGTTTTACTACCGGTTCTATAGAACTGGTGCGAACCGGGGGCAACCAACCATTGAACTTATTTAACTGGCACTGCTTTCCTTTCCCAACTGGGGGAACAGTAACAAAAGCTTGTAATGTTCTACCAGGAGAACGTGCCAGCTGGCAAAGCCCAGCTCTCCTTTTTAATTTAAACTGAATTTAGGCACAAAACGAGAGCTTTCAGAGGAGTACTAAGCCTCTTCAAAAAAAAAAAAAAAAGAAAGAAAGTGTGTATGTGTATGTTTGTGGGTGTGTAAGCTGTGTTAGTCTACAATTAAAAAAAAACTTTAAAAAATATATTATGAAGTCCTTTATTTAATTCTTTTAACTATGGGCTTCTAGATTATGATTCTGAACACGTAGGATTTTATGAGGCAGTTGCATACAATAGATTTTGTATTCTAAGCAAAAGATTGATGTTTATTGCAAAAATTGGCCTCTAGTATAAAATAGTCTTTATATGCCCAGTGATTTTATAGGAAGATTTATGAGCAACATTTGGGGTTAGCATCTGCTTCTTTACAACAGATATTTAAGCACGAGTCAAGAATTTGTCTCACAAATAAAAACATGATAAATTTGATTTATTAAGAAAAGACTAAAGTAATTAGTGAAGGATACCAGGATGATAAGGGGTGTTGAACACGAATAGACCATTATTTGTATAAACAAGAATGGATCTGGGGGGGGGGGTAAGCATTTAAGAAAAAATATAGAGTGAGAGTTTATATAGAACTGATCACATGCTGGAAGAATAAATAAAAAAATCTGTACCAGAATGATAGTGATATCAAAAAGTGGGATTGAAATGAAAGCTCACTATGTTAGTGCCAAAGATTTTTTTAAAAAGGAGAAAAAGTAAGAATGATAAGATTGCAACATGTAATAAGATCCAGCTGTTCCAAGTATAACATATTTAGACATACACAACACAGCACTGCACTCTATTAAGATTAGGAATTAAAACTAATACTTAAAATTAGATTTAACATTTAACCCCCATAAAATTATGATTACCAATGAATTCTGAAACTATTGTCTATCCTGCAGTAAACTAACAACATAAAAATAAATTGTACAGTAAAACCTAAAATATTAATAAATTACAACCAAATTCAGGCACGACAAAACGCTAACTGGTGAAGAATGAAGTTGTTTATTCACATAAACCAGAAGTCAAGTCATTCATGTATCTTCAGCTGTTTGGAAATTTTCAATTTATTATGCAGAGGAAAATAACATTTCTCAGATCCACCTGCAGCATGTAAAACGGAAGAAAAATGAGTCTTCTTTGACCATCATTATAGAAAGAACCGTGTAATAGGAGTCCCAAAGGTGCTTTTTTCAAGAGGCAACTGGACTTTCTGGTTTTTCTTTGAAGACGTTTCGCTTCTCATCCAAGAAGCTTCTTCAGCTCTTCAGAAAAGAAGCGAAACGTCTTCAAAAGAAAAGCCTCTTTGCTTCTTTAAAAAAGCACCTTTGGGACAACCATGACCTGGATGACTGAGAATCTCCATAGGTGTGAGAGGAGGGATTGAACCGAACCATCACCGTAAAGGTAGATTCAACTACCCATGAGAAATATTAACGGGGTAGTAGTTGGGGCAGTGAGTTTCCTCGAGGGTGAACCATGCCTTGCACCCGTCTGCAAATTACTTGCGCTAAACCAGAGGTCTTCAAACTTGGCAGCTTTAAGACTTGTGGACTCCAACTCCCAGAATTCTCCAGCCAGCTACGCTACGCTGGCTGGAGAATTCTGGGAGTTGAAGTCCACAAAGCTGCCAAGTTTGAAGAGCTCTGCACTAAACACTGAAAAAATTAATTGTTGTGAAGCGGAAACGTGATCACTGCTGGCCGGCGCCTTTTTACAGGAGGACTGGGATTGGTCAAGCATCTGGCGCAGTTTGTTGACATCATCAAAGGTGAGCGGTGGCGTCGCTTTTGAGAAAGAGTGGCGGCCACGTGGGGAAGGGGACAAGTTTCGGGTAGGTGGGAGCCGTCGCGGGTCTGTCTGGGAACGGGAGCTGCTTCTGCGTCGCGATCTCCTGAAATCCCCTTGGTGTCTTCGTAGATGAAAGTGTGTGTGTGTGTTTGACTGTGATATAGATTCCTCTGTGTGTGTGTATGTGTGTTTGTTGAGAATGTAACATCACTTCTTTGGAGAGTAAATTATTAATAGTAAAATATTGTGTTTTTGCGTTTTGACTTCCAGAGTGGGGTTCTTTACGAGTGACTTAGAGCAGGGGTGGGCAACTGTGGCCCTTTTACAACCTGTGGACTTCAACTCCCAGAATTCCTGAGCCAGCTTGGCTGTATCAGGAATTCTGGGAGTTGAAGTCCACAGGTTGTAAAAGGGCCACAGTTGCCCACCCCTGACTTAGAGACTTTTAGTCTCTCACATTTGATTTGAACCCAAGGCTGCGTATTTATTGAGTTTCATTGGCGTTTTGAAAAAATGGTTAAGAAAAGTAGCACAAAAACAGGGCTCCGAGTTTCAGGAAATAGTTGTTCTATTTGGCATTATCTCAGCTGTTCGTTCCACACATTTCCCCTTGGTTAGAGCAGGGGTCTTCAATCTTGGCAACTTTAAGACCTGTGGACTTCAACTCCCAGCTGAGGAATACTGGGAGTTGAAGTCCACAAGTCTTAAAGTTGCCAAGATTGGAGACCCCTGGGTTACAGTATAAAATAATGTTGGAAGGGTCCTTGGTGGTCTTCTAGTCCAACCCCTTGTCACAGCAGGATATCTTATACCTTTCCAGACAAATGACTGTTCAATCACTTCTTAACAATCTTCAGTGTTGGAGCATCCACAACTTTTGAAGTCAAGGCGTTCCACTGATTAATTGTTCTCACTATCAGGAAATTTCTCCTTAAATCTGGTTGGGTCTCTGATAAATTGACACCTATTACTTGTTTTGCTCTCAGGTGCTTTGGAGAATAGGTTGTCCCCCTCTTCTTTGTGACAGCCTTAAAATATTGGAAGACTGCCATCATGTCACCTATCTGTCCATCTCTTCATTAGATTAGACATGCCCAGTTCCTTGCAACCATTCATCATATGTTTCAGCCTCTAGCCTCCTAATCATCTCTGTTGTACTTCTCTGCACTCTTTTCAGAGTCTCAACATCCTTTTTGTATTGTGGTGACCACCACACACTAGAAGAGACAAGTCTCACTGCAGTCATTTGAAGTAGCATTTCAGGCCACCAAAAGAGGTGAGTGGACATTTTATATACACTGCTCAAAAAAATAAAGGGAACACAAGCAGAAATCATCCAAGATCTGAATGAATGAAATAGCCTTATTAAATACTTTGTTCATTACATACAGTAGTTTTGTGTTCCCTTTAGTTGTTTGAGCAGTGTATAAACTAAAGGGAACACAAAACTACTGTATGTAAAGAACAAAGTATTTAATAAGGCTATTTAATTCATTCAGATCTCGGATGTCTTCTGCTTGTGTTCCCTTTATATTTTTGAGCAGTATATTAGTTCTTGCTGACTTGTAAAAAGAAGAGGATTTAAAAAATGGATAAATATATTGCCAACAGTATTGTATCTTGTGCTTTTTATTTGCATATTGAAACAATATTACAAAACCCCATTTGATAACTTTTAGGTGTACAAGAGTATGATTCATAAGATATTTTGAAAGAGTTTATAGGCTTTGAGAGGTGGAACAGGTGTATTACTTTTCCTTGAAACAGATAATTCCCTCCAGATGTTGGAAACAAAATCAAAACATTTATTATGATCATTGATCAGAAATAGAAATTATCTTTTAAGATAATTGAGATTTTAAGATTATCTTTTAGTTTAACATGACAATGAAGTTATGTTGTACTGGTGAAGTCTGGCAAAAGGAAAAGTTAAATTTGATTTTGACTACCGGTAAAATTTTACTTTTAATCCTGTGAAGTTAACAGGCCTGACAAAACTGCTATTTCATACCAAATATATTAGATATGCTAATCTATTGAAAGTACATTGGTGTCACCTGATGTCTTATCCTATTCTATCCTAAAATGGTCAGCACATGGAGGATTTTATAGGGGCGTAAAAAGTGCATATTTTCTATGATTGTCGTAAACCTGAAGTATTACTTATAGCTAAATTATTTCTTGCTTTGAAATGATTGTATTATCCATCAGCTTATGAAGTTGATAATACTGGTTAATACATATAACTGGAAGTTCAGTTGATCTTTTACACTTGTTATGCATATTGAACAGAAAGAAGACATGTCATTTCGAGGGAGAGGTGGAAATAATCGTGGTGGATTCAGCCGTGGTGGCGGTTTCAACAGAGGAGGAAGAGGTGGTGGAAGAGGTGGATTTGGACGTGGAGGAGGACGTGGTGGCTTTAATAGAGGCGGTTATGACCAAGGACCTCCAGAAAGTGTAGTTAGTAAGTATATTGAATACTAGAGAAAATGGAAGACACAAGAGAAATGAGCTAACTCGATTTATTAATTCTTCTTCTTTGCAGTTCTTGGACACTTTATGCATCCCTGTGAAGATGATATTGTTTGTAAATGCGTCACTGAAGAAAACAAAGTACCTTATTTCAATGCACCAGTTTATTTAGAAAATAAAGAACAAATTGGGAAAGTAGATGAAATATTTGGGCAACTTAGAGACTTTGTATCCTTTGATTGTGTACTTTTGAATGCATCTAGAGTCAAAGTAAACAAAATAGTTAATTTGTTTATATACAAGAGAAGATAAAGGTTCTAAAAGCTACATTCAGTTTCAGCTGTCTGTACTACTATATTCTGTCTATTAAGAGAAGATTAGCTGTTTTACATTTGGACATTTTGGTTTGACCAAACTTCTAGATTAGTAAAAAAAATAAATGAAAATAAAGTCTTCTTCAGGTTGATCTCAATTCCTGAAGACTTTATGGAAAGAGAATAGAATAGAATAGAATAGAGTTGGAAGGGACTTTGGAGGTCTTCTAGTCCAACCCCCTGCTTAGGCAGGAAACCCTACACCACTTCAGACAAATGATTATCCAACATCTTCTTAAAAACTTCCAGTGTTGGAGCATTTACAATTTCTGGAGGCAAGTTGTTCCACTGATTAATTGTTCTGTCAGGAAATTTCTCTTTAGTTCTAAGTTGCTCCTCTCCTTGATTAGTTTCAACCCATTGCTTCTTGGTCTAACCTTAGGTGCTTTGGAGAATAGCTTGATTCCCTCTTCTTTGTGGCAGCCCCTGAGATATTGGAACACTGCTATCATGTCACCTCTAGTCCTTCTTTTCACTAGACTAGACATAGCAAATTCCTGCAACCGTTCTTCATATGTTTTAACCTCCAGTCCCCTAATCATCTTTGTTGCTCTTACTCTTCACATCTTTTTACATCGTGGTGACCAATACTGGATGCAGTATTCCAAGTGTGGCCTTACCAAGGCATTATAAAGTGGTATTAACACTTCACGTGATCTTGATTCTATTCCTCTGTTTATACAGCCTAGAACTGTGTTGGCTTTTTTTGCAGCTGTTGCACACTGCTTGTTCATATCTAAATGGTTGTCCACTACGACTCCAAGATCCCTCTCACAGTTACTACTTTTGAGTGAGGTACTACATATACTGTACCTGTGCATTTTGTTTTTCTTGCCTAAATGTAGAACCTTACTTTTTGCACCATTGAATTTCATTTTGTTGGATAGCGCCCAATGTTCAAGTCTGTCAAGATCCTTCTGTATCTTAAGCCTATCTTCCGGAGTGTTGGCTATTCCTGCCAGCTTGGTGTCACCTGCAAATTTGATGAGTTCCCCATCTATCCTCTCGTCCAAATCATTGATGAAGATGTTGAAGACTACTGGGCCTAAAACAGAGCCTTGGGGTACTCATAGTTATTTATATTTCTGGATAACAATGAAATTAGAATTCCTAGTTGCCTCCTATCCAACCTGTGGTTTGGACTGATCTCAGTTACCTGATCCAGATCAGCCAAGGTGTTGGATGGGACCTTTGCATTAACTAAGGGAATATATGTTGGATTTGCCACTTTGTATTTAATATTGACGTAGCTTTTCAGTTGCTATGTAAGTTGGTATGTAGTTACTATTTTGCTGGCTGTTTAGATTCTAGAGTTTATTTTTTTCTACCTATATCTTGCAAATTTGATATAACAAACTGCAATGTTTTCTTAAGAATCTAACTAGCAGTGTAAATGAATCCTTAGTCTTATGTTCAGTTTTATTACTAATTTTGTTTGTATGTGTGTGTGAAACAGAGAGGGATAGAGCATGTTTTTATTTTATTTTGGGACTGGTAAATCCTTTTTGAATGCATTTAATTCTCAGAAGTCTGTCCTGCACTTGGAATCTAATGCAAAATCTTAGCCTCATCTGGTCATTTTATATTATAAGAAATTACTTGCAGGCTAATGAACTTCTTGAAGAAAGTTAGGCTCTCTACCTTGCTTTGAGGATCTCCTTACGTTTCTTTGAGGGACATGAGAAATGGAGAACTTCTCCCCTAAGCTTGTGCTATTGTGCTTTCATTTTAATACAAAAACGTAGGGAGTGCTGTAATTCCAGCCTATTTTTATCTCCCTGTGTTATTGAACTCTAATGTCTATGATAGTTGAGAGATTTTAAAACGTGCATCTTCAATATATCTAGAAGGCATCATGTTGGCTGTTAGTTTGTTGCTCCTGTGTTTCATAATATTTATTTTAATTATCACTCCAAGGAGGTGACTGGTCATGAATGGGTTAAGAAAGTCTTGTAGATTTCTACAAAATCATCATAAAATTTGAGGATTTACTTTTAAATTGATAAAAAGACATGTGCGACGAATCTTGATAAGAATTTTCCTTAAGCCACTTTGAAAGTACTTTTCGGTTAAACTGTCAGAAAACATGAAAGCTTCATCTTTTAAAAAACTACAAAAGGTAAGTCCTGCTGATGTTCCCTTTATGTGCTATGTAATCTTGCTGCCTGTTAAATATTCATAAATATCTGTCTAAATTCTAAAAATGTCTATGAAACTTACATCCTGCTTGCTAGTGTTATCATATTGATGTATTATTCTTGTGGTATTCCTTTGTCATTGTGTATTTTATTATCCTGTTGTTTTATTTTTGTTTATACTCTTTCCATTTTTGTTCTTTTTTATTATTGTAAGCCACCTAGAGTAGCCCCATGGTGAGATAGGCGGCAAATAAATTTAACAAATAATAAAAAATAGTAGTGGTTTGTTAACTACTGGTTGACTGAATATCTATAGCATTGAACTAGGCACCAGAGTAGAATGCAAGTGACTATGAAAAAAAAGTAAAACCAAACGATTCCATCCTGTTTATTTTACTGTATTGTATTATCTTCTAATTTCCAAAGACAAATTCCTTGTGTGTCCAATCACACTTGGCCAATAAAGAATTCTACTCTACTCTACTCTACTCTACTCTACTCTACTCTACTCTACTCCTACTCTACTCTACTCTACTCTACTCTACTCTACTCTACTCTACTCTACTCCACTCCACTCCACTCCACTCCACTCCACTCCACTCCACTCCTCTACTCCACTCCACTCCACTCCACTCCACTCCACTCCACTCCACTCTATCTACTCTACTCTACTCTACTCTACTCTACTCTACTCTACTGTCTTTGATTAAGCATACTTGATGTGCAGTTCAGTGCTCTTGAAAGAAGTATGGGTTGATTTACTTGTGGCTAATTTATTGCATTTATCTCAGTTGAAGTCATGATTACAGGTAGTCCTTGATTTACAACAATTTATTTAATGACCATTTAAAATTACAACAGCACTGAAAAAAAGTGACTTAAGACCATTTTTCACACTTACGACCATTGCCGCATCCCCATGTCACATGATCAAAATTCAGATGCTTGGCAACTGGTTCATGTTTATGACAGTTGTAGCATTCCAGGATCTTGTGATTATCTTTTGGGACCTTCTGACAAGCAAAGTGAATGAGGAAACCAATTTCATTTAACGACCATGTTACTAACTTTAACAAATGCAGTGATTCATTTAACATCCGAGGCAAGAAAAGTTGTAAAATGGGGCAAACTCTCTTAACAAATGTTTCACTTAACAACATACATTTTGGCCTCAATTGTGGTTGTAACTTGAAGGCTTCCTGTATTTTTAATTATTTCAAGAAAACAGCAACATTTAAGCCAAAAGCAAAAGCTTGGCAAAGTCTAACGCTTATCTCTTCCTTCAGTTTTATATCGATCCAGCAAAATTGCTTCCTCTGCAGAGGTTTTTGCCAAGGCCTCCTGGTGAGAAAGGAGCCCCAAGAGGTGGGCGAGGTGGAAGAGGAGGGCGAGGAGGACGAGGTGGAGGTAGGTAGACTTCTTTCTTACAGTGTGAACAAGTATATGAAATAATGGAAAAAATTGTTTTTAGAAAATTGCAAACAATATAGTTCTGACAGCAGCTAGGGCTGCTCATTGGATTCGGGCAAAACTTCAAATATGAAGGAGAATGGAGTAATTTGGAAGGAGGCTGTAATTTATTCAGGGCTGAACAGATGAGTCTGAATTTACTATATTTTTCTGTCTATAAGATGCCCCCATGTATAGGATGCCCCCATGTTTCATGTAGAGCAAGTAAGCACACTATAAGTCAACACTGTGCAGAAGCCATTTTACTAGAGAGTGAGTAATACAAGAACAGGAAATGCATCACAGGAATGTTAGAGATGGAACCTAGATTGGCAATGTGTTACAAGAAACAACTACAATAGAGAGGAATGATAGAGCTGCATATAAGGTAGAGGCTCATCCGGAAGAGCTGGAGGACAGGGATGGGCCACACCTTCTCCCCTCGGCCTCCTGTGTATAAGACGCCCCTCCATTTTCAAGTAAATGTTTTAAAGAAAAAATAGTGTCTTATACACAGAAAAATACGGTACTGAATGCCGAATCATTCTCCATAAAATTAACCTCTCTACATAGTTTTAGGACACTGAAAATAGTGGTAATGCACAGTCATAGCAAAAAGGAATAAACCCCATGTATCGGTTGTGTAAAATGCCATAGTGGAAAGGGAAGTGCCGATTTCAGTTTCCTTCACATAAGACAAATCGCTGGTTAAATTATCTGTTAATCCCAGTTCGTCATCCCAGTCACATTATTTGGATAGCCAGCAGGATAGTAAATGAAAAGGAATGCCTTCCTTGCACTGCTAAGCTGGCCCATCCTAGGAACAGCTTAGTTCTTTTATAAAGAAAAAAAGGCAGTTGCATTCTTTAAAGCAGGGGTCTCCAACCATGACAACTTTAAGACTTGTGGACTTCAACTCCCAGAATTCCTCAGACAGCAAAGACTGGTGCCATCTCTGACAATGAGCTCCATTATCTATAAGCAAAAGTCTTATTAATATTTCTTATGAATGGTTTCTACATGCTTGTTTAACAGATGAATTTATGGATCTGTTTCATTTAGGCGTCTTATTTTCTATGTGCTATTGTCACTCACTGGATACTGTAAAAGTCTCATTTGACACACACACACCCTGCTTTTATTTGTTTGTAGGAGGTAGAGGCTTTGGAGGTGGCCGAGGTTTTGGAGGTGGCCGGGGTTTTGGAGGTGGCAGAGGTGGTGGAGGCTTCAGAGGAGGACGAGGTAGAGGTGGTGGCCGAGGATTTAGGGGTAAGTGTATTCATAACCTAATAATATTTCATTTTTAGAATAATTATCTATCTTGCTGTTTGTCGTGGGCATATTCTGTATTATCTGTGTGATGTTTAGGCTTTTATGCTTCTCAGATAATTAGCGATCTTCAAACTTTAGACGGAAATGTAGTACTTCTTGCAAAGTAATCAGAGCTTCCTTATCAATCATAGATGATTAGTTTCCTAAATGGGAAATGTGAGCACCAGTATCAATGGCAAAATATGTTGTGGTCTGCTGGCGGCCAGCAGAGCTGGCAGCAGAGTCAGACAGTGAGGAGGTTGGGGAGGAACTTGAGCCAGTCCTGAGGGCTGGGGAAAGCTTGGACGAGGGCTCTGTGTCTGAGGCAGAGAGGGAGTTAGACAGCAGTGAGGCAGAGGAACAGCTGGAGCCCATTCCTAGTGTGTGCATGCGCAGAGCTGCCAGAAGACAAGAACAATTAAGAAAGCAGGGTAGACTCGGGAGTTAGGCCACACCTTGGAGATGATTGGCCCTCCCATAGGAAACAAAAGAGGAGTGAACGGGATGTGGGCTTTTGCAGGAAGCAGGGTGGATAAAAATCAATGACTTTTTTTAAAAAAATCAAAAAAATCAGATTTTTTAAATTTAAATCAGATTTTTTTGATTTAAATCAGATTTATTTTAATAAAAAAATTTTGGGGTAAAAATCTATCGTAAGATAGTTTTCTATTTAAGATACATAAATAATTTAGTTTATTCAGCATGAAATGGAGCTTAGTTATGTAGCATGAGGCTGTATATTCTGCAACACTGGGACTATCAGTGAGTCAACAGTGGGTCAAAGGAGTAGCAGAGATGACAGTTGCTCTTTAAAAATTATGATTTAAATCGAGTTGATTTAAATCAAGCCTTTTTACTAGTGATTTAAATCATGATTTAAATCGTGATTTAAATCAACTTGATTTAAATCAAATCCACCCTGGCAGGAAGCAATTAGTTCATCTCATTTCAAGATTGGAAAATTCTGTTTGTGACTCTAATAGACTCGGTGCCAAGTTTGTCCTTGCTCTGCATTTGGAAATTGGTTCTCTGGCAGCGTTCCAAGTGAGATAAGGTGGGGGTTGATAAACATTCTTCTGAATGTTGACTGTAAATGAATGGAATTCACAGTCGTGTTAATAAAAGAGGTTTTACTGGGATTAAGACTTTGTTTCATGCTTTCTAAGGAAGCCTAGGTCAGAACAAAATATGGGAACATATATAAGCATATATGCAAAAGTTATATGAACAGTCATAATGCTTAAAAAGCCAGCCTGGCTAATTGGGAATGAATATGTGTCTTAATACAGTCCAATATACTACGAAACAATGTTATGATAAATAAAGGACATTAAGACAGTATAGGAATGGCTTTGGGTTATAGACGATTTAAAAAGCCAGGATCAGAAACTCCCGGCATTTTGGCCCAGATCCAACACTTCAAGAAGACCCAGTGATGCTGGACATCTGCTGAGACCTGGCAATATCTCCCTTATCCAACTTTTAACAGTGATGCACAGTTAGGAAACTACAGTACTCCTTTTTATGTACTGCATTGTTCTAAAGAGATGCTGCATTAGGTCATTCTAATTTCAAAATAGTGGGAAGCTCATAACAGCATGCATCAAGTCAGAGTTGTTTAATAAGCTTGGTGAGGTTGCTGGCATAGGGGACATTCAGTGAGGGAACTATTTCTGGAAAAAAGGTCATACTCTGAAAAGGTTACAGCTGAATTTTACTAAAGGAATATTAAAATCATTAATCGCAGTTCTGAGTTGAAAGACAACCGAGCTTTACATATTTTTAAGACTAGGTATGGAAGATCTAATTTTTCTTCTTTTGTTTTCATATTAGGAAGAGGATACTGAGTGGAGCTGCTGGAAATTTATGGCTTCATTAGTGAAATGTAAAGAGAAGACTTCTTATGAACTTGAATGCTACAAAATGGAAACAATTTTAAGCATACAGTTAGCTGAAGGAGAAAAGTGTTACCATGCCAAAAGTTCATAGGTTTCTTTTAATATGCAACAGTTTTAAGGAGAACTACAGATATCTGACTTGCAATCTATGTCATTATTTGGAGACATTAAGTGGAAGGTTATTCTTAAACTTTTTTAAAGGGACTGTTTTTAATGTCAAGAATTTATCCTCTTATATCGTCAGTGAAACTAAGTAACAGCTTTAAAAGGTATCTACTTTAAAATGTCAAATAAAAATCTTTTGGATTTCTGGTAGTTGATTTTAAATTAGTAATTTATAGATCCACTCTGAATGTATCAAAACATCTTAATTAGTTCCAATAGAAAAGATACGTTTAGTTCAGGGTTGAACTGTGGAGTCCTTGGTGCTCTTTGAATTGCTTGTTTACTTGCAGATTTCTTATTACCCAGCTCAGTTACATTATCAGGGCACTGATGATGTTATGTAGTTGGTGACCCAGCCTTAACAAGTAATGATAAGCTGCTTACTCACAAATAAACACAAACCCCTTTTCAAACAGAATAGGAACAGTCTTTTATTCACGTTGTTAATAAAAAAACCAAACATATTTAGTCCCAGCAGATGTGGTTCTGGCATAGAAATCCGAATTGTTTGCTGTATCCTAAAAATGAACGGTTGTATGAGACAACCGGCCACTCCCAAACCCCTACTATTTATTTCCCAGAATGGGAGGGTCTGGCTAGCATCCACATCTGCTTTTCCCTGAGAGCCGGCTTATTGTTTTCCTTTGCTCTCCTCTCTTTTCCTTTCTGCGCATACATACATCTGGGATGGGCCCCATCTGTTCTTCCCCTCACTCAGATCCAGACCCCGAAAATGGCTGCCTCTCCACCTGGGGGAGGATGGAAGGCCCTGGCTTTGCCTCTGTATCTGATGCTGTTTCCTTATCAGAGCCTTCCAAAGGCTTCGAAGCTGGCTCAGCCTCTTCCCTCCATCTCCTCCTCGTCTGACTCTGCAGCTAGCTCTGCTGGCAGCCGACGGGCCACAACAGTTGGGTAACGCAATGTTTCAGGCAAACAAACTCAGAGAGTACCAAGGATTCCAAATCTAAATTAGTTTTTTAGTTTTTAGTTTACTTTATTGTCATTGCACCTCGTACAACGAAATTAAATGCCATCTTCAGTTGGGATTTCAATTAGGATTTGAAATATAATATTTTAGCATTTCTAGTTGCAGCGGCCAATAATGTTTTACAGAATAATGCTCAAAGGTCATAACTTCCATTTGTTTGATGCTGAATGTGAGATGAAGATGACTATATCTTGTATTTAGCTCTCTGGTTTAAATGTCAAAATGACAAAATGTAAAAAAGTATCATCACTATATGTGATGTTTGATTATCCAGAAAAATTTATATAACAGGCTTTAAGACAAACAGAAAATTAATTCACAACTTGATTGGCTGAACAAATTCTTCAGCGACCCCTTTATGAACTGATTGAAACATACCTCCAAATTTGTTATTAATTAAATTAATAAATTAAAACAGCTGGGTTTCTGAAAGGCTTAGTGGATGCTTTTCTTGTTTCCGGTATATAAGATACTTTTGAGAAGTATTATCTGTAGTTTCCTGAAGAAAGAATTTTCCAGACTGCTTTTTTTTTTTCTATTCAAGCTCTGCCATGCGAAATGTTTCTTGGTCTGTAACATTAGGAAATGTATAATGTGCTGTCTGTATATATGAGTGGATCTCTGGTGCGCATAAGGTATCCCATGTGCATTTTATACTTACAGATCTTCTGAATTTTGAAAATAAATTATTTGTAAGAGTTTTGTATCATTCACTGTGAATGAAGCAGCGGTCGTCTGGGAAAGGAGGAAAAATAATGCATATGCATTCATTGTCCCTAGTTTGATAGCTTTCAATTGTACTACCCTAATTATATGAATAGTAATTATTGTAGGGGTAGTCTACAATAGTAGGTAGTCTACAAAGGGGTAGTAGTAATTTAAAGAAAGTTGTACATGTTTACTCAATAATAATTCCCACGGTGTTCAGCAAGGGTTTATTAGGATCTAGCAGAATGTTTTGTAATATACTCTTATATTTCAAATGTCAACAATTAATCCTTTTACAGTGCATTGGTCAGACTGCAGCTTGGACTTGCCCAAAGTCATGATCTCTAAAAGCTGCTTAAAATATTTTCTCTTACACTTTCCATATCTTGCTCATTGACACACAAACATGTTTTATGCTGGTCTCGCTACAAAAGAAGAAAAATACAGGCATAAGAAACAGGACAAAAAGACAAATTGCCCTGGCATAGATTTTATAAGAATGCTTCTGAACTAAGTTTCTGTAGTATTCAGTATATGAGACAGAAGAGTAAAAGGGGTGAGGAAAAAAGAAAAAAAGAGACTCAAACATGGGAAGCTGCAAAGAGGGAAATAGTGGTGTGGCATAGGTTAAGTGTTGTTAGTCCCATCTTTGGTTAGTAGAAGAATGTAAGTATTTTTTTCCAAAAAGTAACTCTACTGTCTTTCTCATCCAAGAAGCTTGGATAATAAGCAAAACATTTTCAAAGAAAAAAAACAAGAAAACCTTTTTGAAAAAGCATCACCTGGATGTCTCCTTACTCCCAACTCCGTGTGGTCAGCTGCCCAGAACCCATGTGGTTCTGCTTCATCATTAAACCATCTTTCCAATCAGCCTCCATGTTTCCAGCGTCTTTCTCCAGGCTTGGAACTGAACCAGATGGATATTTCTTCCAACACTGTGTACCCCAAATTCAAATACACTATTATCTCATCATTTCTTTTTATTGAACATAAAGTTGTGGAGGAAGTGCCTGCTTTCCACAACTTTAGATATATAAAAATTTGAACCAAGGAATGGACAGCATTGCACAAGGCCTTCATTCTTAAAGCAGCTTCAGAGAACGCTCTTCAATGATCTCTACAGCTTCTGAAAACTGCCCGAAAGCACACACTGGTTCTTGTGTTACTTCCAGAGAACTCTTGAGAGCATATCATTTTCACACGGCCTCTGCAACTTCCAAAAATCATGTGAAAAGGGTGTGTTTTTGAGAATAGCTGTTGGGTATTGGTGAATGCTGCTTTGCCACCTACATGTCATGTCACCCTTGAAACGCTTTTCATAGTTTCGCCATCATTGGTTTAGCATGTTGTGTAAGTACAAAGTCAATAATAACATCTGCTATAAGCTGGCTTGATTCACAATCCAAATGTTTGATTCACAATCCAAATGTATGTAAGCCAGTTTATAGCAGATGTGTTAGAAATATTTCAAGGTAGACTTGCAGTTTGCAGTGTGCATCTGCAATCTGTTCCTTGCAAACAAGACAAAATAATAATAATAATACATTTTTGACAGAAACGGAGTTTATTTTGCTTCATGATTTGCTATTAAAAGTGCTGAAAGTATTACGTTAATAAAACCCTAAAGGCTGAAGTTCAAAATCTGGGTTCTCTGAAAATAGTAAATCTCTTACCACAAGACACAAAAATCTTACTGAAAATAAAAGCAGCTCTATATTGTTCTTTGTTTGACCTAACAAGCTTTTCCCTTCCAAAGGCTAGGAATGTAAGCCCCTTTGCTTTCTTTAATCAGAATCCTGCTGGGAGCCTTTCAAACGAGCAGGACATTTGCAAGAAATTGTAGAAGATAACAATTCAACTTAAAAGGATTGCAAAAGTTTCTTCTTTCTTTCAGAGTTTAGCTCTTGAAGTTTCTTCCCAGTTTTCTTTGCTCTGCCACATTTTGGAATTACCCTATTATGACTGTGGAAAGTAATAGTGAGCTTCCATCAGCCTTTTCACAGAAGGAACACAACATTATCGCAGCATACTTGATCGCAGCAGGTATGAACACTGAATGTATTTGATTAATAAAGTATTGAGGCATCTTAATAAAAAAAAATCACTTCTTTTTTTCAGCTTTAATTAAACTTAAGCAAAGAAATGTGAAGTGTTGAAAATGGATTGCTATTCTTTGGATTTGAAGGGAAAAGGTACTTCAGAATACCCAGGGATATGCAAATAGCCCCTATGTACAGCTTTTTAAACCAAGTATTTTTTTTTTCAGGATAGAATTGCTTTAAGGCAGCAGTCCCCAAGCTTTTGGGCCCTAGGAACCGGTTTCGCGGAGAACAGTTTTTCTGCAGACTGGGGGGGGGGGGAACCTCTAGCCAAGGATCACTGGGGTTCAGCAAACCCCCCAAATGCCACCTCGGCTGGCCCCTCCCACCCTTCCCCTCCCCTCCCAGGAGCTTCCACGTGGCCCATTCATCATTCCAGGTAAGTGCAGGGGCGGTGCAGAGGTTCTGGAAGGGCAAAAAACGGACCTCCCAGAAGTTCCGAAAGTCCAGAAATGGGCCTGTTTCTGGCCTCTGGAGCCCAGGGGAAGCAGTTTTCTCCCTCCCAGAGGCTCGAGGAAAGCCTCCGGAGCCTGGGGAGGGTGAAAAATGCTCCACCCCCTGTGGTACAGGCCGCTGACTTGGCCACGCCCACCCTGCAACAGGGAAGCGAACCTGTAGCTAAAGGATCTGAAGCCCACCCCTAGTTGGGGACCCCTGCTTTAAGGCATCCCAGACAAATTCTACTTTTGCTCCCTAATACAGTCTGAAGACCTTTATTTGCTTTCAAATTAAAAGTTCTTCACACTTTAATCTTTATAAGTCTTTTATAGTCACTTGAAATCTGGGCAGACTAGTACTTCAGTGATGGAAAAACCTGTTTTGCATGCAAAAGAACTAAGCTTGTGTTCATGACAATTCTGAAAAAGAGTCTGGAATTCCCCTGCCTTTATGCTATTACCTGCAAGTAAGATAATATTCGACACTTTGTAGAGCAACTTCCTAACTTCTAATTTTAAATCCATATAGCTAAATGTTGGCATAGTTGAGTTTACTGGAACTTGCTTTGATATAGACCAACCTAATACTCCACTAAATTAAATATATCAAGTAAAGTTAATATGTAAAAGAAGGAAATGCTGCATATTTTAATAAAATGTTGAGGATGGGAGGTTTTTCCCCTCAGAGAAACAAATTCAAAGAATAAATAGTAAGATTGTTGGCTTTTAGTCTTAGGTATCTAATTTCCTTTCCTTTTTCCTGTCAAAATCCATCTAGCCGCGTTTGCAGAACTGATTGTTTCATAGACTATCATATTTTAAACTAATAAGTTGTGAAAACCCAATTCTTGTAGTTAGTTTATGAAGCATTGTATAGTGTGAACCCATAAAATGGGATGGATGACTAAATGAATGCTGAAAATACATCCTGTCTGATTCATATTGTATTCTCCCATATTGTGGTTTTGTGGTGTGATGGTGGTAGAAATGAAATTCTATCCTGTTCTTTGAGAAGATATCAGTAAAATTTGTATTAGGCAACTAATGAATAGTAAGATTGTATTTGTGAACAATTACTTGTTTTTTTTATTTCCATAATAGGACCACAGAATATAAACACTTGGGTATTATATTGTCTAGACTAGTGGTTCTCAACTTGAGCAATTTTAAGATTTGTGGATTTCAACTTCTAGAATTCGCCAGCAAACGTGTAATGGATTTCTGCCCATAAATTATGTTTGGTATTTTTAATTGATTTTTACCTTCTAACGGGCTGGTGATGAAATACCTAATTAACTCTGTACCTGTTTTACTCAAGCTCATGCATAATGTAATATAAACTCTAATTGGATTGGTTCACATATCAATGTAATTGATAAAACATCAATTACAATTAAAAATCATAATTGTTGGGTTCATGAATATCGCCAAGTCAAAGCCAAATAAATTGCCCTATGGATGCATTATGATTTAGTATTGTGAGTGAATTTAGTCTGTTTTTAATTATTGGTAACTTTGAGTCAGTTTTGACTCCAGGTGACTACCTGGATTAGTCCCTGCAGTTTTCTTGGCAAGGTTTTTCAGAAATGGTTTGCCATTGCTTTCTTCCTAGGGTTGAACTGAGGTCACTCAGCTGTCTTTGTGCCTAAGAAGGGACTAAAACTCACAGTCTCATTCTGTAAAACTGCTTAGAGAGGGCTGTGAAGCAGTATATAAGTCTAAGTGATATTGCTATTCCAACCTGGAACAAAACTAATATTTAATTAGGTTTTTAAAAAAGATGATGATGATATGATGATGATGAGTTTAGTCTCTCTAAATACTGTAGTATGAAACTCAGATTAGGTCTGCTAAGACTAAAATTTCTAAAGTTTACTCCCCATTTTTTATCTTTTGACAGGAGTCATAAGTCTTCTCAGTAATATTGTTGTTTTAAGCATCTTCATTAAATTTAAGGAACTTCGAACACCAAGCAATACTATTATTATTCACCTGGCTTTTACCGATATTGGAGTGAGTAGTATTGGCTATCCCATGTCTGCGACTTCAGATCTGCATGGAAGCTGGAAATTTGGCTACCTGGGTTGCCAGGTACTTGAGTATTAAAACAAAGTATTATATTACGCATATTGTATGTAGCCCTGTTCAAATCAGTGTTCAAAAACAGATAACAAAACAAACAGTGATAAATGTTTCTACAGGTTCTTTATAGCACGAAGAGTTAAACAACACATCTCTTTCCACTGAGTGCATTTGTGGAAAAAACACACTTCTTTGAATTACTACTAAATATCTCTGAGTTTTGGTGCTAGAAGGAAACCATTACCAAAAGACAAGCAAATCCAAAGAAAAGATTAAATTGTTGAAAATGTATTTCTTGGTCCATAAAGTAAATAGATAAAATCTTTTCATAAAAAGGATTATTTAGGTGAACTGACAAATTATACTATTAATTAGAACTTATAGTAATTTATTTGAGTGGTTGGTGGTTTTTTTGAGAGAGAGGTACATATAGAAGCAGATAGTAGTCCATCTTCTGGGAAGAGAGGATTGTTTGATAACATAACACAACAAGCACCTTGCATACCACCTGACTGTTTAATTCTTGGCATCTCCTCTTAAAAGAACTGACTAATGGAAAATATCAAATAAAAAAAAACAAAACTAGATGGAGTAACTATCTAACTTGAATCACAACTGTCTCCTCTTTAGAAGGAGTCAGTTAATATACTGGATCCCAACAAATATGTGTAAACATTCCACTTTGATTAAATTTTAAAAAGTCTTGAACTAGGAATATAGAAGAATTATTTAAAAAAAAAAATAGCATTGTTAGTAGCTCTATTTCTACAATGCTTTATCCCAGAGATATTGCTGGTTGGGAACTCTTGAAGTTACAGTCTCAACGCATTCACCAAGTTTCAGGAAGTGATCTTATTTTTTCATATCTTATAAACTTGTTACTATCTCGCTACCCAAATTACTTTTCTAGTAGCTGAAAATGAGGGTGCAAAATAGAATATAAAATGTATTACATTTGCCACTAGATGGCTGTCTTGAATAGCACAATACTAGTTTCTAGTTCTTCCTTGAAATTTATTAGGGACAGTCGATTCTGACAACCTCATGGAGAAACAGCATGATTTAAAGGCAGAATATATGATTTGTATTCCAGTGGTTATGAACACAAACCCAGTAGCTCCTGTTAAAAGGATGTGGGCTTAGATTATAGGAAAGGCCTCTTCTGAAGTATCGTTGACAATAAGAGCTGGGAAAGCTGAGCTCTACATGTTCTCTTAGGCAACCCAATGAACAGGAAGTCCTGTCTCATTGTCTGGAGACTGCAAGGTTCTGGATGGAGAAACAGACTCAGATTCTATCCTGCCAACTAGTTGTGGGCTTTTGCCTCCCCTCTCCCAATCTTAGAACTATCATTAGTCTTAGATGGGATCGTACTCTTTGCCGCAATTGCGCATCACCTTGGACTTCCAGATCATGCTTGAAGAACGGGTGGCAGCTTTGGCTAATAAGATCTTTGCCCAGCTACATCTGGTATATCAATTCTGCCCATTTGTAGATTGTCAGGTCCTTCTAATGGTCACTCACAGTTGGACTATTGCAATGTGTTCTACATGGATAGCCCATGAAGACCACTTGGAAACTACATCAGATCCTAAATCAGGGGTGAAATTCAGCAGGTTCTGACTGGTTCTGGAGAACCGGTAGCGGAAATTTTGAGTAGTTCAGAGATCCGGCAAATACCACCTCTGGCTGGCCCCAGAGTGGGGTGGGAATGGAGATTTTGCAGTATCCTTCCCCTGCCATGACCACCAAGCCATGCCCACTAAGCCACACCACGCCCACCAAGCCACGCCCACAGAACCAGTAGTAAAAAAATTTGAATTTCACCACTGTTCTAAATCCAGCAACCACAGCAATTTTGGGCATACTTTAGTATGCCAACGTGACACCAGTTCTACAAAGATTACACTGACTGCCAGTGAGCTCCCATTTGCAATTCCAGATGCTGATTATTATCATCTATACTATAGCATAGTCCTTCATAGCATAGGGAGATAGGCAGATAGAGACTGCCTATCTCCGATGTTTTTTGTCTATCCAGTAAGATCAGACAAAGTTGATGTATTTTGGGTCCAATTGATTAAGCAGTGCTATCTATCAGGATCCAGAAAGTGTGCCTTCTGTGTTGGCACATACCTCTGGAATAATATTCATTTTAGATGAGTTTGGCTTTTATCCTGAGAATGTTCTGGAAACTTAAAAAGTGGCTGTTTTCCCAGGCCTTGGGATAGGTCTCTTGTGGAGCCTTATTTGCTATACATTCTATTATTAGGAATGTGTTTATCTAGACACATGGCATTTTTTAATTATTATTTTCATTATTTTTGATTTTTACTCTTCCACAGTCAACCTCCAAATTTCATAAAATCTATATATATAAAAGCAAAATACCACTCACACATCATCACAAAATCTCCAGAACTGTAAAGCCTACAAACTTGAAATTTGCCACGTATGTTCCTCTTGGCTTCTAGGTGCTCACTAAGAAAGGATTTTTCGAAATAACCATCAGAGCATTAGTATTTCCTATATTAACAGGCTCTGATACTAAGGAGTTCTACTCCCTCTCCCCACCTGAAAAGAAATCTGGAATTTCAATTTCAGTTTTACTTTCACAGCAACAAGCAGAACACAGAACAGTTAAGCTAAGCCACGGCTAGGCTCCTTCCTGTCTTCTTCTTGTTCACACAGCAAATACTGTTTCATTTTCCAAACAGCCCTCTGTTGCTAAGAAGTTCTACTCCCCCTCCCCACCTGAAAAGAAAAGAAATGCAAAACACAAGCAGAGGAGAGGAGTTTCACTTTCACTTTCACAGCAGCAACCAGGGGATAGGATAGGGGAGACTTCTGTGGGGCAAGGCTGAGGGAGAGAAGGGGATAGGATAGGAGAGGCTTCTGTGGAAAAAGGCTGAGGGACAGAAGGGGATAGGATAGGGGAGGCTTCTGTGGGGCAAGGCTGAGGGAGAGAAGGGGAAAAGAGAGGCGGATCACTCATTAATTTTCAAGCTGCAAGTGTTGATTTATCAAGCCCAATCACATAATTTCGTAGCGGAGCACGGGTATTCAGCTAATAATAAATAAGTAAACATAATAACTCTGTATTAAGCTTGGCTTTACTAATTAGCTGAAAATTATAATGGGACATTAAATAAATGGATCTTCATGTAGATATCTGTATAGAAGAGACAATGTTTCATTGATAAGAGCCATGGTAGCGCAGTGGTTAGAGTGCAGTACTGCAGGCCGCCATCTGCCTGCAATTTGGCAGTTCAAATCTCACCAGGCTCAAGGTTGACTCAGCCTTCCATCCTTCCGAGGTTGATAAAATGAGGACCCAGATTGTTGGGGGCAACATGCTGACTCTGTAAACCGCTTAGAGAGGGCTGTAAAACACTGTAAAGCAGTATATAAGTCTAAGTGCTATTGCTAATAGTAAAAGAAAAGCCTAAGACCTTTGAAAGCAAACAATATTATTTTCAAACATTTTAAACCATGTATTCTTTCTTAAATTCTAGATTTATGCTGCTTTAAATATCTTCTTTGGAATGGCAAGCATTGGTTTGCTTACTGTTGTTGCCATAGATCGTTACTTGACCATCTGCAAGCCTCAAATAGGTATGATGCTCAGAATTCTGCAATAAAGGCATACCGGTTTTCAGTGTAGATTTTGGTGATTTGTTTTGTGGGAAATCCCACATTTTGTACTCTATATTATTTGAATTTTTCATACAGAGTTGTTCAGTTTTGTCAATAAAGTATAAATCTCCTTCATGTTGAGTTTGACTCTTGCTGAATTTCATATCAATTTTTTTGACAATACTTTTGAAATGGTTTCCCATTACTTTTTCAAGAATGTTTTTTTTCTACTTATGTTTACGTGCATTATCTGTTGCTTGTAGGTAACAGAAACAATTGTGGAAACAAAACCTGCTTAAAAACCTGCCCTTTTAAAAGTATACTTGGTTAATTTTGCTCTTGTACTTTGGAGGATTACATAACAAAACCTCCCTCTGTTTTCATTTGAGAGATAATAAGGTTATTTTTTTTAATTTATATTTCCTATTTCTTAACCACCCACACTCTTAATTGTGTGAATGACTGAAGATAGAGCAAGAAGTCAGAGTGTATACCAGATTGGAAATGTCAGCAGGAAAACAAGTATGGAATTGAGATCTCATTAGCTAGTTTTATAGTGTAAGAACTGACCAGGGAATCTGGTTCTGTAAATACCAAAGTGCCTGAAAATATCTCAATACTGAATTGCCAAGATCCCTGAAGCACCTGACCTAAATTCTTTTATCAATGGGAAGCTCTGATAACATGCTTCACACCATTAAGAAGCCAAGCACTGTAATCTTTGGGCATTTTAGAAGATTAAAATGATGCAAGAGGGCAGCCAACTGCTACTGTAGGTTTGAAAGCGTGCTCACCTTTTCAGCAAGAAATAAAAGTTGAAGAAGATATGTCCTGCACAGGCACAAATTAGCTGGGAATATATTTATTGAAGAGTAGAGGAGAGGAGAGGAGAAGAGAGGGACAAATAAACAATCAAATCATATTAAGAAACGGTCAATATAAATCATAAGGATACCAGCAACAAGGTTACAGTCATACAGTCATAAATGGGAGGAGATGGGTGATAGGAACGATGAGAAGATTAATAGTAGTGCAGACTTAGTAAATAGTTTGACAGTGTTGAGGGAATTATTTGTTTAGCAGAGTGATGGCGTTTGGGAAAAAAACTGTTCTTGTGTCTAGTTTTCTGGTGTGCAGTGCTGTATAGTGTCAATTTAACTTTTCATAAATATAGGTTTTGTAAATACTAAGTCAAGTGTAACCACTGCAACCATATTGTGAGAGTGCCTATTATGAATAGGTCATATGCATCAAAAAAAAATTAGGCATCTGTAGTTTACCAGTTGCAATATATGGCTGTGAAAGTTGGACCATAAGAAAGGCTGAGCACCAAAGAATTGAGACTTCTGAACTATAGTGCTGGAGAAGACTCCCTTGCAAGTCCCTTGGATTGCAAGGCGATCAAACCGGTCAGTCCTAGAGGAGATCAACCCTGACTGCTCTTTAGAAGGCCAGATCCTGAAGATGAAACTCAAATACTTTGGCCACCTAATGAGAAGGAAGGGTTCACATTAGAGCCTAATGCTGGGAATGATTGAGGGCAAAAGAAGAAGGGGACGACAGAGAATGAGGTGGCTGGATGGAGTTACTGAAGCAGTAGGCGTGAGCTTATATGGACTCCAGATGATGGTAGAGGACAGGAAGGCCTGGAGGAACGTTGTCCATGGGGTCGTGATGGGTCAGACACGACTTCACAACTAACAACAACAACAGTTTACAATAGACTGGAATCAGACTGTAAAACTCAAGAGGTTTGAGCTTTATGATAGTTTTGTTCTGATGTCTCCTTTTTATACTTAGTTTAGGCATATGATGAAGCAATTTTGCTAAACTTACATCCTAGTCTAGTCAATGTTTACTTGGAAGACTATCCAGCAATTATTTATTAAGTCTAGCATAATGAAAATACATTAAATTTAGTATTGAAGGCACAGTTACGAGCTAGGAAAGCCTTTGTTTATTCTGTTATCTCTAGACATGATGGACTGCAACTACTCTTAACATCAAGTTAACAAATGGATATGATTATTATTTTTTTAATTTAAACTATCTGGAGGGCACCAAGTTGAAAAAAGATTCAGGTTATAGTTAAGGAAATGTTCTCAGCAACTTTCTCAATTTTTTAATAAATGTTTGTAAATGTGTGCATATGGACATATATATCATATATCATATCGTATTGTATCATCTTTATATGCACACAGAATATGTAATTTTCAGTAAGGGAAGTTAGCTGCTTATTATATCCATTGTATGGATATGAACATGAATTTAATATTTGAATAATTATTACATTTGAGTTGTGTATTTATAAAATTTTCATTGTAACTCTTGTATTCTTTGGTTTCAAATAGAAAAGTACAAATGATAGGAAAGAATGAATAGTGGTGATGTTTTGGTTTGCCAACAGGTAACAGATTAACCACTCACAACTATATTGCCCTGATTTTTGCTGCCTGGACCAATGCAGTCTTTTGGGCCTCCATGCCTGTGGTAGGATGGGCAAGCTATGCTCCAGATCCAACTGGAGCTACCTGTACCATAAACTGGAGAGAAAATGACACGTATGTTCTTTTTATGGTGAAGTAGAACATTCACAATGGTAATTTTGCACTGTTAGAATCTCACCGAAGCCTTAAAACCTTAAAATTTGAACAAGCATTGAACAGTTTGGAAGGGAACAACCGTCTTACAAATCACTAAGGGAGAAAATTTCATCCACAGCAGAGGTGGGTTTCAGCAGGTTCTGACCAGTTCTGGAGAACCGGTAGTGGAAATTTTGAGTAGTTCAGAGAACTGGCAAATACCACCTTTGACTGGCCCTGGCCCCATCTATTCTCTGCCTCCCGAGTCCCAGTTGATCGGGAGGAAATAGGGATTTTGCAGTAACCTTCCCCTGGAGTGGGGTGGGAATGGAGATTTTACAGTATCCTTCCCCTGCCATGCCCACCAAACCATGCCATGCCCACCAAGCCACGCCCACAGAACCGGTAGTAAAACATTTTGAATCCCACCACTGGTCCACAGTGTTTAAATCTGGTACATCCAGGACACCTGTTCTGTCCCCCTTCCTCACACAGGCAAACGTAATACCAAGCACGCCTGCCAATATTTTATTAGGTAAATAGATTAGAATCCTTGGCAGACCAAGGTTTTGGCAGCAAACTGCCGAATGCCTGCCAAGACTGTTTTCACTCCCATAAAGCAGAAGAGGATTTATCTTCAGTCCGTTCCTGGAGCAACAAATTATCCATGAGACAAGAGTTTAGTCAATGTTCAGTCCAAAATATATCCAAGCCGAATGTCAGAGATCACGATGTGACTTTCAGGGTTTAACTTTGTCCGTCACAAAGCCTGAAGAGCAATCCCACCCACTTTTATTCCTGGTGGGGTGTGGCTCCGTGACTCATCTCAATCTCTGGCCCTCCCACACCTCTTCCATTGCTGTGCATGCTTCTCCCTCCGACGCTACCTGGGATCAAGCCAGGATTCATCCTCCTCGCTCCTCATCAATTGGTGCTCCGATATGCCTTCCTCCTGGCACATCCCAGGCTGTTCCTCCTGGCCTTCGGATGGAACCTGAGGCATTGCCAGAAAGGAGGGTCCTGGAGAGGGAGGCCTTGTCAGTTCTTCCCCATCATCTTCTGAGTCCTCTTCCTCTGTTAGGACAGGCTTGGGAGTTGGGGTCACAACACCACCATTCAATCTGGGACCATTGATTGTGTTCTGATGAATAATTAAAGACATTGCTGTACTTATTTTAGTATTAACCTTTTCATTTATGACTTGAAGAAAAGAATATTTACATAGGCTGGAAACAAAGGCCAACATAATATGCCTAAATCTTGTCAAGGCTTAATGGAAAGGTCCAATGGATAAGCAGAAGCAATTTGAAAAAACCATAGGGTCCTCTCAGGGACTGCCATAAAGAAGAGGGAGTCAAACTATTCTCCAAAGCACCTGAGGGTGGGACAAGAAGCAATGAGCGGAAACTAACGAAGGAGAAAAATAACTAGAACTAAGGAGAAATTCCCTGACAGTTAGAACAATTACTCAGTGGAACAAGTTGTGAATGCTCCAACACTGGAAGTTTTTAAGAAGATGTTGGATAACCATTTATCTGAAGTGGTGTAGGGTTTCCTGCCTAAGCAAGGCTAGAAATTCTCCAAGGTCCTTTCCAATTCTGTTATTCTATTCTGTTCTGTTCTGTTCTGTTCTGTTCTGTTCTGTTCTGTTCTGTTCTGTTCTATTCTATTCTATTCTATTCACAGGTGTGAACTTTTGGGTAGACCTTGCTTTCAAAGACAGTTGTGTTAGACATGGATGTAGGCTTAGCAGGGGCAAATAGGTAGTGTCAAATGATATGAGGTAGAGCTTGCATTGTGATCTCACAATGCATGCTTCATTATTTAGGAGTAATTGTGGCTAGGAATGGATACTTCTGAATCTTTATTTACCTGTGAGCAAGCCCAAAGATCGAATTTCTACAGAATGAGTATTAGATTATTGCCTAAACTACTTCAACAAATAGCTAGGTTTAGAATATTAACTATCAACCAATTCAGCTATTTAAGTTCCACATAATTTTAGAATACCCTCAGGTAATTGTGTCAATAATATCAATCAATCAAAAAAGAAAGGTTTTTCAGTTATCTGTTTGGTCTTTTTCACTTTCAGATCCTTTGTTTCTTACACTATGTCAGTAATCGCTGTAAATTTTGTTGTCCCCTTATCCATCATGTTTTACTGTTACTACAATATTTCTCAAACTTTAAAGCGATACGCCAGGAACACTTATATAGAAAGCATCGAGGTAGATTGGTCGGATCAAGTTGATGTTACAAAGGTAAGGTCATGATGTGAGAATACATTTTTTCTCTTTCAGAATTATCCTGTGTATGATACCAAGAAAAATAAGCGGTACATACAGCATGATCTCTCTCCCTCCCTCCCTCCCTCCCTCCTGTCTCCCCCTTATTTCTTCATCACTCGGCACCGCACTCGCTAAGCATAAAATCATACAACCACAATGTTCCGTTTTTTCTGGCAGAGGGCTGCAGGAGGCTGGCGTGGCTGAAAATGGAGCTCAGGAGCCCGTTTTCGCTGGCAGAGCACTTGGCCATGCCCCCCCTGGCTCCCCCAAGGTCAAACACCACCCTGAATGCATTCCTCACTGAAATCGAATTTGACACACCTGCCTTAGAGGATAAGATATTCCAAAGAGCGGGTGCTGCTAAATAGATACTAAATATGCCTGTTATATTTTCTCACTATGCTCATTTGCAAAAGATTGTAATGGAAATATTTGAGTTTAATGTTTGTAATCAGCGACATGTGTAGGAATCAGGTGTTAGCAGATCTTTGTAATATAGGTGAGATGTATAACTATGCAAGTGAGAAGAAAAAAAATCCAAAGATATTGAGACAATACCAAATTACAGAGCTACTTGTGCTTCAGGTTTTTGAGTTTTGGTTTACAATTTATTGCAGAACCAGCATACAATACAGCCATAAAGAGTCACTTTGGATAGTGAGAGGGGTGGCTAAATCAATCAATCAATCAATCAATCAATCAATCAATCAAATAAATGAAAAAAGCCAGTGAAGGGAAACAGGCTTAAACAAATTGGCATTTAATTTAAAGTCTCAGATAAGAAACGTCAAGCAATACCATTTAAGCATAAAACAGACTTCAGAGCAGGGCATTTAGAAAGTTTTACATATAGATTGCAAGGAATTAAAATTGTAGAATTTAACATTAAATTCTATACTTAAAAAGATATTTGCTTGGACAAAGGAAAAATTGGAAAAAGATTGAAAATTTATTTTTCCCACACTTGCATGGAGAAACAGTTCAGGGCCAGACAGAACATTTCTGAGTAGCTGTCCAGGTATGATACTTGGGAAGAGAAAAAGACTGGACTTAGCTACAGGACCGAGTAGCAATAAGAGCAAAGCAGCTAGAGAGAAAGAGAGAGAGAGAGAGAGAGAGAAGGGAGGGAGGGAGGGAGAGAGAGAGGGAGGGAAGGAGAGAATCTTGTGGGCAATGGTTTATATGATTTTGTAGCAGAACTAACTCCTCCCTGTCCAACCACGTTGTCCCACTGCAATTTTTGGGTGTCCTTGGATAACATTGGAATCACTTAAGTCAAAGCTTGTGTAACCCGACGTTGCCTGCAGATTGAGATATGAGCCATATGGCAATTCTCTACAACATACATTCTTAATCAGCACAGATTATAATTTCTTCTTTCTATTAGGATTGTTATAACACAGTATATCTGGAAGGTGTAGAAAAAAGAATGACTAGGCAGAATACAAGTTTGAGGAAGAAACCAAATAGATACTTAAGACAGACTTAACAAAAATATTAAGGAGTTACAACGTTTTTTGTTTTTGTTTACAGATGTCTGTTGTCATGATTTTGATGTTTCTGATGGCTTGGTCTCCATATTCTATTGTGTGTTTATGGTCTGCATTTGGGGACCCAGAAAAAATTCCCCCCACGATGGCAATCATAGCCCCACTGTTTGCAAAGTCATCTACCTTCTATAATCCCTGCATTTATGTGATTGCAAACAAAAAGTAAGTGGCTCTATTGCAGGATTGAGTCCGCATGGATGGAAGAAGGAGACATGAGTTTTATGTAGTCCTGAAGAATGTAATATTTTTAAAGATAAGGAAACCCCTGTGGTTAGAAAGTTTGAATTGGAGTAGGTCTTCTTTGTAACTATTTGGTATTAAAATGGAATTTTATCATTGATTGTAATTGTGTATTGATTATAATTTCAGATTTATCTCACAACTTAAAATCCCATTTCCTCCAGCACCATACACTATGTACACTGCAGGGGTGAAATGCTACCAGTTCGGACAGGTTCACCTGAACCGGTAGTAATAAAAGCTACCGATTCGGGTAAAAAAATGCTACCGGTTCGTACGAACCGGTATTTCCGATGATCAGCTGTGCCATGTGATTTATATTTGCTAGAAAGCAGGAAATCCCGCTTTCTAGCAAATCTAAATTGCGTGGCATAGCTGTTCCCCCCCTTGCTGTTCTTCTTACCTTAGAAAAGGCTTCTTAAGCCTCCTTTTTCAGTGCTGTGCAGTAGTGCCTGTGGTGCGCATGCATGCAAAGTGCGCGTTCGATGCGCAATGCGCATGTGCACACAGCAAACCAATAGGAGACTTCAAAGCATTTCACCACTGGTACACTGAGCTTGTGATTAATATAACATTTCATGCAAATCATTAAAATGTGTTAATAAAAAGCTTATCATCAGATTAGTTAACTATGAAAAATCACACAGATTAAGTGTTCTTTCTTGATGGTGAGGATTACACATTTATAACACAGTTCCAGGAATTGCCATTGTTGTCCATCTGCCAAGCCAGTGGCCTACTGCTACTCTCCTTTTTCTATCTGTCACTTTCAAGCAAACTATATGTGGTAAAAAGCAAGGGAAGAAAGTACTTGCCCACTGCCCCAGAAATTAGTATGGATTAGGCCCAGAGAAAGAAGCATGAGAATAAGCAGCAGCAAAGGTACAGGTATCAGATCTGTAGCAAAGATCTTGACAATGCTCCTATGGTAGTAAAGAATTAGAGATTAGATTTCTTTCCTATGTTGCCTGGATCTTCTGCTGATCTTTTTTCATCAGACACTTAAAACATTTCTCCCTCTTGTAGGTTTCGAAGGGCCATCCTTGCACTAATCCAATGTCAAGTACGACAGGAGGTAACAATCAACATCTTGCCAATGCATTTATCTCAAAGTACAATTGCATAAAGATACAGCTTTAAAGCCGATCCAACTCATCATGTTTTTTTGTGTTGCAAAGAAAGTTAGAACTACTTCACATGTAACTATGTATTGCTGTATAATAACTTTGTCGTCTACTGATTCTATTTGACTTTATGGTTACAATATGATACAAGAATGATGCATACCCCATGTCTTTTGTTTCACATGAGACACAAGCTTCCTGGTATCCAATTCTCTGCTTTACTGTACATGGATAATGGTTCTATGGATTATACTATAAATAAATATATATATACTAAAACCAATTCAAATTGGTTTAGGGTGATTAGTACAGTTGAACAATTAATACTTGAGTATTTTTTCAACTATCATTCAATTTTGAAATTTAAACAAGTCTGTAAACTGCTTCAGTGAGAAATCCATTAAAAAGTGTAATGAAATTTTCTATTGCTAAAAAAATATTCAATGATCCTAGGAGAAAAAAAGCATTTATTATACCTTCTATTACTCATTTTTGTTTTTTGCAAAGTTGTTGTTGCCAAACATATTAACCTCTATTAAAAGAAATGCTTCAATTGTTGGAGAGCTAAGCAAATATTTGCTTTAGAAATAAATAAACAGTTTCAGTTTCTATCAATAGTTTATTCAAATTTTGTTAAATTGATCATTTGTACCATCAGCTATTTTTTAAAAAAAATACTTTTCTGTACATTATTACGAGTATCTTTAAATTACAGATCTGCAGTTGTTGTTTAAAAAGTAATAATGTAATTTTGAAACAACATATGGTAAATAATAAAGCATTTTGGAGATGCAAAGACTTCCACTTCAAACCTCCACTTTCACTTTAAGTTGGCTTCCAGGGCTGACATCTTTCCTGCATTATAGTGATCTTAGCACAGTGTAGTAGTTATTCAAACAACAGAATGATTTTATAGAGGAAAAATTATACTCACTATATCGGTGTTAATTTCAAATTACACATGCACTTTTTAAAAATTGTAGTATCTAACTCCTTTTTTTGTAGCAGTCTTGCTTTCAAGATGGATGTAATTTTACTACTAATGCTTTCCCCTTTTGACACAATAAAGAACTAGTGATGTCAAATGAGCATTTGCAGAGTACCTTTGAAGGTTAAGTAATTGCAGCTCTCAGATAAATCCAGGGTAATCTGCTCTGACTAAATGGAAGCTACAGGCACAAGTTTGGCATCCAGGATGATTGTCTAGGAATACAAGATCTTCGATTTTGGATTTACCTATTGTCTTGGAAAGAAACCATGCATCTGTTTGCTGCTGTTTGTGTCATGATCAGCATTTTGGAAGAAGTGGATAGTTTCTGCCCTTCTCAATGCAGCTGCATTTATCACGGCATGAGTGATGGAACCAGAACAAGGTATTTTTTTTTTCTTTGACTTTTCAAGTAGGTGTTATACTTGTAAGATTCCTATCTGTATCAAATAACAACAAAAAATGTTAATGAAATTTTAAGGAGAGATTTGTATTTTTGGAAGACTGTTTCAAAATCTGATATAATCATGGATTATGTATCCCATCAAATTGGATGTTAAGCAGAAACTAATCAGCTAGAGGTACAATTGCACATATGCACACAGACAATGGAGTGAGGGGGATTGAAATTCTAACCAAATTGGGCATAGTACTTATTCTGTACTTAGCATCTACTTATGGCAATGTACCCAGTTCATTAAAAGTGAGATTCCTTATTTTATCTAGTCTGTACATTTAATGTTATAATGAAACTGTGTTACCTAGATGCAAAAAACCCTATCCTTTTCCATTATACTATATGCAAAAATATTGTGTAAAAGGATACAGTTTCCTGCTCTATCTTATGAAAAATTGCTTTATTTTCTTTTGTAGAGAGAAGTAAGCACACTGGCTACCCAATGTGATCCAATCAAGGGAAAGGTTTCAATTGAACCTTTTCTTGATTAAAAAAATAGCAGGATAATAAACAAAATGATTCAAAGGGAATAGGGCAATGAGCTTATAAACCTTATTAATTCCTTCACATGCCCAATATGAGAGACAATAAGCAAATTTCTTCATAGCACTGGTGTTATATGCTCATCTAATTTAAAATGAAAATAAGTTTTAACATATGCTACATTTTAAAGTAATATAATGAAGGAATCTGCTTTATAAAACAACAACAAAAATATTTTACAAAAATGTCGCGTTTTCTGTTTGACAGAAGAGATCTCAGATTAGGAGTGAGGAGATAATTCCTTTGATGACCTAGAGATAATCATTTCTATTGATTTCATCTGTTTACAGGGCTGTAATGATAAAATGTGCCAGGAAAGGGAAAGATATTGGAATGCCATCCTGAGTTCTTTGAAGGAGAGTTTAGGAATAATTAAATGTAATAATATCTGTGTGAAGTGTATTTTAAGCCTACATTAATTTGGGGATTGTCCTTTATTCTGTCACTTCTATGTTCAGGCTGTCATATCTTATTTCACTATACTTAATCCTGAAGTGGTACAATCACATGTGCATTTATTTTCTTAATAATTTAAGGCCCCAGTTATTAACCATACATTTCAGATAAATTATATACGGATGCATGAAAGGTGTTTGATGCGGATGATACTTTATTCCTGCTACTGAAAAGAAGCAACACTTTTAGAAGTATTCTGTTACAGAACAAAATTCAGTAGACAAATCAATTGTTTTCCATGACTATAACTTCTTTGGACATACTTTCCCACCATTCCTCATTCTTTGAAAGAAGATTTATCCAAAAGAGCCATAATGGACACAGCTGGATTGATTTGTCAGTAGGACCTCAGTTTATTTTTTAAAATACATTGTGAAAATCTATATGACCTTAGCAGCTTCTCTTTGTTTTTTATTAGATCTGTGCTTTGTAATGATCCTGATATGTTTGAAATCCCTCTCAATATTCCTGTGGACTCTGTAAAACTCCGGGTAGAAAAGACAGTCATAAGAAAAGTTCCAGCAGATGCTTTTTATTACCTGGTGGACCTCAAATATCTATGGCTTACTTACAATTCTATCACCAACATTGATAGCAGAAGCTTTTATAATTTAAAGCAGCTACATGAATTGCGTCTGGATGGCAACTTGTTGTTGCGTTTCCCTTGGGAGTCATTGACTGAGATGCCCAATCTACGAACTCTGGATTTACACAATAACAAAATGACCAGTATTCCAATTGAGGCCGGCAAATACCTGAGAAATCTCACTTATTTAGATGTATCTAGTAACAAACTAACATCCTTGCCCTCAGACCTCATGGATATCTGGCTTCCTTTTTCTGAAACAAAAATACCCAGAAATACAGATTCCCTGGTGATCAGAGTCATATTAGGTAAGCATGAACAATTTGATTTCTTTCTTTGAATTGTGTCTTCTGAGAGAATTCAGAATTAGTCTATAGTATGAACTCAAATACTGTGGTCAATCAGCTTCACAGTAGCTGACCAACTATTTTCATATTGAAAAAAATGTTCTGTTGATGGCCCGGATGTGCAATTGTTACAACTGAGTTTGGCATTTCATTGTTCTGTAGACATTCAGTAACAAAATCAGTTAAACCATTTTGATCCGCACATTGGTTTGTTGAAAGCTTCAGCAAGTTAAGTGCAGCCTGCCACATTTCCTAGTGGTGCAGAATTTAATGTGCTGAATTGGTATATTCAAGACTGGACTAGTCTTCTCAGTAGACATGTGCTTTAGGATATGTTATCCTTAACAGCTGGTAAGGAATTACTGCTGAATTCAGCTAGGGTAAGAAGAACATTTTATTCCACAATAGACTGAATAAATTTTTAATTTTTAAAATTAAAAATTAATTTGAAACATAGTAATTGACAACATCTCCTAATATAAAATTTCCATTTTCATGCCTGCTGTCAATACAGCCATGCATTATTTCATTTTCACAATATTTGCTTGTAGTAGAGTGCCTCTATAAGATTAGTTTTGTAATTGTAGAAGTATGTTTTTCTACCCTGTTTCCCCCCAAATAAGACATCCCCTGATAATAAGCCAAATTGGGCTTTTGAGCGCATGGCAATAAGGCCAAGCGCTTATTTAAGGGTTCAAAAAAAAAATAAGATAAGGTCTTATATATAATATAAGATATATATAATAAGGTCTTATTTTCAGGGAAACATGGTAGTTTTTTTAAAAAAAAAACAGTTGAATATCATAATCTTAATATTTCTTGCTTGTCACTCGTGTGTGTGTATCTGTATATCTATCTATCTATCTATCTATCTATCTATCTATCTATCTATCTATCATCTTCTATACACACACGTTTTTGGAAAAGACTTTCAAGGACATCATAGGTAACCAAAAAAATAGTTCAGGCCAGGGTGCTGTTTATGTTGAAAAAATAATAAGCTAGATTTTTTTTTCTTAGCTCCTCATGTTTCAACAATCACAACAGAAAAGGCTGGCTGCTTGCAATTTAAGTTGCATAAATCTTGAATAAATATTCTAACATTAGATTTATCTAATGACCTTGGTGCCTTCCGCCGTGCCCTTAAAATTTTCTTTTTTCATCAAGCTGGGCTGGCTTAACATATTTTTAAATTTTAAATTTTTAATTGGTTTGTCATTTTAAACTGGGGCCAAATTAATATATATTCTTTTAATTGTTCTTAATGTTTGTATTGTATGTTTTTATCTGGCTGTACACCGCCCTGAGTCCCTTGGGAGAAGGTGCGGTATATAAATTTGAAATAAAATAAATAAAAAATAAATAAAATCAGAGGGAAATAGATGACTACTCAGAGGTGGTATTCAGCAGGTTCTGACCAGTTCTGGAGAACCAGTAGTGGAAATTTTGAGTAGTTTGGAGAACAGGAAAATACCACCTCTGACTGGTTCCGCCCCATCTATTCTCTGCCTTCCGAGTCCCAGCTGATCAGGAGGAAATGGGAATTTTGCAGTAACCTTGCCCTGGAGTGGGGTGGGAATGGAGATTTTACAATATCCTTCCCCTGCCACGCCCACCAAGCCACGCCCACCAAGCCAAGCCAAGCCCACAGAACCGGTAGTAAAAAATATGAATCCCACCACCAGTACTACTTTAGTCCTATAGTTCGCCAAATCATTTACCTTAAGCTGGAAACTGAGAAGGGAAATCCAACTCTCTTATGCTATGCTAATCTAAGTGTACATTTGCTGACATTTTTCCCTGTTAAGGTCTGCAGGACAATCCATGGTATTGTGATTGTCGTATTTCCAAGCTGATTGAATTTTCCAAAACTGGAGATAGTGCTCTTATACTCCTGGACCCTTTTGTGGCTTGCAATGGACCTGAAAGCTTGGCTGGGATCTTGTTTCAAAGAGCAGAGTTGGAACAGTGTTTGAAGCCATCAGTAATGACTTCAGCTACAAAGATTACATCACCTCTAGGAAGCAACGTGCTTTTACGCTGTGATGCAACTGGATATCCCACACCACAACTTACCTGGCTTAGAGCTAACAATAGACCAGTGAACTATACAGGTATAGTATGTTTAAAAATCCACCTGCTAAAGATGTGCTAAAGTGATTCATTAATGTTTGAGAGGAGAGGAGTTCAGTTTTTCTGCTTATGAATTGAAATGAAGAAAAAGTCAGCTGCTTTAAATTTACTCATAGAAATAAAAATATATATTTAATCAATATACTGTACTGAATTCCAGAAATTGAAAAAGCCTTAGAAAACAAATAGTTTATTTTCACTTGAGTAAAAACATTTGAAAAGAAGTCTCTGTGATATTCTAATGAAAATCTAGAAGCCAAGTCGGAATGTATTTTCAAACCACATAATTTTCTATATGAAATTTTGTCAAGGATATAATTTAAAAAAAAAAATATAGAATAGTAGCATGGAATGTCCTGCAGCATAAATAAAAATAGAAATGTATATAATTTATAAGAATATACAACCATCCTTTATTCTACAGGTCCACCCATGAACCTGAGTTGCAGTATGGCCAATTTGCCAGACTTTACATCATCATAACTTTGATTGAATTGGACCTTATATGTTTGAATTGGTTTGTGAGATTAATTGTGTTCAACCTTGAGCTAAATAGGAGTTAGGTCTTATTTGCCTAGTGTAAATGTTCTCTATTGATCCAAACATTTTTCAGTCAATGCAAATTATATTGATTTAGTTTATTGATTAGCCCATAAGCCATATCTAAGTGCAGAGTTCCAAACACAAATTATTACTAAAATCTGATAAAAAACAATTTAAAATGAGAGTGGAATAAAATACAATAATTTAATATATAGGTAAATAAAATAAAATTACATTTCAGTATCACCCCTACAATCTACCCCAATCAGTCCCACATATGCCAATCTCATCTGAACCATTTTGCTCAAGTACTGTGTTTGGAACTCTTCACTTTGATATGGTCTATGGTCTAATCGATAAAATAAACCCAATAAACTAAAGCTAGTCAATGCAGCAAGAATGAATTGAATGTTTGTGACAAGGATTTTGATCATTCCTAGAATCATAGAGCTGGAAGAGAGCATAGAAATAATGTAGTCCAACTCCAGCTCAAGGAAGAATCCACTGGAGTATCTCTGATAGATCTTAGAAGCAGTGGTGAAATCCAATTTTTTTTACTACTGGTTCTGTGGGCATGGCTTGGTAGGTGTGGTGTGGCTTGGTGGGAGTGGCTTGGTGGGTCTGGCAGGGGAAGGATACTGCAAAATACCAGCCAGAGGTGGTATTTGCCGGTTCTCCAAACGGCTCAAAATTTCCGCTACCGGTTCTCCAGAACCTGTCAGAACCTGCTGGATTTCACCCCTGCTGTGAAGACTTCTAGTTGAAGAACTCATTGTATTGTGTGCCAGTCCTTGCTTGTTAATAACTAGAATAAGGTGACCAGATTTTAAGATTGGTAAAGAGGGACACCATTGTGGGCGTGGCTTATTTTGTGGGCGTGGCTAGCTGGTCATGTGACTGGATGGCCGTGGCTACCTGGTCATGTGACCGGGTGGCCATGGCTATGTGTATAGGGACTACTCAGAGGGCTGAAAAAAGTCATTTCTGACAGATCCTCGCACTTTTGACTGGTCCTCACACTTATGACCATCCTCACATTTATGCCCATGCAGCATCCTTAACAACCATGTCACTCATTTCACAACTGCTTCTCTTCACCATGGTGATAAGATAGGGCAAAAAACGTAAAATGTGAAGACAGTTGTTCGAGGACTGGTCAAAAGTGCGAGGACCAGTCAAAAATAACTTTTTCAGCCCTCTGAGTAGTCCATATGCATAAAAGGATACAGCAATAGAGAGGGATGACGGAAGGGAAGGGAAATTAGAGTAGGAGTGAGGGTAAGAGGGGAAGGAAGAGAGGAGGAGAAGGAGAAAGGAAGAGGAAGTAGGGAGGAGAAGAAGAGGGTGGGGGGAAGAGAAAGTAAGAAGGAAAGAAAAGAGAGAGGTGGTAGGTTTGAGGAGAAAGATTGCTGTACAATAAAAAAGATGAAAGGGAAGAAAGCCAACCCCAAACAAATATAAAGATATTAAGATAAAGAATGAATGGTTAAACTTTAAAGAATAAAAGAGAACAAATATGAATAAATAGCAGTAATTAGAAACACACATACAAACATACAATTTATTTTCTTTGAAAGGAGTATTTGGCCGGTTCACAAATTTAAACTAAGGTGACCAGATTTTAACATTGGTAAAGAGGGACATTGTGGGCGTGCCTTATTTTATGGGCGTGGCTAGCTGGTCATGTGACTGGGTGGGCGTGGCTAGCTGGTCATGTGACCGGGTGGCCATGGCTATGTGTATAGGGTAAGGTGAACAGATTTTAACATTGGTAAGGACACCATTGTGGGCGTGGCTTATTGTGTGGGCGTGGCTTAGAGGCCATGTGACTGGGTGGGCATGGCTAGCTGGTCATGTGACTGGGTGGCCATGGCTATGTGTATAGGGACTACTCAGAGGGCTGAAAAGTCATTTCTGACAGGTCCTCACACTTTTGACTGGTCCTCACACTTATGACCATCCTCACATTTATGCCCGTGCAGCATTCTTAACAACCATGTCACTCATTTCACAACTGCTTCTCTTCACCATGGTGACAAGATAGGGCAAAAACGTAAAATGTGAGGACAGTCATAAGTTCGAGGACTGGTCAAAAGTGCGAGGACCAGTCAAAAATAACTTTTTCAGCCCTCCGAGTAGTCCATATGCACAAAAGGACTAACCAGAGGGCTGAAAAAAGTCATTTCTGACAGGTCCTCGCACTTTTGACTGGTCCTCACACTTATGACCATCCTCACATTTATGCCCATGCAGCATTCTTAACAACCATGTCACTCATTTCACAACTGCTTCTCTTCACCATGATGACAAGATAGGGCAAAAATGTAAAATGTGAGGACAGTCGTAAGTTCGAGGACTGGTCAAAAGTGTGAGGACCAGTCAAAAATAACTTTTTCAGCCCTCTGAGTAGTCCATATGCATTAAAGGATACAGCAATAGAGAGGGATGAAGGAATGGAAATTAGAGTAGGAGTGAGGGTAAGAGAGGGAGGAAGAGAGAAGGAGAAGGAGAAAGGAAGAGGAAGTAGGGAGGAGAAAAAGAGGGTGGGGGGAAGAGAAAGTAAGAAGGAAAGAAAAGAGAGAGGTGGTAGGTTTGAGGAGAAAGATTGCTGTACAATAAAAAAGATGAAAGGGAAGAAAGCCAACCCCAAGCAAATATAAAGATATTAAGATAAAGAATGAATTGTTAAACTTTAAAGAATAAAAGAGAACAAATATGAATAAATAGCAATAATTAGAAACACATATACAAACATACAATGTATTTTCTTTGAACAGAATATTTGGCTGGTTCACAAATTTAAACAGTGTTTAGTCATTTCAATTAAATTTACAATTTCTATATTTCCTTTTTGCCATATTTATTCATCTATTTTTTAAAAAAAACAATATTACCCTTCATCCTCATCTCTAATCTTAATCAAATTCAATTTTTCCCTTCTATTCTATATTATACCCCTTCCCATTGTCATCTATTTTTATATCCATCCTCACATTGTTTAATTATGTAATTATGTAATACAGTTGTTTAATACAAATTCAACATTTTAATATAAATCAATTAGTTATAAAACTATCTTTTTGTATATTAATCAATATGAACATGAATATTCCAATTATTTCCATGCAATCCAATTTCTTACAAATCAATTAATTATATTTACCAATAATAATAAACCAAATAATTTCTCCCATATATTCCTCTGAACCACAACTTAACCATTTCTGCTTTCAACACAATATACAATTAATAGTATCTCAATTATTACAATTCCCTAGTTAAATACAGCTTTTTTTCCTTTTGTGTTTTAAAATCTTGAACTCTCCTCCTAAATTTCCCATTGTTTGCAGTTTTTCACCTACCTTTTTTGGGGAGGAAAAATAAAAATAAAAATAAATCTCTCTCTGCCTCATTTTGTCACGTTGCACCAAAGATCCTGGTTTCGGTTTCGTTTCTGCAGCTTAGCTAGGGGAAAAAAAAACTGCTTCAGGAACTCTTTACACTGATTGCCTGTAGGGCGGACCTTTGAAGTCCCGGGCAAGAGTTTAAACAGTTTTTTTTTCTTTTAGCCATCAGTTGGGGCTCAAGAGGCAGCGGGACTCAGGAGGCAGAATGAAAAATCGGGACTTTTTTGAAACGCCGCGGGACGCGGGACAAATTGCTAAAAATCGGGACTGTCCCGCCAAAAGCGGGACGTCTGGTCACCTTAAACTAGAAGGTCCTAAAGATTGGATGTTATTCTCTTAGACCTCAGGATTTTGATTTTTGATCTCTTCCTTCAATATATTTACATTTTCAAAATTCAATTATGTAGTACCATCTGCACTGCTGAATTGCAGCTCTATCAATTTGCTTCATAAAACTGATTTTTGGCAATAAATGTTTTCTACTTCTAGAGATATAAAAGAACACCCCCTTCTCTCTTTATATATATAGCGATAAAGATAGAGACATACATAGATCTTATCAAGTACCATGGCATGATGGGAAAATGAAATCTGTCATGGGGCAGATGGGTATTCAAACTCCCTTCCACAAAATATTTGTCTTCTTAAAAATATGCAAATATCTGTCTTTATTTGTGGAAATTACATTCCCAAATGTATACATGTAGAGAAGATCCTGTATAGAATGATATACTAAGGACAACTATAGAAGATGCTTGTATTTTTTAAGAAATAATTTATAGGAATGCAGGACTGGATCCAGACTGATATACATCCCTAAGTATATAGTGTTATTACCTTTTCTTCTAGCTTAATCTTGCAACATAACATCACATTTCACAAAGAATTCTAAAATTGGTTTTCATGTTCAAAGAGGCGTATAATAGCCTTTTTTTTGGCTTTATCTTCAACCAGTTCTTAGAAAGAAAAAAAAAAGGAACTTTCTTCTTGTTTTACAGTGCTCTTTTCCAAATGAAGTCTGAACTTAATGCATGGCATGCTAGATCTGAAAATAATGATTTGCAATGAATGGGAGGGAAACCTATTTTTATGAGCAACATAAAAGAAAGCAAACAAAAGAAAGAGAGGAGTCCTATAATTCACTGCCCTCTAGTTGATTACTTGGGAGTTCTATACCAGGGGTCTCCAACGTTGGCAACTTTAAGACTTGTGGACTTTAACTCCCAGAATTCCTCAGCCAGCAAAGCAAAGCTGGCTGAGGAATTCTGGGAGTTGAAGTCCACAAGTCTTAAAGTTGCCAACGTTGGAGACACCTGTTCTATACAACCTTGGGCTTTGATTCTGAGATGCACTGCCAGGTGCAGGACAGGGGATGCATCTGGATGCGCTGATAGAGCTGTGCATTTTTGGCAAAAACTGGGAAAAGGTTTTGACTTGCTAACAGTAGGTACGAATGGAATAATTATTCACCATCCATCTCCCTCAATTATACTTTATAAAGTATGATTTTGTACAGTAAATTAGCAAAACATCTGATAACCAGAAGATATTTTTAATAGAAGGATCTAACTTCAGTTTTAGTACTTAAACAAATTCCTGAGTTGAGGATTTTTTATTTCCAAGTGAGTATCTTCTTTGCTCTGAATTCTAATAAAAAAAAAACAATATATAATTTGTTCCTATCTGTTGTATGTTCTAGGCTTCCTTTAGGCATAAAAGCCAATTAGGTGACCTTGGACTAATTATTGTCACTGAGCCCTATCCACCTCACAGACTTCTTGTTGTGGGGAAAGTAAGTTAAATAGGACAAATAGATATGACTGCTGCCTTGAATTATATTTTTAAAAGGCAAGATTAAAAATAAATCTTGAAAACTCAGCAATATCAGAGAAGCACTGCTATCTTTGAGAGAAAATGAGAAGTGCTTTTTCTAAAACTTGCCAATTTAATTGTGCTAGATAAATGTAAGACTGTTTCAAATGGTATATTTAACAGATTGTTTGACTAATTGTTGTAGTCAAACTAAAAATAATGCTTCTCATTTGAAATCTTTGCCCCCTAGCCATCTAATGCTATAGCTTCTTTGTATTCAGATTCATTCATTTATAAATAATATATATTTGACTGCCATTTATATTGTATTTCTTTCTTTCCCAGTTATTCAAGAAAGTCCAGGAGAGGGTGAAAGATGGTCCATTATTAGTCTGACAGGCATTTCCTACAAAGATGCAGGAGACTACAGATGCAAGGCCAAAAATTTTGCTGGAATGTCAGAAGCTTTTGTTACTCTCACTGTTATTGGTGTTGTTACCACAACGGAACCTTCCCCAAAATATGGCAAGAAGACAGGAACAGAGCAAGCAAATGCTACCCAAGAAGATGTCAAACCAGAATTTTTCAACGTGACCCTTTCTTCTTCTACAATAACATCCACAACCACTTCTCCGTCTACAACTATGGCCACCACTGAAACATTCATAACTAAAAGAGAAACTGACACAAAACAACCCGAGCCCATGGCTGATGACAAAAAGAACAGGAACACAATTGTTAATGGAAGGAAAAAGCAATTGGATACATCACTCAGTGTAGAGTCAGCAGATGAACAAAATGTTACTCTGAAAAACCTAAGAGTAATTCCTGAAACCAGTGAAAGAGTGACCTTAATGTGGAAAAAGATTGATGTCTCTAATAATTCTGCTTTGGCTGTGCTGTATTCCAAGTATGGAGAAAAAGAGATGGTGTCACTAAATCCAGATCCCACAAAAAACAAAGTGACAATAGATGGTTTGGAGCCTAGCACAAAATATATGGCCTGCGTCTGCCCCAAAGAGATGCTTCCCACTAAAGATCAATGCATCATTTTCTCCACGGATGGAATTAATATGGAAGACAAATCTCCTATTTCCATTTTGCTAGTAGCTAGTGGGGTAGCCTGTGCAATAGCAATACCACTCATTTTTTTCTTACTGTATAAAGTTGTAATGCTTCACAGGAAACCAAAACTGATCAAGGAAGATGAACTTGCAAAAGAGACTTATATCAAATTTGAAACTCTTTCTTTTAGACCACATTCCATGGGAGCAAATGTGGAGATCTGGACTCACCGAAACACTGATGAGTCTGAAAGACAACTACTTTGTTCCAGGTCAAGTATGGATTCGCAGATGACCTTCAAAAGTGAAGGTTCTAGGTCAGAGTACTTCTACTAACTCTGGGTTCTGTAGATTAGATAATCTACAGAACCCAAAGTCAGCAAAAGTACTCTGACCTAGGACCTTCAATTTAGATACAAGCAAAAGAAGCTGAGACCCAATACTGGATCAATGCCAATCACAAATCATGGATGACAAATACTGTAAATGATAGAAATTAAACTCTTATAGGGTGAGGAAGGGAAAATACTTCTACAAAAACATTTAATGACACTTGATTATTCCCGAAGCACTTATCAATGTATAGTTTCTTCTTGATTAATACTTTGTTGTTTAAAAAAATATTTATGTAAAATATTTTTCCTTCCACGTTGCTCTCCACGTTTCTTTCAATATATACTGCTGCAGTTCAATGCAAAGTACTTATCAATATTTTATTTAATTAAACTCAAACTCCTGAGTTATGCATGAATGGAAAAACCCAATGGGGCACAACCCAGAATAAGCCATTTCAATTAGGTTGATGAATTAGTTTCAAGAGGTTGTATGATTAAAAATATGAGATTCAATTTGGGAAATGCACATAAATATTTATAATGTCAAGGTGTAATGCAGATAATCAGCACTAAGCTATATATATGTATATGCAGTTAGTCAAAGTAAGTCAGTAACTACACCTGAAATAAGTCACACCTAAATTCCACTCAAATACTTTATTTGATAACTTGGACCTGCTTTGTAATTCCATATGATAGATTTTTCAGAAGAATCATATGAGGATTGCATTTCCTCAACCCATGTTATGAGTTTAAGCTAATGATGAATAGGCATAAGTAAGTAAGAGTTGCAACAAAAGAACTAAACTTATTATATACTAAAATGGTATAGGGCAGGAGTGTCAAATTTGTGGCCTATAGGCTGGATGCATTACATGCTGGCCATGGCCATGCCCGGTTTAGCGAAGGGGGGAAAAGTTGTGATACATCATGTGACGATGCTGTGACGACGTGAGTTTGACACCCCTGGTATAGGGTTTCCTGCCTAAGCAGGGAGTTGGATTAGAAGACCTCCAAGGTCCCTTCCAACTCTAATTCTATTCTATTCTAAACTGTATAGGTAAGCTAGAGGAACATATTTTGGACTTATCCATTAAGATTAGAAGAGAATATTAAGAATGATTAAAGGAGAGTTTGAAAGATTAAAGCAAGTAATATCTTTTTTCAAAGAATCTAGGCCACAGTGCAATGATTCTCTCCCAATATTTAGTATCTATCTTCTATCTTAGTATCTATCTTCTATTCAATGATATATTGCTGTTGATTTTAATATTTTCATTTTAGCCATTCAAAATAATAGTGGTTAATGCATCAGTTCTTGAGGAATGTGAATGAACTGATCAATCTGTTCTTAAATAACTAGTAACATTATCAGCCTTTACCATGGTTAAGAGGCTGAGGTGCCTCAGCGGTTCAATCAGCTGAGCTTGTCATCTGGAAAGCTGACAGTCCGGTTCAAGACCCGAGTGCCACGTGTTGTGATGAGCTCTTGTTACTTGTCCCAGCTCCTGCACGGCTAGCAGTTTGAACGCATGCAGATGCAAGTAGATAAACAGGTACCACTTTGCTCTGAAGGTAACAGTGTTCAGTGTACATTGGCTTATGGTCACGCTGGCTACACGACCATGGAAATGTCTGTGGACAACACTGGCTTCCTCGGCTAACAAAATGGAGATGAGCACTGCCTCCTAGAGTCGGAAAGGCTGGACAGGGGAAACCTTTACATTTACCTTATTATGGTCAATGGCCAAATGTATACATGTTTACATTATGAAGGTTACAGAACTGGAATTTCAGAAAGTAATGAAAACTGAGATAACATAGGGTGAAAGAAGTAGAATACTACAGAAGAATTCAAACACATAAAACAGAGCTAAAATTACAGAAATACCATATTCTGGTATTTCTCCTAAGAGTGTATTAAGTGTACTAATGCTTGTCTTTTAATAAGAAAAATATTAAGTTAGCTTGAGCTCCCATTACTTGTCCCAGCTTCTGCCAACCTAGCAGTTTGAAAGCACGTAAAAAATGCAAGTAGAAAGAATAGGTGTTCCTTTGGTGGGAACAGTGTTCCGTGTGCCTTTGGCGTTTAGTCATGCCGGCCACATGACCACGGAGACCTCTTTGGACAGCGCTGGCTCTTTGGCTTTGAAATGGAGATGAGCACCACCTCCTAGAGTCAGGAACGACTAGAACATATGTGGGAGGGGCACCTTTACCTTTACCTTAGAAGACCTAATATCTTTTATTTATGATGTACCCAGAGTATATCGCCTTTGGAACAGTTTCTCCCATTGGATCTGGATGGCCCTGAGTCTCTTAGTCTTGAGGAATGTGTTAAAAGCTTCATTCTTTTCCATTACCCCATTCCAGGCACCAGGCAAGAATGGTGAATAAGCTTGTTTTTTGAGAGAGGGTTTATACAATTGGTGACCTCCAGCTGTTTGGTGTTTATGCCCTGCTTTATGAATTTAGGGTGTTTTGATGGTTGATGTGTAGGTATTTATTTACCGTGTTGTTTTGGGGTTTTGATATATTGATGTACGCCACCTTCGAAAAGTTGGACAGCTATGTAAATCATAGACAGAATATCAATAAATTTCAGAATCACCCCAATAGTTCTAATTTTTTGAAAACATGTTTTTATTTTTACGTTTTGGTTCCCTTCCCAGTTGTGCAGTTTCTTATCTGAAGCCAGCAAGAGAAACAACAGCTGTAGATGTTTTTGGACTCTGTAAAAATAAGAACGCCAACTTTGGGGTTATGGTTTTCATGTTGTAATTTGGTTCTCTGGAGTATGGCATGGCTGTCTCAAGAGGTTTTGTTGGGTCAAACTATCTTGATGTTTACTGTATTTATTCACTGCATATTATATCTTGATGGCATGGAGATGTATTTACTCCTGTTTTATAGTCAACAATAAGTTTCTAACAAGCCAGACAGCCTATGATAACGTTTCCTCCATTGTATTTAAGGGCAGATGGCAAATTGATGGAGTACAAGGCAACTGATATGGTACATACAACAATTCACTTAGTGGCTGTTCAAAGTTACAATGGCACTAAAAAAAAGTGACATGACCATTTTTCACACCCTAAAAATTGTTGCAGCATCTCTATAGTCGTGTGATTTATGTTCGGATGCTTCACAACTAAATCACCTTTATGACGGTTGCAGTGTCCCAGAGTCATGTGATCCCCTTTTGCAACCTTCTGACAATTGGGAAACCAGATTCACTCAACAACCATGTTACTGATTTAAGAACTGCAGTGATTCAATTCACAAATGTGGTAAGAAAAGTCGTAAAATGAGGCAAAACTCACTTAACAAATTTCTCACTTAGCAACATAAATTTTGGGTTCAGTTGTGGTCTACCTGTACAGATGTGCCTTCGTTGTAGGGACGGTGCTAGGGAAGGCTGTTCCTATTGTCCTTCTCATTGTGTAAGACAGGGCTGTCAAACTCCCAGCCTGCAGGACTGAATGTGTCACACACTGGCCACGCCTATGCCCGGTTTAGCGAAGAGGGAAAAAGTTCCCATATATCATGTGACGCCGCCGTGACAGTTTGACACCCCTGGTGTAAGAGAATGCACCTCATTCTTATGCCTAATAGGGATAAAAATAATTGCATAAAATAATAAGACAGTACAAATCCATATTTACACAAATATACCTCTGAATAATTTTAGCAAGGCAAATATATTCCATGACAGAGAATTTTGAGCATACACCTAGATTTGTATAAAAAGCTAAGAATTTCCCAAGCACAGTTCAAATAAGGAAAGTGAGAAATTACCTTGTCAGATATAAGGCAATTAGATTCCCTTATCAACTTCATAGCAACAGATGGAACACATAAAGTAAATAAGACGTTACTATGTAGAGATGCCTCAACATGAAAGAACATTTTTCATGGTCTTGTTTTTTGGATGGGAGAGAATGATGCAGCCACTAATGAGTATTTCATGCTATTTCTTTTCCAGAGTGCAAGGGTATAAACTCTTGGTAATTTGGGCCAAAAAAGTCAACATTCCCAGGAATGGTTTCATATACAGCTGTGGTGCCGTCTTGATAATGCCAGGATGACCAGCTGCTGTAGCCTGCCATTCCAGCAGAAACGATACCGTCAACTTGACATTTACCAAGGCTATGTGTAAAGTTTCCCACTTAAGCAGTTGATTGAGTCCGGTGGTGAAATTCAATTTTTTTACTACCGGTTCTGTGGGCGTGGCTTGGTGGGTGTGGCAGGGGAAGGACACTGCAAAATCTCCATTTCCACCCCACTCAAGGGAAGGATACTACAAAATCTCCATTCCATCTCCACTCCTGGGGGATGGATATTGCAAAATCTCCATTCCCACCCCACTCTTGGGCCAGCCAGAGGTGGTATTTGCCAGTGCTCTGAACTACTCAAAATTTCCGCTACCGGTTCTCCAGAACCTGTCACAACCTGCTGGATTTCACCCCTGATTGAGTCCCCAATTTCACTAGGAATAAATCAAGCCAGTGATGATGTTAAAGTTATATGTAACCTATAAAGCTAAGCTCTCCCATTAGACAGAGGTCAATAGATTTCAGACAGTGGTAAAAGAGAATTATTCTTATGTCACACAGAATCTCCTGGATTTAAATAAAATGGAGGCACCAAATATATTCAACTTCTATTTAATCATTTTTTATTCCTGAAATGCGGTAGATGATATTCAGTACTTAGCTGGATTATTTTATCTACAGGTAGTACTTGACTTATGATCACAATTGAGCCCAAAATTTCTGTTGTTAAGTGAGGCAGATGTTAAGTGATTTTTGCTTTATTTTACAATCTTTCTTGCCACCATTGTTAAGTGAATAATTGTGGTAGTTAAGTTAGTAACATGGTTGTTGTGTGAATATGGCTTCCCCATTGATTTTGCACGTTAGAAGGTTGCAAAAGATGATCATGTGAACCTATGACCCTGCAATTATCATAAATATGAGTACGTTGCCAAGCATCTGAATTTTGATCACATCACCATCGGGATACTGCAATGGTCGTAAATGTGGAAAATGGTCATGAGTCATTTTTTTCAGTGCCTTCGTAACTTTGAATGGTCACTTAATGAACTGCTCTAAGTTGAGAACTACCTGTATTTATTATATTTTCAGTGGTTCCAACACTTTTTGTTTCTCAACTACTGGCTTCAATTGGGGGGTGGGTGGGTTTGAAATAGAAGAATTAGAAGACAAATAATATAAATGTAAGTTTAAATAATACTGCAACCTAAAGTAAAACATCTTATTTTAAATACTTTAATTTTTAAAAAAATCTGATTAAAATCAAGCACAAACACACAGCCATCCTAATCAGGCATTTATAGCAAGAGGAGTCTCAGCCAGTTTCACTTCAGCAAGTTGGCTTCATTTCTATTTGCAAACACAAGCTTCACTCAAGTGGCACTAAAAAGAAAAGAAAGGGCGGTTGGGGAACAAGCTGTATAAAGAGAGGAGTCATTCTACCATCAGGGTAAAACAGAGATTTGTGTCTGGAAGATTCTAACACCAGCTGAACTGATAGAAAGGAATTATTTTGAAAGGTTCCTAGAAATCGACTTTGTTTCATTTTACTTAACATCTTTAGAGACCTCAACAGCTCGTTCATTTGTTGCTTTGTTTCAGTTCTGGAATTTGGACGTGTTCTTTGGTTTTAAGCCGCATTAAATTTGTAACAAGTGGGTCAGGCATTTCATACTTGGTTTCCAAAAGAAAAAAAGAAGAAGAAAAAATCCCCCACCATTACATAAAAAGGATGTGGAAGCACAGGCACTGAAGAGTTCACCCTGGAATTTCTTCAAAGTTCAGAGCTACTGATAAGGCCGCACCTCAGTTCTCAAATGAGGCAGGAACAAGATTTCTTTGGTTATTACAGACAAGTGCATCTTGAAGAATTGGTACACCTGCTATTTTTTGTTGTTGTTTTTTTTGCGCCAGGGTATGACAAAAGATAAAATAAGCTGTGTACTACTGCAGAGTTTTTTTTAAAGAAACTTTTTAAAATGATGTTTCTCTTTTCCACATTTTTGCCTGTTGTTTTTAAAATGAGTATTATCGATCTGTCAATTCAGGAGATCAGAATCTGCCCCAGAGGATACCAAATGGGGAAGGAAAATTCCTCTTGCTTTGGTGAGTGAAATTAAAACTTCAGACACCCTCAGAGACTTATTGCATTTTTATTAGTATTTCTATTTCTTTTATTTAATTGTGTCTGTTTTGATTTGGTAAATGCACAACATGTGTTACAATAAGCTAACTGATTGATAGCGGGTCTTGTTTTCCCAAAATCTTGTCAACAAAATAAAAGTGTCCATGAGAAACATTTTAATAAATGTAACTGTTGATCTGGAAAAATCAGGATTACTTCTTGAAGAAACTAGATCTATAGTGAACTCTAATTCTTTCTTGGTTTCTGGTGGTGGTCTAGATTTTTGCACTCCATATCTGATATAATCTCAGTAAGATGCTAGAAACTAAGTATTTGGTACCGAGAAGACTTGGAGTACCTGAATATTTTTATATTGTTCAAAAATTTAAGGCTTAATCTACACTACAAACACACTTCGTTTTTTGTTTATATTATTTTAGGAGTAGTTGGTTCTGTCAACCTATCTGACCTGAGAAATATAAACCAGCAAAATGACTTGATTTTTACATGGTTTAGTTTTTGGGAAATTCCTTGGAAAGATGGCATAGCTGTTAAACTAGCAACTTGCCTAGTAGCTATTCCACTTGATATAACTCTTATAACCTCTTCAGCCTGATTATTGGCCAGACTACTTAAGTATTATGCTTGAGGATTATAGGAGCAGTAGTCACACACCTCAACAAAACAAGAGGCTTCTATCCATCTAATGTGTATTAACTCAATGTTATGCACGTTAAATTGGAAATAAATCCCATGAACCCTGTGGGACTTGTTCCTTAGATTGCTTCAGCGGAAAGTGTCCCAAAATCAATATATTTTTATCAAATGAATTATTATTGGTAAAATAGTTTCACTATTTTTATTTGTCACTGTTATTGGGTCTTTTTTTTCAGAGCCAGTGTCCATCAATCCATCAGGTTTCTCTGTTTAAAGTTGGATTTCCATGGCCATTTTGTTTATTATTCATTGAATTTCCTGAGTTTTAAGGCCCTGTCAGCACTAGTCATGGAAACAATTCATCATTTACTCCTATCCTACACACTGAATGCTACATAGTAGTGACATTAGATCATCGTTTCAGATGTTATAGACCTGGTTTGCAATCAGAGATAAAAGATAAACAAAAAAAGTAAGATTAAAGAAAGAAAAAGTGTGTGTTGAGAAATTAAGAAGTGTGATTAAGAAATATAAATAGAAAAAAATAGAAAACGAACCGTATATAAGGAAGCAACTCCCAATTTTCTTTGCAGCAGTTACAAACAATCCTATCTCATTCCTAATTCCATGTGTACCATAATTAACTTCTTTTTGTGTGCAACTTTTTAAAATAGCAAATCCATTAACCACCAATTCATTTTTTCAATTTTCAGCAAAAAAAAATCCTTAATAGATTTCCAGTGTTTAATAACTTGTGTAACTTCCTTTGTTATTGCTAAATATCTATGGAGATTCTCAGTCATCCAGAGCATGGTTGTCCCAAAGGTTCATCTCTGAAGAAGCTTCTTGGATGAGAAGCGAAACATCTTCAAAGAAAAATCAGAAAGTCCAGTGGCCTCTTGAAAAAATGCACCTTTGGGACTTCCTTTGTTATTTTTGCCAAACATTTTGTGGTCTTGTTTGTTGCTAAAAATGAGAAGTCAGTGCATTTGTTACATTTGAAAGTTATACAAATGACTGAAGACATTGGGTTATTGTTTACGGGTTAGTACTGTTATTATTTCTAGTTCTGCTCAGTTTTTGGAGGGGAATTTTATAGTCATCACTCAAAGTTTCACTCTCACATAGATTTATTGTGGAATAACTTTTTTTCTCACATAAATTGAGAAACCCTGATAACTACAGAAATCATTATAGGCAAATTAAACAAACAAACAAACAAATGACAGGATGTGCCACAGATAACTTCTTTCCCCCAAAATCCTAGAAATTCTGTTTTTTCAAAAGTATATTTCAAAGTTGCACCAAACTTTGCTCAAATTGAAGTTCTGTATTTATTAAAGAGGACTGTGGTTTGCTTTCCAGTGAGTCTCTCTGCCTTCATACCATGCATACTAATGTTTCACGTTCTGTGACTGGAACTTTGCTTTTATTCTTGGTAAATGTAGTTCCTTGTGTCTAAGGATTCTGAATTTTACTGCCAGCTTTGCAAAGACGTGATTCATTATTTAGACTCATTCTCTCAGGCTGTCTCTGCTGAGATGGCATAAAGAGGCTTTTGAGCACACAGAGCAGAAACCCAGGCTTTCATTCACTACTGCCTGTCAAGTTTTTTGTGGATAGACTTTTTTGGCAGCTGCAGCTGCTTCACTTCAGGAATAAAAGAGAAGCAGGTGATGAAGGCAAATATACATGTCCCAGGATAATGTTAAAGGATCTACGATAATCTAGGTCGGTCAGCAGAACCAGAAGTTTTGTCTTCCGAGTTTTTGGGCTCATGCTGGAGCCCATCTTCAGGAAACTTCTCTGTAGCACACTCTGCTGGAGAGAAGTTCCCTGAAGATGGGCTCCAGCATGAGTCCGAAAACTTGAAAGACAAAATCTCTGGTCCAGGTGACTGATGTAGATTGGATCCTGCATAAGCAGGTGATGTTGGGTTAACATTTCATGATTTGGCTACTAAGAAACATAGCTGCCCAACTCTGGAATAGAAACAGGTTTTCTAATAAGAAAAGATGAGAAAACCATATTTTCTCATTAGTTGAAGTAGATGTTTTCAGGTGTGCCAGAAGAGATGATGGTGCTGTTTGGGTATCTTCATCTGCAGAATGATTTGGAACCTCTTGCTTCTAGAAAATGATTAGATCTGATCTCTGCATTAGTTAAGAAAAGCCCCTATTGTTAGATAGAATGAAGCTCTCGTGCTGGGGAATGGATTGGGATAGGTGGGGAAACAGACCGAGTACCATTGCAGTAATCCTTCTGATCACCTGAGCATACAATAGGCATCACCATGAAATGATATTTTTTTAAAAAAGAGATGCATTATGAAGTATTGGAATAAATATGTCAAATGCATAGGCATTTATGTAAGCAATGTTCAAAGTAAGTACTCTGCACTTTGGTTCACTGGGAATTATTAAATGATAGATGCAAAGCAATATAAATAGAACACCTGCTCCATTATCAACATGGTCAAAGCCATCTTGTTGGATCAGGGCACTTGCATAAAAAGATGGATTTTGCTCTGGAACAACATCTGAGCATTATTTAGACTTATACAATCACCAATGCTGTTTTAACTACTTGCAGACCTGTCAAACTGGCAGCCTGCGGACTGGATGTGTCATGGGCAGGCCACGTCCATCCCAGCTCCACAAAGGCAAAAAAACATCATGATATGTCACGATACATCATGTGACGGGATCGAGTTTGACACCTGTGAACTAGAGGAATTGAAATGCATAGTCACTAATCACGGCACTGATATCATTAGCCAATACATAGGAAAACATTTCTAAACTTCCCATTTCTGCTCTGATCTATACATTAATATTTTTCAGATATTGACGAATGTCTGGAAGGTAGGATTCAGATTTGTAGCCAAAATTGCCTCAATGTTCCTGGATCCTTTATCTGTTCCTGTATGCCAGGCTATTCTTTGGGAGACGACAAGAGGTCTTGTCATGTAAGCGGTAAGGTTGGTTTGTTGTTTTTGACTAGTCTGTCATAAAAGCTGTTTTGGTCAAAGGAAACGCTGACTCCCTCCCTCCCCAAGTTTTCATCCTTCATCTGAAACATGAAGATGGTGATATTTTGTATGTCTTTTTGCACATCAGCCCCCAAACTGTGGAAATACTTTCCCAGGGAAATCTGACTAATCTTATTTGGCTAGTTACACTAAATTCACTCTCAAAATATATTACTGATTCCTAGCTTTATTGTATGATTTCCCCCCACACACACACTGTCTGTCTTTGCTTTTTGTTCTTTGTATATTGTCCTTTTTATTAAAAAAAAGTATTTAAAAGCATCTTCTGTGGAAGAGAGCGTGAAGATACCTTTTCAAATGGAAACCAGACATCTCGACATGAATGTGTCTGTCCAGGATGCATATTGGCACCCGTGAATATGCAGAGCTGCTCCTCTCTCAACATTCTTTGAATGTGTGAAACTTTGCATATAAATGACTCAATTGTATCTTGCATTTTGCCAAGGAGCGTTCCAGTTCAAATCTTGGATTCACTTTTACTTGTATAATATAACTTGTAAATGAGAAAAGAAATATTAAGGGGAACATTTACATAGCAGATTTTAAAATTCATGGGTATGGAACACAGTTAGTTGCAGAACATTTGGTGTTAGCTCTTAAACTAAGTAACTAGTTTGCTGTAGGTAGAGGAAATAAGAACTCAAGCATATAAAAGCCTAAAAAGCTTTTTCTTCGTTGGGGTGGAGAAGGAAAGGAGGGGAATTTGCAACACACACACACACACACACAGCACTCAGTGGTGGGATTCAAGTAATTTAACAACCGGTTCTCTGCCCTAATGATTTCTTCCAAAAACCAGTTTGCCAAACTGCTCAGAAAGTTAACAACCGGTTCTCCAAAAGTGGTGCAAACTGACTGAATCTAACCACTGCCAGCACTGTGTCTCAGTGGGACTTCACTCTGTGTAGCTGCAAAGGAGATGATTAAACATATGCATGTGTGTGTGCACGTACATGTATATCTAGTCATGACTTTCTCTCTCTCTCTCTCTCTTTCTCCCTCCCTCCCTCCCTCCCTCTTTCTTTCTTTTTCTTTCTTTCTTTCTTTCTTTCTTTCTTTCTTTCTTTCTTTCTTTCTTTCTTTCTTTCTTTTCTTTCTTCTTTCTTCATTAATTTATTAATTTATTCAATTTCTATAACTCAGCCAAATCACTCTGGGCAGCTTACAATTCTAAAACTATAAAACAATTTAAAAACATCAAAAAATGAAAACTTTCACAAAAATAAATAAGTAGCAATAGCAGCCATGATGCTTAATCAGCTGATAGCAAAGCCAACAAATTAGGCCTTTAACGCATTGCGAGATCCAGGCCCTGGTACACAGGCAAGTTTTTAAAACCTTGCAAAAGATCAACAATTGGGTCCAATTGTTCTAATCTCTGAAGGGAGAATGTTCCAGAAGGCAGGGGCTATAGCAGAAAAAGCCTATCTTCTGGTTTGACACTCTTTGGCTGACAGGATCTGTAGAATGCCCAATCTGTTGCATCAGTTTGGACAGAAAGAATCTCTTAGAAGATGACAGTTCCTCGGAGTTCCTCTCCACTTTCCCATGGTTAACACACTGCCAGGTGATTGCAAGCTCCATATCTAAAAAGCCAACACAACTTCATATTGATTCATTTCAATATGAAATGAATACACACACACTGGACCAATAGTCCATTAAAATATTGTTCCTTGAGTATAATTAAAAGCACCATAATTAGTGATTCTTGCCTTAGATAGCAGATGTGGGAGTGTACAAGTAGTCATCAATTTACAATCACATTGGGATTGGAACGTTTGTCACTAAGTGATAAGGCTATTAAGTGAATCACTCCTGATTTATGATTATTATTTTTTTGCATAGTTGTTAAGCAAATTTGCTTCCTCGTTGATTTTGAGTTTCCAAAGCCGCCTTGGAAAGTTGCAAGTGGCGATCACATGACCCGAAGATGCTGCAATTGTCGTGAATTCATGCTGGTTGCCAAACACTCAAAATTGATCATGTGACTGCAAGGGTGCTTAGACAATCATAGACAATCATAAATGCGAAGACTAGTCATAAGATAGAAGATGATAGGTAGGTAGGTAGGTAGGTAGGTAGGTAGGTAGGTAGGTAGATAGATAGATAGATAGATAGATAGATAGATAGATAGATAGATCAGCATTACCTTCCATGATACAGGACTGAACCAGGGGTGGGTTCTACTTACCTTTACTACCGGTTCGCAATGCGATCGCGCATGCACACTCGCTTTTCTCGTGCATGTGCCTTGCTTTGCACATGTGCCTTGCTTCTGCGCATGTGCAGATCACTTCTGGTGATGTCAGGGTCAGTGGGTGACGCCTCCCACCAGTTTTATTACCAGTTCTATAGAACCGGTCCGAACTGTGGGCAACCCACCACTGGACTGAACCCTTTACGTAAGGGGTGTCCAACCTTGGCAACTTTAATATTTGTTGACTTCAACTCCAGAATACCTCATGCTGGTTGTGGGATTCTGGGATTTGAAGACTATGTTTTAAAGTTGCAAAGACTGGACACTCCTGCTTTACACATTACTCCTAGACAAAAACCCCTGGCGCCTGTGAATTTAGATCCCCAAGAAATATATATAAAATTATAGCAAAACTTTTAAATAAGTGTTCTGTCCCCGTCTCACACACGCACCCCCACAGACAGGCAACAGTTAAAGTACTCAGCCAACAACAGTTTATCTGGTATCAGAATTGGCAGAAACCCAGTGGCTGGCTGCCAGGTATTCTTTCCTCCCGAGGGGGGAGTTTCTCCCTTCGTCCGGGAACAAAGCCAATACACAATAATCAACAAAGTCCAGTAAATACAAAGAAGGTCGTCCGATATCCGTTTTTTGCTTGTCACAGAGCTGAACTGGCCACCACACCCTCTTTTATACCCTGTGGGGTGTGGTCCAGTGACTCAGCCTAATCCCTGGCACACCTCTTCTTCTGCTGTGCGCGCTTATCTCTGCGACACTGCCGAGGGTCCAGCCAAGATTCATCTTCCTCATTACTGTCCACCTGTGGCTGCGTGGACGTGCTTGGCCCCGGGCCTATCTCTTGACTTTCGGAGGACACCGAAGGCATTGCCAGAGAGGAGGGTCCTGGAGAGGGAGGCCTTGCCAACTCCTCTCCTTCACTCTCGGAGTCCTCTCCTGCTGATAACACAGGCTCAGGTAACGGAGCCACAACAATAAGACTGTTTTAAACAAAGTCATGAGTTATGGGTAATAAATATAAAATGCTTGGTCTTAATGTTGTCCATTTTCTTCTGTAATACATATATTTGTAACTTTTTAATAGATTGTCATCCTGCCTTTTTTATATACAACCTAAGGTGGCAAACAATATTCCTCCATTCTCCTTCTCTCCCCAACCAAAGCTCAGTGAGGTGGGTTGGGCTGAGAAAGAGTGACTGTCCTTAAAGCCACCCAATTGGTTTTTCATGCCTAAGAATGGACAAGAACTTACACTCTCCTGGTTTCTAAGTCAATAGTTAAGTAATTAAGTAACCCTAACCCTAACCCTAATCCTACCCCAAACTTTTTAATGGGATTGTTTGCTACATTGCATATTTTGGAAGGATACATTAAATGTTGAAGGAATATATAATGCAGAAAAAAATAAAATAAAACTATTTGCTTTGGAGCCAGGCATTTTTTCCCCCACTTTCCACTTTTTTTTCTCTTTAGATCCTGTACCATTCCTAGTTTTCAGCCAAGGAAATGCGATCTATAGAATAGATGTAGAAGGAACCAATCACCAAAGACTGGTAGCTGATGTTGGCTTATCAGCATTAATTGATTACCATTATGAAGCAAAGTATCTTTATTGGGTGGACAAAGAAAAATGTCTTCTCCAACGTGTACATTTGGATGGTTCAGATCAAGAGGTAATGAAACAATAATTTTCAAAATTCTTCCTGATGGTAAATAAGAAGGGACATTTTTACCCAAAGAGTATCTCTGTTTCTTCTTGGAAAGGAAGTGATAGCGCATGCTATAGTTTTTCTTGGGGTGGGGAGGGCTGATGAAGTTAATGCAATTTAGATGGCAGACCTTTCTCATCATTTATCCTTATTATAATTGAGGAAAGACGAAGGAAACCAGTGTCTCAGGGGTGGGCTGCTGTCCTTGTAACAACTGGTTTGGCCAGAACCGAAAATGTGAGTGTGCTTTGCTTGCACGCACGCCATCCGTGCATGCGTGCAGCATCAAAAAACTGGCAATTATATAGGACATGATAGCACCAAGGCGGATGGGCGGGGCCAGTCCTGGTTGGAACTACCAGTTCACCAGAACCGACAGCAGCCTACACTGCAGTGTCTATAGAACTGTTCTTCAGAGCTTGGTGGAAATTCTTTGAATGATCAAGGTCAAACAAACAAATGAAAATGGTCACTCAAATGTGACCAGTTTTTGTATAGAGCGATGTCTTTCATTCTCAGCAAACTTAAGATATATGGACTTCAATTCTGAGAATTCCCCAGCAGCATGGGAGTTAGTCCACACATCTGAAAATTTGCTGAGGTTGAAAAACACTACACTAGAATTTTGCCTCTGATAAGGAATTCTGGGACTTAAAACAATTAATAACCCCAGGGGGAGGGCCTTCTCTGTGGGGGCACCCACTATCTGGAATGAGCTCCCCCCAGAGATATGGAGGATTCCGGATCTGCGCACTTTCCGCTGTGCTCTTAAGACCCTCCTATTCCAGCAAGCCGGCCTGGCCTAATTTTCTCCCCTGTTTTAAAATTCTTTAAATTGAAATTTTAATCTGTTTTAAATTATTGGGATTTTTAATTGTCTCGGGCTAAATTATTTAATCTGGTTTTAATTGTGTTTCTAACTTTTATATCTATGTATTTTATTTTGTGCCTGTTCACCGCCCTGAGTCCTTCGGGAATAGGGCGGTATATAAATTTAATAAAAAATAAAATTAAATTTGTGGCTTGAAATGTTTAAAACTCCTAGTCTGTATTAGAAGTGCATTTTGCTCTGCCTTTACTACATATGATGCTTGATACAGAATACAGTATAACTATACTTTGCACATAATACTGTAGATGCTCAGGTTTCCCAGTTGTCAACTCTTTTTTAAGCTGCAATCCTGCCATTCATGGATGGTGTCCCAAGACCCCATTTAGATAAAGGAGAAAGAGAAATAGATCCATGGACAAATGTGGCTCATCTTTCCAAGTCTCGTGGTGGGCATGGACATTTCCAACAGTGTCATTTCAATCATAGCAATGACAAAACTATACACTCTAGAGATGTTTAGTGAATCAAGGTAGTTTTTTTGCATTCACCTGATTCTGAGCTCTTGGGCTCTCCCAATAGATATTCACAATAGATATTGGCAGGAAATTTGGGCCAATGGGAGAGAAGGACTGAAGAAACATGAAACATGAAAAATGAACTATGTTCTTGAATTTTTCTTATCCTACCACCAAGGTACTGTCTGCCCAAAGCATGAAAAGATTTATGAAAGTATAGAGAAAAAAAATCCCAGATTTGTGTTTCAGGAGTAATAGCTTATGTAGATTTAGATTGATTTTTCTTCTTTTTCTGAATTTAATAATAAATGCCTAAAGGCATTTCCTTAAATGTTAAACCATTTAAATAAATGCCTAAAGGCATTTCCTTAAATGTTAAGGTAGTATCCATCATAATGAACATATAGTTGTAGTTCATGAATTCCAATGCCTTAATAGTAATCGAAAAAGGGTTGGTGGCATTTTAGTATACCCATTTCAATTTTGTGTGTGAATGTGCTTATGTAATAGACCATCTGCTCCATAAAAAAGGATGTCACTGGATTTGCAATAGATTGGATAAATCAAGGCATTTATTTGGCTCACTCCCAAGGAGCTATTGAAGTAATCAGCTTGGATGGAAACAATTCTCGAATACTTATAAAGAACAATCACAATCCTACAAGTATAGAAGTTGACCCAAGTCAAAGGTATTTCCATGTTTAGTTACCACAGAAGCAAAACTCAAAGTTAAATGGTATGCAGTAATGGATTGGAGAAAATGTAATGGGGAAATGAACCCAATATTTCCTATCTTTCCTTATATGTTCAATTTAGTAAGTAAATGCCTGGTTTAATCAAACGACAATTTGTTTTTCTATCCATTTCTGCATGCACAGATACATTTCTGCATATTGCAGGGGTTGTAAACCACTTGTATGTTGATAATAAGAAATGATGCATAAGTATTTTTAATAATTAAGCATTGGATGAAAACAAAATAAAGAATACTAGATAACAAATTAGTGAATAAAATAATCTATAACCTTTACAACTGCTTTGATAATTTTTGAAATAATGATAACCGTTCTTATTGGCAGGTTTTTATTTTGGTCTACTGAAGGGATTTTTGATAGCATCTATCGAGCAGATCTGGTTGGAAATAAAATACGGAGAGTTCTAAGGAGCACAGAAAAAATCAAAACCATTTCCTTGGACTTTATCAATGTGAAGCTGTTCTGGATACAGCATGACACCATTAATGAAATTTCATATTTTGGAACCTGTGACTACAATGGGCATTTTATCAAGCTATACAGACAAATGGGACGGTACGTTTATGGATATAAAATGGCATTTTAAAAAATTGCACCCATTAGCTATAGCCTCTCTGTCTGTGGGTGCAGACCTCTACTGGGGTGCTGTTTAAGTGGATAAGTAATTGTTTATATGACACATTTATTGTATGTCCTCCAAAGAAGGCCAAATTAAAGTATTATATAAAATCAGAAGGAGAAAAAAAAAGTTCTTTGCCAAAAGTGCAAATTATCCGAAGTTAACTAAAAGATCCTATTTCTAAATAGGAGAAAGTTAGCTTCATTTTTGCTATTTTGAATTAAATGGAAACGGTTACTTGTAAAATTCCACTGATTCCAATTAAATATTATACAAATATTTCTAAGATGCTAAACTACCTTGCTATATTGATAATGTATTTTCCTTATCTTGAGCATGAGCAACTTCATAAACTGATGCCACTACTTGTTTTATTTCACTACAGAAGTAAAGCTTATGACATATTTATCTTTGGTGACCATATATACTATTCTGACTCAAGGACCGGAACTATTCGGAGAGCCAACAAATACACTGGAAAGGATATTGTTGTGCTTAACTTGAAACAACCATTTCCTCAACCTACTGAGATATTGGTGGTGCACCCATTAAAACAGATTGGCAAAAGGATGGATTCTAAAGGACTTGGTAACTTTACTTATCCCAATAAGGAAAATGTTTGCTCCACAATGCAGCCTAAAAATGCTTCTTATAGAAAACATAATTATTACTTATTTTTCAATTTCAAAACAATTGAAATTTCAAAATTTCAAAAAAAATATATCAAAATTTCAAAACAAGAAGAATATACAGTGGTACCTCAGTACTCAACTACCTCAAAACTTGTCGAATTTGGTTCTTAATGCATTTTCAGGTGAAAATGTTGTCCCAGTACTTGGCCTTTGTTTAGTACTCAACATGCTGCCATAGGAAGAGGAGGATGGCTATGGGGAACAGACAGGAAGTCAGCCATGCTGGGAAGGTCGTTGACATAGGAAAAGAGACAGACGAAAGTTCTTCTCAGCCGAAACAAAATATTGCATGGTAATTCACATGGTTTGCTTGGAATTTGTCCTTTCCAGTACCTGTCATACCTTCAGAACAAATTAATGCCGAGTACCATGGGTACCACTGTAAAACATTAGAAAGACATTGATATTGAATAGTAAGTTAATAAATATGAAAATAAAAAGAGATGGGGGTGAAGTGCTAATCTCTGAATGTATGTCCACTCAGGGAGTAATGCTGGAGGAGATGGCCCTGCTATCACAGAAAGGACTCTCCTGCTGTGGTGAAATGTTTGTAAGAAGTGGGTCCCCAGGATGGAGGGGGCACATTCCAGAGAAATAAGGGGCAATTTAGCCCAGATATCATGTGTGAGGAACAGAGGGTGAAATAGCCCAGTGGTGAAATTCAATTTTTTTTTACTACCGGTTCTGTGGGCATGGCTTGGTGGGTGTGGTGGCTTGGTGGGCATGGCTTGGTGGGTGTGGCAGGGGAAGGACACTGCAAAATCTCCATTTCCATCCCACTCCAGGGGAAGGATACTACAAAAATCTCCATTCCATCTCCACTCCTGGGGGATGGATATTGCAAAATCTCCATTCCCACCCTACTCTGGGGCCAGCCAGAGGTGGTATTTGCCAGTTCTCTGAACTATTCAAAATTTCAGCTACCGGTTCTCCAGAACCTATCAGAACCTGCTGGATTTCACCCCTGGAAAAGCCCCTTCCTAATAGTTCACAAAGTATATTGCAGATGCAGATAGTAGAGTGCTCAATCTGGCAAAATTTTTTCTATAGCTGTGGAAATAATAAAGAATTCAGCTTGGAAGAATTTCTCCATATCATTCTTCGTTTGGGGCTTCATACCAACTTGACAGGTTTATAAGCTGAGAATCCATCACTGAAATCAACTAATCTTTATAGATTTAAAGCTGGGTATTAAGAATATACATTTTGCCCAGTATTGGCAATTTGCCCAGTTTTCACCACTGGCATCAGATGCCCTCCTAATTTTGGATCTTTTAAATTCAAATTGCTTACTTTACACCAATTGCAATTTCTGAAGAATTTTCAAGGGTAGTCCACGTAGAACCTATTTCAACAGATAACTTAATCTGTCATCCAATCCTACCACATATAGAAGATCTGTACATGGGAAAATCACAGGGTTTGTTTAGACCAGAGGTCTTCAACTTGGCAGCTTTAAGAGTTGTGGATTTCAACTCCCAGAATTCTCCAGCCAGCATAATTATGCTGACTGGCGAATTCTGGGAGTTGACGTCCACAAGTCTTACAGCTGCCAAGTTTGAAGACGTCTGGTTTAGACAAATGCAAAGACATTTAAGATATTGTGGGTAGCCTTTTTAAATCTTTACTTGTAAGTAACAGATGAGTAGATTTTTATTTCTTTTTTAGATTTATATCCCACATTTTCTCCAGGAGTTTTCTTGCAGTATCTACAAGATTCTCTCAGCTTTTTTCAAAACACAGCCTGTCAGATGGGATAGGCTGAAAAATGCTCACTATGGGTAGATGTAAAGAAGAGCAACTGCATTGTGTGATGAGTTAATCTGTTCTGGAAGCTAATGCAAGCCATGATTTAAGTTTAGAAGTCAAGTAACTCATAGCTTAATCTTACTTCAGCTGGGGGCGTGTTAATAAAAATAAGTATTTCAATGTACATTTCCCATGTGTGGGCTAGGGGTAGACAACTGCTACTGAAATAATACAAAGGTAAGCAGTGAAGAGGCAGGGCTCCTGAGTAAGTAATACTGCATGTACATTCTCTGACTAAAAGCTGTATCAATGTTATTTTCCCTGATATGTGCACATGCTTGCTTTGACATTTTCTCCTTATATGCTAATAGAAATTTAAGACTCAGGTTTATAAAATCTAAACCAGATTAGTTCTAATATATCTCAGTTTGTCCCTCAAATTTTGTTTCTTTCTTCCGCTTTCTTTCTTTCTCTTTCTTTTTTCTTCCTTCCTTCCTTCCTTCCTTCCTTCCTTCCTTCCTTCCTTCCTTCCTTCCTTCCTCCCTCCTCCTTCCCTCCCTCCCCCCTCCCTCCCTTCCTCCTTTCCTTCCTTCCTTCCCACCATCTCTCCAAAGGCAACTCTAGGCATCTTTACAGACATTCAATTGAAAAAATAATAAAGCTCATACATTTAAAATTCAATTAAAACAATAACAGAATAAAATAATAATTAACCAGGCTGGAGAGAGAGGGAGCAAATGCATACAGGAAGGAGGTTGGGTGTTATCTACTCCATTAGCTATGTCCAAAGGGCCACATCCCCAATTGGGATCCCCATTTCCATTTTAGTTAGTGTTATTTCCCAATTGCCAATTTTCCCCTAAGTGTAACTCAGCTGACCTCTTTATCTGTTTTCCCAACTCCTTTCTTGAATTCCACATATATTGTACAATATCATATAATGATGAAATGTAATCATTTTCTGTGAGTGTTTTTTTCCTTGATAATGCATTAGCTTTTAAAGCATACCCTGTTTTTCCCCAAAAGAAGACATCCCCTGATAATAAGCCCAATCGGGCTTTTGAGTGTATGGCAATAAGCCAAGCACTTATTTCAGGGTTCCAAAAAACATAAGACAGGGTCTTATTTTCGGGGAAACACGGTACTATTTGTTGACTGCAATCCATTCATTCTTTTTCCAGCAAAAATGACTGAAAAAGAGAAATATGAAGGTCATGTTGTCCTGGTCTCAAGCTTCTTTTGTTTTCTTCTTTTCTCTCCTGCTAAATGCCTCTTTATAAAGCAGTCTCATAAGGAGCTTAAGTTTCCCTGTCCAGATGAACTCTTTAGTCTTTGCATCTGCCTTATTCAGTTTATCTAACCAGACTAATTAACCGTCCAAATTAGATTTACAATGAGGCCTCACAGCAAGGGAAATTTCAGGATAAAATCATGTAAACTCTATGCTCGGTGGAGGCAAAACCATGATGTGCTAGAAATAAAAATGCACCATTGAACATGCTTGTGACAAGCAAATTACAGTAGTTTTCACTTACAGCACAGAAGTAGTTTTAATGGTTAAATGATTGCCTGATTGAGGTTCGGGTTAATAGTTGCAAGCTTTAATGCAGGATGCAATAAAATGGATTACCATTCATTTGCAGAATGAACAGCCCTGTGGGTACGCTGTGATCCTATCCAGATGGCCGAAGGTTATTATAGCATAAAGTAGCATAGTCTGGAGTTGTTAGTATTTTCTGAGCATGACTGTTTGCTTGCAGACATTTCGTAACCTGACTCGGTAACATCAGCAGTATGAGTGAATGTGGGATTTGCTCCCTGTTTATATACTGTACAGTAGCTGGCTCTGTCAGTTTTGTCCTCGGTAGTTCTTTGGTTACTATATTGTTTCTGCTAGATAGACTGTCTGGAATTAATTTCTATCTGAGTTTTGGCTGCTGGAGAGGATGTATTCTGGCCTTTCTATTTCCCTCTTAACTTTTTTGTGCCTTTGAATGATATGTAAATATGGCTTATTTCTATGTGTCTGTTGATGGCTGCTTTGTCTGAATGCCAATCTTCTAGGAATTCCCTAGCTTTTTTGCATCTAACTTGGTCTAGGAGGCTCATAATTTCCCCATTGGAATTATGGCTGAGTCTCTCTAATGTGTGTGAGATTAAGGAGTGTTTATCGAATTTTCAAGGAGACAGTTCAATCCTGACATGTATACTCTTTTCCCTTGGAGTAGCATGACTGTTTATCAGAATAAGTACACACTACAAGCAGTGTAATATGTACCAATATTGTCTCCTGTAATTACTCTGGATTGGGATAGCTTTTAATAATTTCAGTCATTTGATATTTTCTTGATTATTTGGAATCAAGACAGAGTAATTGAAAACATACAAGTCCGTATTTGAAATCTCTTTGACACAAATCTGATTATTAACTAAACTTTACCTTGTTTTGCCAATGGGTATGAATAATCCAAAACCAGAAACTAAAATACAGCCCAGTACTTTACTTAGAAAAGCATTTCTGTTCTGAATTGCTGTCATTGATCTTTTCAGGATATTAGCATCATATGATGTCAATAACCAAACTGAATTTTCTTCAATCTATCCAAATATATCCCACAGAGTCGGTCTCCTCCGGGTCCTGTCAGCTAAACAATGTCGGCTGGCAGGCCTGCGGGGGAGGGCCTTCTCTGTGACTGCCCTGGCTCTCTGGAACCAATTACCCCCTGAGGTCCGGACTGCCCCCACCCTACTGGCCTTCCGGAAAGCGGTGAAGACTTGGCTCTTCCGTCAGGCCTGGGGCCGTTGATCTCGCTACGGTGATCTTGTGAGACCCTGCCACGAATTGGAATGTATCAGTTTTAATGTTTTTTTAAACTTTTGTATGGGATATTGTTCGCATTGTTTTATTCTTTGTTGTTAGCCGCCCAGAGTCCCTTGGGAGTTGGGCGGCATAAAAATGTGACTAATAAATAAATAAATATATTGATCTCGGGTTTTTTGGTCTTTACATTGAACAATATTTCTGTAACATAATTAGATATCTGTAATTAATTATGTAATTAGATATCACAAGATATTTAATTTACATTATTGCATTAATTATTGTTATAATAGCTTACTGCAATTAAGAACTCACAAGCAAATGTAACCTAATTGTTTATGTATTTTTAAATTTATCAGATATCAATGAATGTGCATTATGGAATCATGGCTGTACCTTGGGCTGCGTGAATATCCCTGGATCCTATTATTGCACATGTCCAAAAGATTTTATTCTCTTGTCTGATAAGAAAACGTGCTATGGTAGGTAGCATCCTACGATTTTTTCCACAAACTTTTCCAAATAATTTCTCTTATATTCCCCATGTGATATTTGACAATTAGGTTACTGATCACAGGAAATAAGAAACTTCCATTTTATCTGCATTACACTGCAATACCATGTTCAACTTCAAGCGTCATATTTTAAAACAGACTGACAAACGAGTGCATCAACAGAAAAGCAATCAAGATAGGACAATTAACCAGTGGAACAATTTGCCCCCAGAAGTTGTGAATTCTCCAACACTGAAAGTTTTTTTTAGAAGAGATTGAACAATCATTTGTCTGAAATGGCATAGGGATGTGATGGCGAACCTATGGCACGTGTGCCATAGGTGGCATGCAGAGCCCTCTCTGCGGGCACGTGAGCCATCATCCAGCTCAGCTGCACCACGCATGCGTGTGCGCCTCCCACCGGTCAGCTGATTTTGGGGTCTATGGTGCGGGGGCGGGGTGCACGTGGGAGATGCGTGTGCATGCATGGGGGTTGCACACATATGCGCAGGGGCGAGGGTCATGCACACATGAGCAGGTATGGGGGGAGCACGGAGGGAAGCGACACCCCCCAACACCAAAACGGGCTGCAGGAGGATGCAGCACACACCCCCACGGCCTGTTTTTGGTCCCCAGGAGGCTTTAGGGAGGCCTACTAGGCCCAAAAGGGGTTGCGGGGGGTCGCACATGCATATGCGGGGGCAGGGGTAGCGTTGGGAGTCGCAGGCGCAGGCATGGGAGCAGGGCACACAGGGGGCATTGCATTATGGGTATGGGCACATGCGCACATGACCCCCCCCGTGCTCCCCCACTTTTGGCACGCGATGGCAAAAAGGTTAGCCATCACTGGTATAGGGTTTCCTGCCTGAGCAGGGGGTTGGACTAGAAGACCTCCAAGGTCCCTTCCAACTCTGCTATTCTATTCTATTCTATTCTATTCTATTCTATTCTATTCTATTCTATTCTATTCTATTCTATTCTATTCTATTCTATTCTATGATGAACAGCAAAGAAAGCTGGAATAAAAAGCTTAAGGGGAGACATAATAGCAGTAGACCAATATCTGAAAGGTTATCGTGCAGAAGACACGAGCTATTTGCTATTGCTTTGGAGGAGGAACTAGAATGGAAATTGTGTAAAAATAGATTTTCATAAAATACTGAGAGACACTTTGTAATGGTAAGAGCTATTAATTTGTAGACTGCACTGCAAAGGGAGCTTTCATCTGACGGAATTCCTTAAACCAGGGATGAACAGTTGATCAACAACATACTTTTTTTGCAGTCTACAAACACTGGAAGTACAATTTCCTGGTAAGTTAAAAGTAAAAGTTCCCCTCACACATATGTGCTAGTTGTTCCTGACTCTAGGGGGCAGTGCTCATCTCCATTTCAAAGCCGAAGAGCCAGCGCTGTCCAAAGACGTCTCCGTGGTCATGTGGCCAGCATGACTAAATGCCAAAGGTGCACGGAACACTGTTTTGAACCGCTGAACTGCCGACCTTTCAATCGACAAGCTCAGCATCTTAGCCACTGAGCCACCGCATGCCTTTTACAATTTCCTGGTAAAAATCTCAATTAAGCCCACAATTAATCTTAGCACAAGTAAGATTGCAAAAATGTTTATATATTACTCTGGCCAACTTGTTTCATTTTGCAACATCATTACTTTTCTCCTCTGAAAAATTGGCCCAAGCAACTTGTGATTTAAGCAGAATAATCTTAGCGCCCTATAGCGCTGCAAATGTTATGCTGTGCAGTTTCTTTATATGATTTTATACATTTTAATTCTATAAAAGTGTATTCTTTTCCCTGGTTTCCTGTCAAAGGTAGAAATTCTCTTTTTCCCCCCATTTATGGATGTCAAAATAATTATTTGGTACATCTAATTACCTTATTTGAGAGAAATATAGTACTTCTCACCTCTAATTTTGGTCAAATCCTAGAGGACATTAGCAAAAAATATATCCTTAGATTCATTCATTTCCATGTATGACTAGGGGAGAAACCATGAGGAATGAAGATGAGAATACAATCTGTATAAATCAAACTTGGGTGGGATACTTTTGGCTGTTCATCCTAAGTGAATTACTGCTTCTATCTAGTAAGGCTAAAGCTGAAATGTTCCAAAATTGCAAATCTGCAACAACTGAGATAGATAATAGTAAACATAGATAAACCAATTCAAAATAAGTTCCTTATAGGTTCTCCTTTTTAGCTATATATTACAGTAAAGATATACCATATAGCTGCCAATGGTGCTATTTTATTTCTTCAATTCCTAAAGCTTTACATTAGTATGAATATTGAAGAGGAGTGACTGAAGAAGAGGTTAAATTTGATTTTAATTGTAGCCTGTTTGACCACCTGTGAGAAAACAAAAAACAGATAAACCACTGTGACTTGCATCTTGAAAATGACTTGTAAATCAATCCTTCAACAATCTAGTACTTTCTTATAATCAGTATCTAAGCCTCTCAGCATCTTAAATAAAATTAAGAGAATATAGTTGGTCTTAATACAAATTTGTAAGTGATCTTTCTATTGAGCGTTCTACAAATGGAAATAAGACAACGAATAACACACGAATGATTTTGCTTGCTCCATTACTTGAATCTATTAGTTCTAAGACGTTAATACTCTAAAACTAAGTCTGTGACTTAATCAGAATTATGTAGTATACCTTTAAGATGATTTTTATTATTTTCTGTAAAATGAATGACTATCTCCCCTGGATCCCATAAAACAGCTGTAGGAAACCTTAATTTGTTCCAGTTTTAGAGTCTATGCCTGCAGATGTTTCCATATGGTGCCTTGAGTCCTGGCAGAAAGCAAATAAATGATGATAAGGAGATCCATTCAGTCATGTCCGACTCTTGGCGATTCTATTGGCCGGGTCTCTGCACAGCTTCCGATCTTGCACTACTTCTTTGAGTTGTTGTATATTCTGGTTAATGTCAGCTTTAATGGTGTCCAGCCACTGCGTCCTTTGTGACGTGGTTTTCTTTTACCGCTACCTTACATAATCACTTTCGCCACTGAATTCCCCCGCATGACATGGCCAAAATAAGTGAGACACAGTTTTGTGATTTTGTCTTCCAGTATATGGAACACATATCTGGTGTTATCCGTTCTAGTACTTGCTTGTTACTTCACTGTAGGAGGATATCTAAGGTTATTCTTTAACCTGACTCCATACCAGCTAGAAATAGTTGATTTCATACTGACTATGTGGGATAAGAAATACAAAACAAATTTGGTAAACATTTTTGCTACTGAAAATTGGTCAAGATAAGGTTAGGCAAACTTGCTTAGGTTTATGGAATTTGTCCATTATAGCCCGATGATAAATTCTGCATCTCTAAAAATCAAGATTAAAAAAACAAAGTTGTGGTTGGCTTATTCACAAAAGGACGCTTATCCTCAAAATATTGCCACTGCATTGTAGTTTCTGTTTACTCTTCCCAGATATTTCATATATTTTCACCATATCCTAAATTGTGATTCTGTTGTTCTGCAGGATTCTAATATAAGATGGTATCACTACTGAGATATGTTGTGAAATAGTTTGGTAGAAGATTATCTAGGGATATAGTGAGATGGACAAAAGCTGAGTTTTCTGAATCTTTTCATTATCAGTGCAAATAATAGAAGGGCATTTCCCCTGGGCAAGCTGTTGGATGAACAAGGGCATTAATCTTTTTTTCATGTAGTACAGAGATGTGCAGTTTAAGCCTCCAGGCCTCGTGAGCTCCCCAGAGTGTATACAAAAATTACTGCCAAATTGTGATGTTTGAGGATGGCAGCAATGAAACATTATCTGTATTGATTATTCTTAATCAAAAATTAAATGGGAAGTTAGCATGGTGAAAAGCAGAAGACTAGCTTTTAAGCACAGTGTTTCTAAGAATGCTTTTTGATCGTACACAATAGCAGCATGCATAGCATTTGAAAGGGCGGTGTTGTGGCCCGCTGCTGGCCAGCAGATCTGACAGCAGAGTCGGACAGTGAGGAGGTTGGGGAGGAACTTGGGCCAGTCCTGGGGGCTGGGAAAAGCTCAGACAAGGGCTCTACGTTGGAGGCAGAACGGAAGCTAGACAGCAGTGAGCCAGAGGAACAGTTCAAGCCTGTTCCCAGTGTGTGCATGTGCAGAGCTGCCAGAAGACAAGAACAACTCAGAAAGCAGGGTCGACTTGGGAGTAAAGCCACACCTTGGAGGTGATTGGCCCCTCCCATATGAAACAAAAGAGCGAATAGGGAGTGGGCTTTTGCAGAAAACAATTGATTAGTTCCTTGACTCTGAGAGACTCTGTGCCAAGTTTTGCCTTGTACTGTGTTTGGAAACAAGTTATGTGGCAGCTTGCCAAGCGAGATAAGGTGTGTTGATAAATATTCCTCTGAAAGACTGTTTGGACAGGTCTTGCTGACTGTGAATGAAAGTAATTCACAGTCGTGTAAATAAAAGAGGTCTTGCCAGGAACAAGACTCTGCTTCCTGCTTTTTAAGGGAGCCTAGGTCAGAACAGGCGGCGACAATATGTTAGTGTGAACAAGACATCTCTTCAAAAATCTTAAAACAGCCCTGTCCTTTACAACAAGGGTTCCCAAAATCCTTGTTAGGAACTGGGCTGCACAAGTGAGTGAAGTTTCATCTGCGCATCTGCAGGATCTAGGTAGCATGCGAAACCACATGACCCCGCAGAAAAATTGTTTTCTACAGAACAGGTCCCTGGTGCTCAAAAATTTGGGGATCGCTGCTTTACAAGGTTTGTGTATCTCCTTTGAAAATTATCCTTGTCTCCAGCTGCATTTGTTTCACTGGCAATCAGAGAAGGAGTCCATAGAAGAAGCACAGCCAGAAGTACTAAATCTATTCTAAGGTTACACAATAGAATATTGCAAGACTCTATTGTATTTCTCTCCTTCTTTTCTTTTACTCTCTGGAAAACTATGTTGTATACCTTTGAAACTTTCTCATGCTCTCTCTTCTTTTGTGGACTATGATAGCAATCGCACTTAGACTTATATAATGCTTCACATTGCTTTATATTCTTTATATTTATATTCTCTAAATGGTTTACAGAGTTAGCATATTGCCCCCAACAATTTGGGTCCTTATTTTACTGACCTCGGAAGGATGGAAGGCTGAGTCAACCCTGAACTGGTCAGGATCAAAGGAATCGAACTCCTGGCAGTGTAAGCAGAGTTAGCCTGCAATACTGCATTCTAACCACTGCGCCACCATGATTTCTTTTATAAGCTTTTATAAGCTGACAGTCCAACATGAGGCTCTGTCTCATGACACAGTACCAGTGAAAATGTTGCTTGTGTAAACGTAAAGGTAAAGGTTCCCCCCGCACATATATGCTAGTCGTTCCTCACTCTACGGGGCGGTGCCCATCTCCATTACAAAGCCGAAAAGCCAGCGCTGTCCAAAGATGTCTTCGTGGTCATGTGGCTGGCATTACTCAATGCCAAAGGCGCACGGAACGCTGTTACCTTCCCACCAAAGGTGGTCCCTATTTTTCTACTTGTATTTTTTATGTGCTTTCAAACTACTAGATTGACAGAATACCGGATGGATGCTGGGAGGCAAGACAGATTTTTTCCCTTTGTTTTCCTCCCCCAAAGCTAGGTGCATCTAATAGTCCAGAGCATCTTATAGTCCAAAAAATATGGGTACTTTAAAATTCTTCAAATTTTAAAAGAAAGTTACATCAGCGGTTAATGAACAAGGAAACAAATAAAAGGGAAGGGGAGGATACAATGAGAAGAAGCTTTCTCATGATGTTTTTAGTCATGCTTTATTAGTTTAATTATTAAATATTTACCTTTTGTCATTTTTTTTCTGTCACTTATACACCCCTTCTCTAGAGAAGCCTTTACCTAACTAGCTTGCTCTGTTTTTAGCTTTAGAAAGTGGAAATATATTCTTTTTTAAAAAAAATACCTATCAAGTTAGCAATTCTTGGCCTATATGACATAAGTGCTGGAAAGGAGTGGATGGAAATAATATCAGTGATATAACACATAGCAAGTAGCTTGTATTTAACTCTTGCTTGAATTCCTCCAACTTATTTCTATCAATTTTTAAAAACATGTTCTTTTTTTTAATGCATCGTAGAACTGATTTCCTGTTCAAGCAATTATATTCGCTGCAGTTATGATTGTGGACAGACACCCGAAGGGCCTATTTGCTTTTGTCCTGAAGGATCAGTTCTCCAAGCCGATGGAAAAACATGTTCAGGTAAACAAATATAATTATTTTTCAATGCTTTTTCTGAAAATGATGCTGTAGATGACAAATGCTAGACATTGAAATAGGATAATATTTTATAATTAACTGTGTTTAGCATTAATATTGTATTTCAGCTTTCTCTAGCCCAGTGTTAAACCAACCTGGCACTGGAAATATTTGATTAATTCCTATAAAGGTAAAGGTTCCCCTTGCACATAAGTGCTAGTCGTTCACAACTCTAGGGGCAGTGCTCAGCTCCGTTTCAAAGCCGAAGAGCCAGCGCTGTCTGAAAATGTCTCCATGGTCATGTGGCCGGCATGACTAAATGCCAAATGCGCATGGAACGCTGTTACCTCCCCACCAAAGGTGGTCCCTATTTTTCTACTTGCATTTTTTACGTGCTTTTGAACTACTAGGTTGGCAGAAGCTGGGACAAGTAACGGGAGCTCATCCCATTACGCGACACTAGGGATTCGAACCGCTGAACTGCTGACCTTTCGATTGACAAGCTCAGCGTCTTAGTCACTGAGCCACTGAGTCCCTATAATTATAATAATATAAGGAGTATAATCCCTATACTCCTGAGTTAAACATGAGGTACTGGACAGGAGTTATAGAAGCACAACATACCTAGAAGAATCCAAGCCTGGCAAAACAATAGTGTTTAAACCATTTTCTTTACCTTCTTTCAGTAAAAAAGCAGTTGGAATCTGCTGGGGATGGGGGAATCAAAAGGTATATCTTTATTGTGAAATAAGAGTGAAAATTAGTGTCAATTAAAACTATTTGCAAGCTTTAAAGAACTTTTGAATAAATAAGGTTGTTAGAAGGTATAAAAAGAAGAAAGGAATGAAAAAGTTGGCTGACATTCATGCCATGTTTACTATACGCCACAATTGGTTTTTAGGTAGAAAAATTGAGACATTGAGATTTACAAGTAAAGAGTATGCGTTGCCAGGAGTTCTCATAAAGCATTCTAGGAGTAGGAAGCAAACATTTTTGTAAGCTACCCATCGTTTGAAATATAAATGCTACTATTGGATATTTTATCATATCTGTACAGTAATAAATTGTGATAAACTTTTTCTTTATTTGAAATAAAAATATGAGCTGTTAAAGTCCAAACTATTTAAATCCTTTGTGAGATATCCAGAGATATGACTGGTGAGAAGTAGAAGAGGTATCAAGTATGTTGTTGTAATATTAACAAGAGATAATTTAAGCTTTCATATTAGGGAGCAAAAACCCAAATTGGGAATAAATATAATCTAATGGGAAGAAAGTTTCATGCTGAGTGAGAAATTTGGAAGTTGTGGTCAACTGAATTTGAAGGACACCAGGGTCGGAGGAGGATGATCTAAATGATATAAATATAAATATAAATGATATAAATGTTTGAAATACTTTAAAACTGCCCTATTATCCATTATTGACCCATATTAATTACTGCCCAAGACAGACAATTTAGGAAGCAGAATTCCTTTGGAATATTCTTTTGTTATTGACATCCTGATGGAATACAGTGAGATATAGAGGGTTCTTATCTCCATCTCCATCTACCCTGGGAGTCCCTAAATTAATAACCACCAGCCATAGTTCAACTAGAGATCATCTGTAAAAGATGTTTACTATAATACTTACTGAAGCTCAGCAGAACGAAACATGCTATTTCATGTCAGTCTAAGACGTGCAGTGACTTTAGATGAATATCCATTTTTAAAAAGTGAATCTGTTTTAGGTTGTACATCACCTGATAATGGTGGTTGTAGCCAGATTTGTACATCTTTGAGTCCAACAACCTGGGATTGTGGTTGCTTTCCTGGCTTTGATCTCCAGGAGGACAAAAGACATTGTGCTGCTTTAAGTAAGTATTGTGATTGTTGGACTCATCCTCATATTCTTCTAACTGAGACATTAAAATTCCCCCATAAATTGCTTTTAAAAGACATGTAGTGATATCATATAGGATTTTCCCTCTTCACTCAATTCACACAATTTTTGCAGTGGATCTATGTATAGTGGATCTATGAATCATCCTTGAAGATATAATAGATGACATTGTGATAATCTTTCTGCCTCCAATTTAGGCCAATTTAGGCTGATGCAGGAATAACCCTTCTCTCAGTAACAGGATACTGATTTATGGACATTTTGGCATGGGTTGCAAAAGGGATTGGACAAGTGCTTTTTGCAGGTGCATCTGTCCATGTAATGCCAGACTGGTGTTTCTGGTTGTTCTGAAATAAACTGCACCAGCACATGGTGCATTTTGCTAAAATGTATGGCTATATATATGCTTAGATGGATCTTAAAGAGATCTAGGACGATTTTCTTTATTTGCTTTTCCATTAATACAAATGGGGGCTGATATTTCACCTTTTTTAAAAAAACCATACCCTATAGATATCCATGATAGGACAGAATTGAAAGCATAGCTAAGCAAAATAGTCCAGCTTAATATGGGAAGCATTATTGAGTCACAAATTGGTGTTTAATAAAAGACTGAAATTGATAGGGTATTTTTTGGGAGGGGGGTTGGCTAAGGAAAAAATTACACTTATATTTATGTTCTACTTAAATTTATTATGAAGTTTTCTTTTAGCCAAGTACTACTGGCATATCTTCAGAGCAAGATATATCTAATGCAGGTAATTCCTCTCCTGAGGAAAAAAATGGAAGTATGTAGTAATATTCATCTACCTGTTTTGAAAGATATAAGCAGCTGTCCCATATAGCATATGTTAAATTTATTGGCAGGTTATCACCTTGGTTTCTTATAATCATTTTGTAGTTAATGTAATCTGTGATTAGTGCCATGTAAGGATTGTACATGAGAAGAAAAGAGAGAAAGCCCATGCTACAATTTGCTTTTTTCCATTTTTATCTGCAGAGTGTTGAAGTAGAAGACTTAACATGTTACTACATTTATTACAAACAGGACCAAAGCCGTTTCTGTTGTTTGCGAACAGTCAAGATATCCGTAGCATTGCTTTTGATGGGACGGAATACTCAAGAGTCCTTGGCTGGCAGATGGGAATAGTCTTAGGTCTGGACTGGGATCCGATGGAAAGTAAGGTAAGGCTTTTCTTTAGACAGGAGGATTTCAAAATATTGCAAGGATCAATGCTCTTACTGCATTGTATTTTAACTGTTCAGTTCATAGTGCTCCATGATATATATAAAGTACTTCTTATTGCTATATGCCTTGGGCCAAATGACTTGGATTTCCTAAAACAATGAGCACTTATCAGCATTTATATGTTCACATGACATATGTGGGCTTCACATAATTTAACAACTGGTTCGCCCCAGCACCTAAAATGTGAGCGCGTGCAGCTAAATAGGACGGCATATCGCCGGGATGGAAAGGCAGGAGGGCGGGCGGGCCCACCTGCAGGTCACAACTACCGGTTCACCCAAACCAGTACGAACCGGCTGAATCCCACCCCTGTAAATGTCATACCTAAACTTGCCACATTTTAAACATACCAACTACGGTAAATGATTCTATTAGCGATAGCAATAGCATTTACATTTACTCTATATACTGCTTCACAGTGCTTTACAGCCCTTTCTAAGTGGTTTACAGAGTCAGCATATTGCCCCCAACAATCTGGGTCCTCATTTTACCGATCTCGGAAGGATGGAAAGCTGAGTCAACCTTGAGCTGGTGAGGATCAAACTGCTGGCAGTTGGCAGAATTAGCCTACAATACTGCATTCCAACCATTACGCCACCATGGCTTTATTGGTGATATTCACACATGGCTTCCATTCAGCACCTTGATTAAACACTATCTGTATATCAATAGGTTTGGGACAAACACAATCTCAACTTTGTAAATAATGTAGCTTTATTTATTTATTTATTTATTTATTTATTTGCTCAAATAGATGTCATTAATGTGAAAGTTGTGAGAGAAGAAATCCTATCCCCAGCTAAGAATTATAGTACAGGTGGTAGTGAACTTACAGCCATTCAGTTACCAAATAATTGAAAAAGTGACTTATGACTGGTGGTCCTCACACTTACAACCCTTGCAGCATCCCCACAGTCATGTGATCAAACATCGGGTGCTTGGCAACCGGCATGTATTTCTAATTATTGCAGCATCCTGCAGCAGCCTTCCCAGTCAGCATCTGATAAGCATAGCCAATGAGAGGAAGCTGGCTTTGCTAGCTAAACAACCACTTGATTCATGGATGTCAAACTCGAGTCAAGGCCCATGGGCCACATCGGGCCTGCAATGTGGCTGGATCTGGCCCACGGGACCGTCCTGGAAAATGTAAGGGGCCAGCCCATGTTGCTTCCACCCAGTCTACCCGTATTGCTTCAGCCCAGTCTAGCCAATGCGCCTTTGGCCCAGTCTACCCAATGAAAAGCGGAAACATGCCAGCAGTTTGGGGAGTGGCATCAAGCTGGCCATGCCCACCCACCTGGCCATGCCCACCCGGCCACGGGTGAAATGTAAAATTTGTTACTACCGATTCTGTGGGCATGGCTTGATGGGGGGGTAATGTGACTGGGTGGGCATGGCCAACTTTTTAAAAAAAAAACTTTTCAAAGCATTTTTTCTACAACCTCTTCGGCTGAAGAGGTTGCAGAAAAAAATGCTTTGAAAAGCCTCTGACGATTTCAGCTGAGCTGCGCGATCATCAGAGGCTTTTTTTTTTACTTTTAAAAGCATTTTTTGGCGGAAGAGGTTGTAGAAAAAATGCTTTTAAAAGTAAAAAACAAAAGCCTCTGATGGTCTGGGCATGTGGTGGTGGTGGGGCGCACGGATTTTTGCTACCGGTTCTCTGAATCACCCGCCACCATTGCTACCGGATCGGGTGATCCGGTCCGAACCAGGAGCATTTCACCTCTGCACCCGGCCTCCCGAGGTCCACCACAGCCTTGATGCGGCCCTCAATGAAATTGAGTTTGACACCCCTGACTTGATTTACTGAAAACAACTGCAATGATTTGTTTAACAATCATGGCAAAAAAAGGTTGAGCACAACTCACTTAATAACTCACTTGCTTAGCAACAGAAATTCTGCAGTTATAGGTTGAGGACCACCTATAATCATCTATAAACCTTCGGTTTTCTTCTTACAGATTTATTTTACCCATACAGACCTGAACTGTATAGAGAGATCTGATCTGGATGGCACCAATCGTGAAAAAGTTATATGTGACGCAAGTGAAAGACCAGAAGGATTAGCATTGGATTGGATTAATCGCAAATTGTACTGGACTGACTCCAGGTATGCTTTTTGCATAAATATTGTAGGACACCTACTGGTAGTGAAAAAAATATGGTGATAACTAATCAAGTGGCAAAGAAAGAAAGAAAGAAAGAAAGAAAGGAAGGAAGGAAGGAAGGAAGGAAGGAAGGAAGGAAGGAAGGAAGAAAGAAAGAAAGAAAGAAAGTGAAATGTTTCTGAAATGGTAGCATGCATTTGTGTACTTAAGATTAGTCATAATAGAAAGACTTAGAGATAAAAAAAAGACTCAAAGAGACCCTTTGCTGAATAATATGCTAACCAGAAGCATTCATATAACGCAATTTCTTCATTGAACAGTGAATGTATCTCCTTCCATAAAAACAGAAAGCCAAGGAACATCGCTAGGAAAAAAAACACTCCCAATCAATTGTGTCCGATATGTTATTTTTAATTCACTTCACAGATCTCCCTTCCAGGAATTACACATATGAAGGGAACGCTTTTGATTATATCAACAAAACCATAAAAAATACTGTCTTTTTAAAAAACAGGTTAGCAATTGCTGTATTTGCCTATAGTAACAATTGGTTTTGAAGAAATTGAGGTAGTGACAGATTTTATTTTCCTGGGCTCCAAGATCACTGCAGATGGGAACTGCGGCCAAGAAATTAAAAGACGCTTGCTTCTGGGGAGGAAAGCTATGGCAAATCTAGACAGCATTCTAAAAAGCACAGACATCACCCTGCCAACAAAAGTGCATATAGTCAAGGCTGTGGTTTTCCAGTTCCAATATATGGCTGTGAAAGTTGGAGCATAAGAATCGCTGAGTGCCAAAGAACTGAGGCCTTTGAACTATGGTGCTGGAGAAGACTCCTGCGAGTCCCTTGGACTGCAAGGTGATCAAACCGGTCAACCCTGACTGCTCTTTAGAAGGCCAGATCCTGAAGATGAAACTCAAATACTTTGGCCACCTAATGAGAAGGAAGGACTCACTGTAGAGAAGCCTAATGGTGGGAAAGATTGAGGGCAAAAGAAGAACGGGACCACAGAGAACGAGGTGGCTGGATGGAGTCACCGAAGTAATAGGCATGAGCTTAAATGGACTCCAGAGGATAGTAAAGGACAGGAAGGCCTGGAGGAATGTTGTCCATGAGGTCACGATGGGTCGGACATGACTTCGCAACTAACAACAACAATTGGTTTACAAAGCCAGTTTGATCTAAAGATTAAGGCACCAAGGTAGAAACCAGGATAGCCTGAGTTCTACCCCTGCCGTAGGCATAAAACTAGCTGGATGATTTTGGACCAGTCATTCTCTTTCAGCCCTGAGAACAAAGCAATAGGAAACCATTTCTGAAAAATCTTGTCCAAGAAAACCACAGGGACTAGTCCAGGCAGTCAGCAGGAATCAAAAATTGACTTGAAGACGTACAGATAATAATAGATGCTTTTCATGAAGTTTCTAATTTAATTTATGGATTCTAGTTGCTCCTACTCCTAGTCTTATTCAGTTCTTATTCAGTTTACAACTTCTGTTAATAGAAGAAGATAGAACTGAGGAGAAATGTTTAATTAATATCATGGTATAAGAGAATCAACCGGAAGGAGGCAAGTAAAGTGACAGATTAAAGTTATTGCAATATGAAACCCCATTCTGTGTATCTACTTGTAGGAAATGTAGCATTGAAAGTAGTAATCTAAATGGAATGCAGAGAAAAATAATCATCCAGGAGAAGGCGTTCCATCCTCAAGGAATTGCTGTTCATCCATTTACCAGGTAATATATCAAGTCAAATTTGTTTTCAAACTGTTATTGGGTGATATAGGCACCCAAGAATAAAGTCTGTGAAACCATTGCTTCTGTTGCAACTATTTTATCTGTGCAGAGATTTTGCAGGTATAATTATTGAAGGTTCAGATTGAGTGGTGGGGTGGCCTAGAGGTGGAGCTCTTGCCTCACAATTAGGAGGCTATGAGTTCGATCCTAGGTAGAGGCAGATATTTCTCTCTCTGGGCACAATGAGAATAAAGCTGCTGTGAATTCTGCATTGGTGACAGGACGAGCATCCGGCTAGTAAACACTCAGCTCCATTCAGTTGCCCCGACTCAACCCTGATGCAAGGGATTACGGGATCATTAAAAGACAAAAAAAAAAGTTATTGAAGGTGCAGATCCAATGGCTTCTAATTCTTTAGCACCTCATGAGCTACTGACCACAAAGCAGAAGTAGAATATAGATAAACGATTATTTATTCTGTGTTCATATATACAAGACCAGGCTAGTTAGAGCAATAGTCTTCCCAATAATGATATATGGGTGTGAATGATGGACACTAAGAATGGCTGCTTGAAGAAGAATTGACACCTTTGAACTATGATACTGGTGTAAATTGCTGCCTATACCATGGACAGCCAGAGTAACTAACAGAGAGGTGTTAAATCATACAAAACCAGACGCATCACTCAAAGCTAAAATCATAAGACTACATCTGATCTACTTTGGCCATGTTATGCATGCAAATTCATTGGAAAAGTCAGCGATGCTAGAAATGATTAGTGGAACAAGAAGAAGGGGCAGGCAAAGAACATGCTGACTTGATAACATCAAATCTAGTACAAAATTCAGGGGTGGAATTCAAATAATTTAACAATTGGTTCATCCAGGGTCATTAGGTTGGCTGTCGTGGGAGGCCTGACCCTGGGCGAACTAGTTGTTAAATTACTCCCCCCACTTTCAAAGTGGATCCTGGATGCTATGCTGCAATAGAGAAACAGGCAACAGAGCAGCCGGCACAAGGGAAGGAGGAGGAGGAGGAAGAAGAAAGAGGGAAAGCAGCCTTCTCCTTCCCTTGCGCCGGCTGCTCTGTTTCCTGTTTCTCTACTGCAGCACAGCGCCCAGGATCCACTTTGATAATGGGGGAGGGGGTGTCAATTTAACAACCCCTTCACCCGAACCAGTGCGAATTGGCTGAATCCCACCAGTGACAAAATTAAACATCCAACAACTGAAAGAAGCTGTTTTTGAAGGGTATTATGGAGAGCACTTGCCAGTAGAGTCACCAAGAATCAGACACAACTACTATATTTTTCGGAGTATAAGACGCACCTACCTTTTTTGGTGAGGAAAAGAAGAAAAAGAAATCCCCCTTTGCCTCCCAGCAATTCTGCCTCATTGCAGCAAACAGTTTACTTTCATTTTCATTTTCAGCATAGCTTGATTAGCACAAGGGAAAAAAAAATCTGCTCCAGCAATTTACCTCCTTGCAGCAAGCAGCCCTGCAGAAAACAGCTGAGAGCAAAACAGCTGAGAGTTGGGAGGCCGATCCAATCAACTTGTGCTAATTAGGATGTGCTGAAGCTGAAAGGAGCTGTTTTTTCTTGCTGCTTGCTGCAAGGAAGTAACTGCTGGGAGGCAGAGGCCAAAGGGTGGGGGCCAGTGGGTAGGCGGGGCTACATTCGGTGTATAAGATGCACCTAAATTTTCACCCCCTTTTAGAGGGGGAAAAAGGTGCGTCTTACACTCTGAAAAATATGGTAAATGGTTAAACATAACAAATTTTATGTTCTGTCTGTTCATCATTCTGCCTGCTCTTTGTTTAAGAGATTGGTAACCGGAGGTCACTTCCTTCTGCCTTTCTTCTCAGACAGCCATGCACAGAGCACATGCTCTTTGACTCTTCTCCAGATAGTTAGCTAGATGTTTGATTTTTTCTTATCCCCATGAGGCATTTCCTCTAAATAAATTTCATTTTCTGTTCCACTCATAAATCCGGTAATTGTCCAATGACTTTTGCCTCCTATATTTTAATCATGGTTGAGGGATAAACGATGGATTTTAAAACACAAAATTATTACCTATGAATATTGTTTATATTTCACTCTGACAGATATAGATTTTTTATGTGTTCTTTGTTCTGCAACGTGAAAGGATTTTTTAAAAAAATGCAATGACTTACTTTGTTTTCCTTCAATAAAGGGAACTGTTTTGGACAAACCTAGGGATCAATCCACATATTGGAAAATCTACTTTACAAGGCTCAGAGCGTGTCATTATAGCAAATTCAGACTTACTTTGGCCCAGTGGAATAACTATTGACTACGCTGAGGACAAGCTGTACTGGTGTGATGCCAAAATGTCTGTTATTGAAACTGCAAACCTGGATGGTTCTAACCGCCAAATACTTACACAGAATGATGTAGGTGAGGCTTTGGGATGCTAGTTTTCTATCCAATGATGCACATATCAAAATGTCAAATGGAAGAAAGACCTCAGTTGAGTGACCTCCCTTTTTTTTGTACTACTTATCCGTCACTGCTGTTCCAGAAAATTGATTAGGGTCCCAGTCAGTGGTGGGTTTCAAATTTTTTTACTACCGGTTCTGTGGGTGTGGCTTGGTGGGCATGGCATTACTTGGTAGACGTGGCTTGGTGGGCGTGGCAGGGAAAGGATACTGTAAAATCTCCATTTCCTCCCCACTCTAGGGGAAGGTTATTGCAAAATTCCCATTTCCTCCCAATCAGCTGGGACTTGGGAGGCAGAGAATAGATGGGGGCGGGGCCAGTCAGCATTTTTACTACTGGTTCTCTGAACTACTCAGTATTTCTGCTACCGGTTCTCCAGAACCGGTGAGAACTTGCTGAAACCCACCTCTGGTTCCAGTGATGAAAGCAGCAAGTTCTTGCAAATATCCATGATAGTCAGCTGGTTATTTGCTGCTGTTGGTCACCCATCCATATTGTATTACTTCTCTGGTTTGATTCCACCTTGCCCCAAGATGAGGGTCAGGCAGCCCTGTGGAAAATGAAGAAGAAAAATGGGGGAGGGGGGGTTGGAATGGGAAGCAGGAAAGTGGTAAAGGAATTATATCTAGACTCTGTTTTGGAGAGCAAAGAGCAATAGGACTCACCTGGTCCACATTCCAATGTATGTTTGTTTTGATAAATCAACAGGGCCCTAGTTAAGGGAGTAGTGAACTTAACAAAGGGACTGGTGTATGTGTCTCCCCCCACCCTCCCTCCCTCCTGACTTTCTTGAAGTTTTGTGTAAAGAAATGTGAACAAATTTTGAAAATTGAAGTACTGTGTGCCCATAAAGGGAAGAAAATCGAATACATACTTCCTTCCTCCCTATAGCCCAGCTATTAATAGGTTAATATTACTGTAGTGATTCTTATTGCAGCACTACTGCCATCTAGTGCCCATTCCTGTAATTTAAGGTACTGAAAAGATGCTTCTGTGGAGGAGACAGATCTAAGGAGGATCGGTCTTGAGATTCAGTGTTAGCTCTGAGTTGGTGGTAATATGCTTCCAACTACCAGTTGCAGGGGAAGAAGAGCAGAGGAGACCTCTGCTTGTGAGTGCCATAAATGCAAATCTATCTGACAACTAGCAAGAAGGTTTTGGACTAATCCAGCAGGGTTACTTTTAATGTTCTTAGATAAAGGTATTATGTTTATATGAGAAGAGAAGAAACATTTGTGTGCATTCTAAAAGTTCCAGTGATTTTTGTGCATTCTCTGGTTGTTGGCTGGTACAAGGGCCAGGCTTTTAGGTGAAGATGGGCAATCATTTGCTGGCTTGGCTGCACTAAAAGAAGGACAAAAAAATCGAGTGAGGATATGTCATATATGCAGATACGGCCAAGATTTCCAATATTCTCTCTGTTTGGAGTGGGGAAATGTTGAGGTTTTTCTGTCTATATTTTTTTGTGTGCATCCTGTCATAAAATGGCAAGAAGTGTGACTGATTTTTAAAAATTGTGCCATTTTGCTCCAGTTTCTTTTTCTTTTTTTAATTTGATTTATATGCCGCCCTTCTCCGGAGACTCAGGGCAGCTTACAGTGCGCTAAGCAATAGCTTCATACTTTTGTATATTTTTATACAAAGTCAGCTTATTGCCCCCACAAACTGGGTCCTCAATTTACCTACCTTAGAAAGGATGGAAGGCTGAGTCAACCTTGAGCCTGGCAAGATTCGAACTTACTTTTAATTGCAGACAGCTGGTGTTAAATTACAGTGCTTTTAGTCTGCAGAACTATCCAGGCTCCATCCAGTTGTGCGATTAAGAAAAAGGATCACTGGTTGTAAAGAAATGAAAGTGGGAATATATATCTCCCTAAAGCTACAGATTACACCCTATTGTGTTAAGAGAGCAAAGATAAAGACAATGCTTATAACTGATGTTAATACAAGTAGTCCTTGCTTAGTGATCACAATTGGGACCTGCAACTCAATTGTTAAGCAAAGTGAACATTAACTGGGCTTATGGTTTTAACAGATTAACAGAGTTGGAAGGTCATCTAGTCCAAACCTCTGCCCAAGCAGAAGATCCTACATCTGCCTCTATCTAGGATCGAACTCACAACCTCCTGATTGTGAGGCAAGAGCTCCACCTGTAGTTCAGCTTTCTTTTGCTTTACAGACTTGTGAAGGTTGTAAATGTGTAGATTGGACACAATGTTATTTTTTCGTAACCCTTGTAATTGCAAATATTCGTTAACTGAAAACTACCTGTGCTATAACTGAAATCTGGATTTTGTACCCTTGGGCCTCCCAGTTCTGACAAAATCATCAGAAATCATAAAAATCCTAGAAGAATGGGACTTTTTAGATACAATTAAATAAATGACTGAAGACTGGCAATACAAAAATATTTTGGATTACAAGTAGTAATTTGTAGTATTTAAAGTCAATTAAACATCGGTTAGAACCATTAGAACAGGAGCCTGAGTGGCGTAGGAAGCTAATGCCTCCTACTAAGGCAGCATTTAACATCCAGCTGCCTGCAATTACTGTGAGTTCAATTCTCACCAGGCTCAAGGTCGACTCAGCCTTCCATCCTTTCTAAGGTGGATAAAATGAGGACCCAGTTTGTGGGGGCAATAAGATGACTTTGTATAAAATATACAAAAGTATGAAGGCTATTGCTTAACGCATTGTAAGCCGCCCTGAATCTCCAGAGAAGGGCGGCATATAAAAATAAATAAAAAATAAAAAAAATAAAAAAAAATTTCTAGTGAAACAAGCTACCAGTGAGCTGACATCTCATTGCTTTAATGCTTGCACAGATTATTCCCGCCTGATGTTCCTGATATAAAGTCACTTGGTGATCTAAAGTCTGCATATATTGTTTGAACTGCTTTTCTTGCTTTTATCCATCAATGTTGTGGTAGCAGTGGTGACATCTGGAGTCCAATGCCCTCTGGAAGGACACATGTCTTTCCCTCTGCATCTAATACAGATTGATGAATGTGCTTTAGGCAAGAGTCTGACCTAGAAATTTAAAAGATTCTGCCTCATTCTGACTCTAAACTTTGATTTATAACAAGGAGGGACAGTTCTAATACAGTGTGGGGTATATAACTAAAGCTGCAGATGGGACTAGGAGTCTTTAAGGATTGTTCAGGACTTTTAAGGGATTGAGGCAGTGGTGGGCTTCAAAATTTTTTACTACCGCTTCTGTGGGTGTGGCTTGGTGGGCGTGGCATGGCTTGGTGGGTGTGGCATGGCTTGGTGGGCATGGCATGGTTTGGTGGGCATGGCAGAGGAAGGATACTGTAAAATCTCCATTCCCACCTCACTCCAGGGGAAGGATACTGTAAAATCTCCATGTCCTCCCGATCAGCTGGGACTCGGGAGGCAGAGAATAGATGGGGGCAGGGCCAGTCAGAGGTGGTATTTACCGGTTCTCCGAACTACTCAAAATTTCTGCTACCGGTTCTCTAGAACAGGTCACCTGAAACTCACCTCTGGATTGAGGGATACCTCCTCCAAAAAAACCAGATTTTAGTCTCATCTATTCTGGAGTGGGGGTTGGGGGGGCCAATCTGCAAGTTGCAGAAGAGATTATGGCACAATCCATGCAATCCCTAGAAATCTAGATTTGGATCTTGATCTGCAATGTTCAGAATAGAAATTTATTGGGTGCATGTTAATTGATACGTTTACTCAGTACATGTATATAATGGAACTGTTAATCTTTTATCTGCATTCTAGGCTATCTCTATGGCATAACGGTTTTTGAGCATCACGTTTGGGTATCTGACTGGACTAGGCCTTCATTACTGAGAATAGAGAAGAAAAATGGCCTCAAGAAGATACGCCTTGGAGGAAGCATGCTGAGACCTTCTTCACTGCTTGTTCTTCACCCTTTAGCCAAACCAGGTATACTGTATGTCAAGTGTACTTCAGTCTTTTTCTGATTAGCTCTGTATCAGGGTTTATGAGAGCAGAGGTCTTCAAACTTGGAGGCTTTAAGACTTGTGGACTTCAACTCTCAGAATTCTCCAGCCAGCTGTGCTGGCTGGAGAATTCTGGGAGTTGAAGTCCACAAGTCTTAAAGCTGCCAAATTTGAAGATCTCTGTATTAGGAGTTCTAAAATGTTAGAAGCAAGCTTGCTGGCAAACTACTATTTGGCAAGTGCTGCAAACAGTGATAATAAAATAGCATTGTAATACATTTTATAATATAGCAAAACCTGCCCCAATAATCAATTAACAACTTTTTAAAAAGAAAAATATTCTGATTGTTATTTTAATTACACCTATTTGCTAACCAATGTGACTCCTATTACTGGTCTATTTTGACGGTTACAATATATTTCCTTTTTTGCTTTAATTTAGCAGTTGAATACATTACAACAGGGGTGAAATCCAGCAGGTTCTGACAGGTTCTGGAGAACCGGTAGCGGAAATTTTGAGCAGTTCGGCAAACCGGTAGCCGGAAATTTGAGTAGTTTGGAGAATCAGCAAATGCCACCTCTGGCTGGCCCCAGAGTGGGGTGGGAATGGAGATTTTACAATACCCTTCCCTCAGGAGTGGGGAGGGAATGGAGATTTTGAAGTATCCTTCCCCTGCCACTTCTACCAAGCCACGCCCACCAAGCCACACCATGCCCACCAAGCCACACCCACAGAACCGGTAGTAAAAATATTTTGGATTTCACCACTGCATTACAGGGATATTTCTCCACTAGTAAATAACAATTTTGAAATGACACAGTGCAGTGGTGTATATCGCCTACTTATTTTTACTCTTTCAGGCCGTATCTCTACATACAAGGAAGATGCAGTAGGAAAGGAAATGTTTGCTGGAGAAATATCATCCCAGCATCTTCTGATTAACAGCAAATATGGTGATAGCCATGGGGATGATCGAGAGAAGCAACAGACACTGACTGCTGAAATTGTGGTGTCTAGTAAAGATTGCCTTTTCTTATTTCCTAATGGCAAAAGGATACGTGTGTTATCAGTGTTTATGCCAATGGCTGTTGTGATCATGTGCAATTGGAGCATAAAAAAATCTGCCTTATACTAACTTAGATCATTGATCTGTCGACTCTGCAGTGGCAAGTTAAACTGTGCCAGCAACTAGCTTTGTGACAAATATTACTTATTTATTTATTTTGCAACATTTATAGCCCCTTCAATCCAAACGGACTCTGATTATGATAAGCATTTGAAAACCATTGATAAAGAAGAAAGTACAAAGTATTAGCTAGCAATATTTAAATTAATCCAAGGGGTGAATGAGAGCAGCTTGCTGTAGTGATTAAGGCAGAAGTGGGGAACGATGGCCCCTTTATGACTGATGGACTTCAACTCCCAAAATTCCTGAGCCAGGATGGCTGGCTCAGGAATTCTGGGAGTTGAAGTTCACAGGTCATAAAAGGCCTATCATTCCCAACCCTTGGATTAAGGCATTAGGCTAGAAGCTGGGAGTTTGGGAATTCTAGTCCCACCTTAGGCGCAAAGCCAGCTGGTTGACTTTGGACCAGTCACTTCCTATCAACCCCAGGAAGGACGCTAACTAACTGACTAAAAAAATAGAAATGCCCACTGGAACAATACTGTTTTGATCAGTTGCAAAATGCAAATAGGGAAGAAGGTATAGATATCTTGGAAAGAGAATATTCCATAAAATAGAGTCTGCTACTAAGAAGGTTTCTCATCCTGACCATAACCCCTGTGTCTTATAAAGAGGGGGCAGATCAGGGGTGAAATCCAGCAGGTTCTGACAGGTTCTGGAGAACCGGTAGCGGAAATTTTGAGTAGTTCGGAGAACCGGCAAATACCACCTCTGGCTGGCCCAAGAGTGGGTGGGAATGGAGATTTTGCAATATCCTTCCCCCAGGAGTGGGGAGGGAATGGAGATTTTGCAATATCCTTCCCCCAGGAGTGGGGAGGGAATGGAGATTTTGCAATATCCTTCCCCCAGGAGTGGGGAGGGAATGGAGATTTTGCAGTATCCTTCCCCTGCCACACCCACCAAGCCATGCCCGCCAAACAACATCACGCCCACCAAGCCATGCCCACAGAACTGGTAGTAAAAAAAATAGGATTTCCCCAAGGGGGCAGATGAATAAAATTTAAAAAGTTAGCTCTAGTGAGCTTTTTCATAGCAATGTACTACTGTGAACACATAAACTATGGATAACTGTAGAGTGATAAATTTTCTTATCCTTATTTTGTGCCACAGATCAGGACAACTGTACACCATTGGGTTGTGATCTCAATTCTCAATGCATTGCACATCAAAATGGTGCTGTGTGTGAGTGCCAGACAGGGTTCATCATAGAAGATCAACTGTGCCATGGTAATTTTACATGACAGATTACAGAGTAATATTAATATTATATATTTTTGCATGTATTTCATCTTGGGTCGTCATTTTGAGATCAGAAATATACCTCTGGCACCATGCTAGTGCCTTCAAAAAGCAGACAAGCTATGATTAATAAGGAATACAGCAACTATAAATTCAGGTTTGAAGTTAGAGCTTTTTAAACTTTTTAATATGCCTTGACGTTAGGATTATCCTTCAGTTTAGAATAGATTATCCCTGACAGTCAGGATGGTCAGCATTCGGAGGTCTCACCCAGATCACATTTAAAATCAATATACAGTAGTTATCAATGTAATAAGTTCGCTAAACAAATGCATTCATATATGAGTGAGGTCCATCTACAGCAGATTTGATTCATTGTATTTATATCTTGCCTTCTCAGCAGGAATTTAAGGCAGCATGCATGATTCTCCCCAGTTTTCTTTTATCCTCCCAACTCTTCTGTTAGAAAGAATTTAATTAATTCTTTCATGGATAGTCTCCCAGCTATAAATACTTTTTTTTTATCTTGTAGATGTTGATGAATGCCTTCTTAACAAAGAACAGTGCAATCAGAACTGGTCTAGATGTATCAATACCGAAGGAAGCTACTTCTGTGAGTGCCTTTTGGGTTATGCTGAAGATGGACTTCATTGTTCTGGTGAGTTATTAGGATAAAGGATGTACCTCTGGGCATTCTGAATAATTTCTCCATCCTACTTAGAGGGGTTTTTATGCCAAGCTTCTAGATGTAGTTATTTATCACATGGATTTAGCATATTTATATGCTGCCCATCTCACAGAAAAATGAGTTTGGGTAGCATACAGTCAAACTATAAAACAATGGTTATAAAAGTATTGTATGATTAAAACGTACATATTATTATGTATTTTTAGAAGCCAAAAAGGATTGGGAGATCATAGATGCTATACACAATATAACTATCTCATCAAATCCCCATTTCCATGATAACCCAAGCTTGTTGACAAAACCAAGTATAAGAGACTTTTGAAAGGATATCAATACATGCACAGAGCGTCAAAAACGGGACATGATGATGTCCAGGTGGCTGGTTGGAGCCTCCCACAGCCGCCGCTACTGAATACCACTACTGGCTGAATACCACCACTGATTCCACATCATTTATTTTCCTTCAATTTAGGAAAGCAGTTTTGCACTGTGACCTATTGGGGATAGTAGCAGGATAACTAACTTTCATTTTGATTTTAATATTGATATGATAGAAAGTAGAGAAAAGATGGGTGCCTAGGAGGGAGGGGATGCATTCCAGAGAAGTAACAGGCAACTCAGCCCAGATCTTATGTGTGAGAGAAAGAGGGTGAAGACAGCCACTCCTTAAGAGTTCACAGAGTTTATTGTAGATGCAGGGAGTAGAGTGCTCAATCGGGCAAGATTTTGTCTACAGATGTGAACCATTAAAGAACAGCTTGAAAGAACTGACAGCTGTCATTCTTGGTTTGGGATCTGACAATTGCTAAATATGAAGATTCAATGAATTGCCTTAATGAGTTCATATAGTAATTTATATCCAAGGTAGCTGGAAAATGAAATGTAACCTGCAGGCCATGGACTGCATATGCTCCCCCACAGAATGTCAAATTATAGTAAAACAAAAAAAAAATATGTTTCATAGATATGACAATAAAGAGATATTAAGCCTGGTGGGCCTGGTAGCCGTATTTTATGTTTTAAAAATGGGTTCAAAATTCCAGATAGTTCCAGAGATACTACATCAAGGTAACCATCACAGTATGTAAATAGTTCTTGGTGCTGAAAAGACTGTATTCCCTTCTTAAAAGTTTTAAGTACTTGCTGACGCTAGACTTCCAAACTCTGTAAGGTTGCTGGCATTATTTATCCCTTCTTCCAGGCTTTCTGCATTCTAGGTGATGTTTAACATCATCAGTTCATCAATATGCAAAGCCTCTAGATGTCAGGAGATGTTTTCTCCTTCTGTTATTTGGCAGCGTTAATGGAATGAATGACCCAATAGAGATTTATTGGAAATCATTACCCTGCCTATAAATGAAAGCGCGTATTGAGTCAGTCATAATACTCATCAAATAATTTTATGTTCGTTAATAGTCATGAGATTCGAGTTGCTGACATTTCCAATCAGGGTTCATTGAAAACTATGTTCATAATCAGATTCCCTGATCTGCATAGTTAGAATGCAAAGGCTGACATTAAATCATAAGTTTAGTGTCTAAAAGAACTGCTTGGAGATACGAAGGCAGCAATTTTTAGCAATTTGTCAGCTTATCCCAAACTGGGCCAATTCTGATGCAGGTACACGTTTTTGCAAATGGGCAATTAGACTTTACAAATGTACATTCCTTTCTCTGACATCTCCATTTAAATTCCCCCTTTCTTACTCTTGCTTACTGCATCAATATATCCCGATCTGTTGTTTTGCTGAAATAACAACTCGGGAGGAAAACCTTGGTTCATGGCTATTAGCTTGATAGTTACAAATGCCACATCTTTTTGGAGACCAGTTGATGTCCTTGTGCAGTTGGTTATCCATTATGAAATTTTATCCATCTGCTGGACTAGACAGGACAGGAGTTCAATTTAGCAGGACAGTACTTATGTTCTTATGTTTTCCTAATTAAAATGCTAGCTATACAATGGAAGAAAATCGTAGTATTATATATGAACTGGAATGTTCTCTCATAGTAAGGGGAGAAAAAGACCCTAATTTGCTTAGTAACAATCTTCTTTAGTTCCTCCTCAACTGCTATGGACCAAGTGTTTCTATCTCTCCCTCCTTTCCTCTCTCCCCTCCTGCTTTACTTTGAGAATAAACCTATAATAGGCTTGTAATGAATAACCATTCCAAAAGCACTCCGTTTTTAAGTGAAGACTTGCATTTACCTTGCTAAATACAGCATCTCAGACACTGCATCACATTGATTGTCAAATAGCTATTATTAAGAAAGTGATATTATGCAATGACTTTAAGTAACATAAAGTCATAGGGAATTTCATATTTTGTATCCCAGTTCTGTTGCATTAAGACCTGCTAAGTAGACATTTCACTGTATCTGCCTTTATTTCTTCCAGTAGCTGTTATTTACTGTTTTAAAAGTGGGAGAATCTACTCAAGTAGAAAATCAAGTCATTCAAATTTGGCCCCGGAGACTCAAACACATTAACTCCCCTTCTCCTAAATTGTTTCAGAATCTGTCATCGCTCCTTCTATTGTAACCAGGGATGACTCTACATTATCTGAAAAAGAAGGTCCTATGGACTGCTCACCATCATACTGTTTCCATGAGGGAGTTTGCATTTATTTTTCAGATCTGCAGACTTTTGCATGCAAGTAAGTACTGAACTCCAACGTATTTCTAGTTATTAATTAAACTCAACAGTTAGTGTCCAGTGAAATAACAGGCAGGTTAAATAGTGTTGCTAGACATGTGAATTACATGTATTTTATTTATATCCCATGCATGCTTAAGGCATGCATAATCTCTTGTTTTCACAATGATAATCTTGTAATTTGGGATGAGAGAAAATGTCTGATCCTAACTTACTCAGTGAGCTCTGTCATCAAGAGAGGAGTTTAGTTTTCACTAACCTAGTTTTGAACATTTGGCCCAAGTCACTTACAAATCTAAAGCATATGAGGCAGGGGTGGGTTCTACTTACCTTTTCTACTGGTTCACAACGGGATCGCGCATGCGCAGATTGCTGATGACGACATCCAGGGTGGTGGGTGGAGCCTCCCACCGGTTTTACTACCGGTTCTTGCGAACCGGTCCGAACCACACACCACTGATATGAGGATATAATGTTTGGATGAGGTATAGAAATATTTATTTCCCTTTACCTCACAAGATCCTTGTGTGTATCAGCTCTAGCTTTGGTATTTTTACACTGAACATGGGGCTTTTGTAGGTATGGTTAAAAAAAATCAAGATGGCTGCCACAATGCTGCGATCTAAGCTCTGTCTGATTTTTATATGTGTTACATAAACATAAAATCAAGGTGGAACTTCAGTTATACCATTGTGGCTGCTTTCTTAGCTTTCTTGATATTATCCCCTTCAGATACTTCTGACTGAGCAGGAAGGTATGAGAGGGATTTTGTGCTGCAATCTTCTTGTAGATATACTCATTCCATTTGAGAATATCCAAAGATGGAACTTTGTAAAACATGCTCAGTATACTATTTCAATTAAAATATTCCATATCTTGTTCTTAGGTGTCACATATCTATGACAACCTGAGTTTGACTTCAAACATTATTTTATACTTATTGTTCTTGTGTACAGTTTTACATTAGGTGGCAGTGTTTCATCATTCATTAACACAGAGATTTCACTCCATTACCAAATTGGAAAAAATATTTTTGTTCCCATTTTCAAGACATATCAAAAGGCTTGTTATAGCTTCCTTTAAAAATAAACATGCTTGTTATACTAAGGTTGTAGCATAGCACATGATTTCATACTATTATAGTTCAGAATGTATTATTACTTATTTAACAGTCCAGATCTCTTTTTGGCAGATCTCTGAGTGAGTTGGGTCTGTAGAATTCAGTAAAAATAAAAATTGCCTTTTTATTCATCATGGGATGTCTACACAGTGCAATTCAAAATAAAGTTGGATTTAGTGAATGCCCTACAGAGGAGAAAGAAAAATATTACTTTCAATCATTTACTATTTGTCTTTTAGTTCCCAAGTAAGCAATGCTAACATTGTAAAATGTAGATCTGTTGACTAGAGTCAAAATAAAGCAATATTAAAGCGCTCATTCATTTAAATATTTTTAAAAGTGATGTCCTTGCACTTCTCGGTTTGGTGCCTTCTTTATGATATGGGCCGGATCTCCCATCATTCCCATTTTTACTAACTGGAAGGCAGAGATTGTAATTCAAATCTGTCTGGGGATAGCAGATTAAGGAAAAAAGTAGTATATCTGTCCTTAATCTGGGTGTCTGCAAATATGTGGATCACAGTTTTCAGAATTCCTACCATGGCTATTGTGAAAATTCTGCAATTGGAGTCCAAGTTAAGGAAAGTAACAGAAGATGTCTGCAGGGTCATGCTATGTTGTCAGCGGCCTGTGCAGTTAGTAGCTGATTCCAACAGCAAGGAGGCTGGGGTGGTGCTGCGCCAATAGCCTGTGCAGTTGGCAACTCGAGTCGGACAATGAGGAGGCTGGAGAAGATGTGGTGCCAAAGGCGTGGATTCAGCCAGGGCCTTCAGAACCTCCAGAAGCTCTCATAAGTGAAGAGGAAGAAGAGGAAGAGCCTCTTCTCGATGCACGAGCGTGCAGAGCTGCGAAAAGGCAGGAGTGGCTCCTCAGGAGGAGATCTCTTCGAGAGTAAGGCTTGGGGCTAATTGGCTACTCCCCTAGCATATTTAAGGAAGGACGACAACTGATGCAATTTGCAGGAAACAACTTCGTTCAAATTCCTTCATGTCTTGATTACAGAAAGCATTTGATTTGGCTCCTGTTTCTCTCTTATCAGTTTTCCTGCAAATTGCTTCTCAGCATTCTGCCAACCACAGTAAGATTATGGTTATCTGAAATACTGTGCCTCAGAACTGATTTATTATTCTTTGAATTCTTGTCGGCTGTTAGTGAAGTTAAATTAACAGCCCTTGTTCAGAAAAGACTGATTTATTGTACTTGTGTTCAAACAATACTAAGAAAGCTCATTAGTAGTCTTTAATTAGTAAATTAAGGTTTGTACGAACTTTGTGTGAGCTGCGTTCTTTGGGGTCCATAGCTGGGGCAGAACATGCTAATGGCTCATTTAATCCATTATTCTATACTGTGTAATGGTCGGTCAGGTGCATAGTGAAAAGCTATAAAGATGGAAACAAAGGTGATAGCATCCTCCATTGTTATTCTCCAAGCAGATGGCATTTTAAAGTATTGTTGCTCAGGATTTTGATGATAGTAACTGGCGTTCAAAACTAGCAGCCATGGTAGCTTGATCTTTTTTGAATTTGTCCAAGGCGTTTTAAAACAAAACATGATGGCAGAAAAAAAAAATTCACAGTTTAATTCTCCAAGAAGTTTTCTCAGTCCTGAATATTTATTTTTAACATATGCCCCATTCTGTTGTTGCAATGCTATGAATTTCCATCAAGTTTTGTTTGGCCTTCATAGCAAGTTCAGTAGCCTTCTAAACAACTTGGTTGTCCTTTCTACGTATTTTCACTGCTGCTTTTTCTCATGTGATGACTAGAAATCACAATTTTCCAGAAAGACTGTACTTCGTTGAATGAAATCAGCCATTCCTGATAATTGGCATTGCCTTCTTTGTTGGTTTGCCCATCAACAGCTGTGCGAAAGGCTACCTGGGAGACCGCTGCCAGTTTAGTGACTTGGAGTGGTGGGAACAACAACGTGAGATGCAGATTAAGAAGCAAAACATCGCAACTGCTGCAGTCTTGGCTGCGCTGTTCTTGGTCCTGCTCCTTGGAGTGGCTGCCTTCTACTTCTATAGGTAGAATTTATTTCCTGTTTATGATAATCCATTGCTATGTTGTTTGTAATCTTTATAAATTCTTTCATACAACATAAACCCAAGATTTTGATTTGTTTGCTCATTAATTTAATATTCATGAACATTATTGGTCCTAATATACATTTACAGTAATAAGGATGATGATTCTATTTTAATTTGCAACTGGATATCCTACCATGCTTGCCCATTTTTAGCAATATGTTCGAGGAATTTAAATGAGGGATGCAATGGCTCAGTAGCTAAGACGCTGAGCTTGTCGATCGAAAGGTCAGCAGTTCAATGTTCGAATCCCTAGTGCCCCATGATGGGGTGAGCTCCTGTTACTTGTCCCAGCTTCTGCCAACCTAGCAGTTCAAAAGCATGTAAAAATGCAAGTAGAAAAATAGGGACCACCTTTGGTGGGAAGGTAACAGCATTCTGTGCGCCTTTGGCGTTTAGTCATGCCGACCACATGACCAAGGAGACGTCTTCAGACAGCACTGGCTCTTTGGCTTTGAAATGAAGATGAGCATCGCCCCCTAGAGTTGGGAATGACTAACACATATGTGCGAGGGGAACCATTACCTTTACCTTTACCCTATCATGCTTGCCCATTTCTAGCAATATGCTTGAGGAATTTAAATGAGCAACTTTTGAAGGATGAATTTCAACGGTCATATAATGTTTGCAGACATGTGGCCCTAAAGTATTTTGGCTGGGATATATGTGAAAGTAAATGATGAGAGCAGCATTACACTATCCAAAACAAACTCTGTTTTTGGCACATGTGTCGTGATATCATATGCATATATGAAAAGGGCAGAGCTTGTGTCACAATGTCACAATCCTGTTTCGGTTATTTAGATGAAAGTAGTAGCTCCTGCCCATTGGACATCTGAGATTCCAGCCAATTATTTTTTAAAGAATAGGATGGAATTGGATGCAAGAAATTGTGGAGAATTATGAAAAGCCAGTATGCTTATAGTGGTTATTGGGTTAGCTTGGAGAGGGGAGATTGTGATTTCCCCTTGAAACATAGAAATGATAGGGGAGAATGAGAGAAGAAGTTCTAAACTGCTAAAAAAAAAACCATACCAAAAACTGCTAAAACCTCCATATCAAAGACAGAAAAGAAAATTCAAGTGTAAGACGATTTCCTTGGAATTCCCACAAAGTTGATTGCACAATAAATCTTCTGATGACTGCACTCCATCTAAAATGCCCTCTTATTTTATTCCCTAATTGTTGTAACTGTCTTAAAAGTGTAACAACAGGATGGATTTATTTTGACAATTAAACAGCATATAATGAGTGTGTGTTATCTACATTGGGATCAACACAACTTCTAAAGAAGCAAATTATTTCCCCAATATTTCTAATTTATGTCAGAAAGTTGGTGAATGTGTCATGCTTTTAAGAAACAAATGTAGAAAAAGGATGAGCTATAATGAAACTGAAATAAGACCTTCACTTGGCTAGGTTTATATGTTAATGGTGTATATAAATCTTCTCTGCCTATATGCAATTCTCAAAATATGAACTAAGCATCTCTTCCTAGAAACAAGTAATTTCCATCAGGTCCTTTACATATGAAATATTTATATCTTTTATCAATATTATTTGAGCCCACTATTCAGGCTAACAATTTTCCTGGCAATCTACAAGCAATATTGTAAGTAAAGCAATAAATTTTGGGATCCTTCCTGAAATAGATGGTAATAAGTCTCCTTTTGGATGTGAGCAGGGAAAAATGCCTGCCATTATCCTCTCTCTTCTTCAGGCTTCCGTCCAGCTGTTCAGCTAGTAATAATGGCGGGAGATGGGATGAGGGACTATCCAGCTGAGCAGATCTTAGTGGTCATTGTTCCTGGGTTTCCTCTGGCTCTTAATCAATAAGCTGAGGGAAATACAAGGGAAAAATACTTCAATTGAGAAAAGAATCATTTTTTTAAAAAGAAGGACAGAGTACATTCATCTTTTTCCTTAAGTCAATTTATATGAAGTAAGAATACATTAAAGGTAGAGTATCATTGTGCACTTGTTCTCAGCTGCTGAAAAAAATAAGCAATGAGGTCTGCAGATCTAATTTCTCAGAAGGAATAGCATCAAAAGCTTTGGCTCAGGGCTCTTAATTGTTAATTAACAAGGCCAAATTTTAATCCCCCGCTTTACGTGCCCTGCTTATTCAGCTGTACAATCCCTAGCTACCTCTGTATTTTGTCTCTCTGCCTTCTTGGACTTGCACAGCTCATCTTTGTTTGCTGGGAAAATTTAATTTCAGTCAAACTGATATCTACCAAATTCTTTGCTGAACTGATTTTTTTTTCTTGAGAACTTGTGATTTTTTTCCCCTTAATTGTGTGTGTTAGACCGCTTCATGTGCCTTGTAGTTGGTGGTAGGCAAATAACAGTTGGCTGGATTTTAATATATTGTTCGGGTAAATTGAGCATTGATTGTGGTTTATTGGTACCATTTGTAGGTCTTGCTACAGGTGGTAGAGGGTAAATCTGGTAATCTTGTCTACGCCCTCTATTATTAAAAAGCATTATGTAAAAATCTCATTTGATCCACGGTTAGTGCTGAAAGTGAATCTCTATAGGCCCATCTGTTTGGTAAAATATGGAAGATTATGTCTTACAATTCATATTTTTTTTGTAGTGTTTATTCCACATGTTGCAAGATTTACTTATCTTTGCATTGGGCTCATTTAGTTCTTACAGTGAAACTATCAGTACATGGTGTGACAAGGGATTTATTTATCAGCTGGCTTGTTACAGAGTGTAACACTGATTATAGATGAGAGGGTTTGAGTGCCCAAAATAATTCAGCTGGATTCTGCTCTCAAGGATTATTAGATTCTGGATCTCCCTGCTCTTTGTACAGTACTTTAACCACTACAGAATGCTCACTACCACAAAAACATGGTTGGTTTGATTATCTATGATGTAAGATTGAGAATGGATAATTATTTGATAATGTCAAACTCATATCTTGGAAAAATGAATGGGGGGGGAAAGGAAAAGTGAAAGAAATGTGAATAATAATCAAAAGATTGCAGAGGGAAAAAGCATCAAAACAAAATATATTGGAGAGATTAATCTTGCAACATTATGAATAGAAAGAGGACATAGAAGCTCCATGCAGCATAGTGAAAGAAAATTTATTAGAGAGTGCCACAGTAATCCGTAGAGTTGCTTTAAAATTGAATTGAAAGAAGATGCCAATAAAAATGCATTATCATATGTAACTACAATTGGGATAAAAGTAAGACTTGTATTATGTATAGAAAGAAAAGTAGAGTGAGGGCTAATTTATATATAGAACTGAATAATATATAGAGATGTGTGTATAGAAAAAAAGACAGTTGTAATCAAAGACAGCAAGGAACGATCAAGATTAGAAGAGGCAGAGACAGTGCAGAGCACTTTTTAAGGAAATAAAAGTTATTCTGAAAATGGGTGAAGAATAAAGAAGGAATCTCTAAAAGAGAAAATGTAATCAAAAATAAAACGAATGTTTGAAAGGAATTCTGTTGTGTGTTGATTTAGAGAAAGCACACAATAAGATGAATAGGTGTGAAGATTTCAGAGGGGTGGGTTCGAAAAAGCCAAGAGTTTAGCAGGAAAGAGCTATTGAAGTTAAGATCCTCAAAATGCAGTATATAAAATGGTGTGTATAGACGTGGTGAAAACAATGATGGGTATGGAAGGACAAAAATATATGGAATGAATGGGGTTCGGAGAAACTACCTTAAACTATATTTCCTTATCTCATTTCTTCAGTTTCTTTGGTTTATACTTCTTACGCTTTTTCCTCTGCTTGGTATAATGCTGCTTAGGCTTGAAAGGGAATAGCCTAATGAATGTTATGCATAATATCACACTTTTTAAGGCAAACCTTTTAAAAAAACGGTTTTACCACATAAAATCTAGCATTCCTAACTATAATAGTCTTTTAGTTTTATGTTTTTTAATTGAGTTGTTTATATCGGTTCTTTGTATGACAAACTGCATTCCCTGATTTTCTGAACCTATATTCTTGCATGTTGATATACTTGCTTGTTGACACATGCTGGATTTTACATTTTTATACTAAGGACTACTAAACCAATCTTGGCAGAGCTCTCATCTATCCCGAATCACCTCACCTCACATGCAAGATGGTCTGAGAACCATCATGTCCAGAGCATGCTCAATGTATATATTGTTTGTTCGAAAGCAGTATTGTTTTAATTCACCTTCAGCTGGTGTCAGAATGCTACATTAAATGTTAACTGCTTTTGTTGAGTCCTCAGTTCACCTGAATGGTCCATATGGATCATGTATTTGAAATATAGAGCCATCCAAAATGATGAAATTGTATTAAAATTATCATCACCACCAGCACCATTATAAAAATATTCTGAACATTTGAAATTTAGAAACTCTGATTCCTTCCTCTAATCCTATGTGTCCACTTCTATAAAAATATCCTATTATTATTTTTGTTTTGTCAGCCAAATGTTTAGACTGTACTATTCTATTATTATTCTATCACTCTGTTATTGTTGTTGTTTATTTTTCCATGATCCATTTCTCTCTTTTACCAAATGATTTCGGACAATGTAACTGTTTATCTTGAAAACAAGTTTTCAATTACATGCTTGGCTGGTTTATATTACCACTATCAGTAGGCTAACTAGATCAAAATGGAATCACTGATCTAAATCCCCCTTTAACTGGAGTCCAGAAGCCAATATTTGAATTGAGATTGCTATTTCATTTTTACTCATACTCTGCTGTATTTTAAGATGTATTGATTATGTTTTGGAAGCAGGTCAGTAAGAGGCCTTCGCTTCATCCATAAAACATGAAGTCATATTGCTGTTTAAGAAGCTTGCAGATCTAACAAAATACACTCACAAGAATAAAAATAACGTGGCCTGCAGGGATAAGGCTTATAAAATACAAACAATATCTTCATCTTGAGCTATAATCATTTACTAAGAAGTCTTACTAATGGAATCTACAGATAAACAAATAAAGAAAATGATGTTTTTTCTTCAGGGTGCTAGTCAGAGAGCCATACTGCAGCCTGTATAATGCCATTCACTTTCTTGAACTACTGTATGCCTATTCTATACCTTGGGGAGGTTGTATTGGAGAGGTACTTCAGCAAAACCCGGGGTCTACTTATATATGGATAGTGTCTTTGATTCCATACTACATAATTATGTACAATATGTATGATATTTGGGACTATGGGATTCCTGCTTGGATAGTGAGTTCACTATCAGAAAAATGTTAACTTTTGAATTGTGAGATTATTCTTGAGTGTAATCAGTGGTTATATATAAAAAGTAACACAATTAATACAATCTACTGTTAGTATCCTAAATGCTTTATTTATTATTTAAGCAATTTTCTGACAATAATGTAAAATGTGCTGCTCGCATACAATACTTCTCATATCCGATTAGTAATAGATTAGCAATAGCAAAAACAAAAGGGATTTTTTTTCCAATTTAAATTAAGCTGAAATGATGACAGCTTAGTAGAGGGAAGAGTGGACTTGAATGTGAAAGATTGTGAACTTGGTTTGTTTTGGAATGTAAATAAAGTTTCCTCAGTAGCATTCTTGTCTTTAGATCTAAAGAGATTGTTTGTACTTGAGGGTCTAATAAAAGTTAAAACGTATCTGGTTTGAAGTCTGTTCATTTTTATTGTGGAAGTCAGTATTGATTATCCTGAAAAGTTGAAGCTTTAGGAAAGTGACTTACGTAATGTTAATCAAATGGCTCTCATTGCAGAGAAAACTATTAAGCATCCAAAGAAGATGGGACTCAATTGTGGTTGAAGCAATGTGCACATTTTTAGGCTAAGGGTTGCACCTTTGAGTGACGTGTCATAGGCCTGCATATCCATTACATGTATAAAGTGGGAGTGAACATAACAAAAGTAATTTTGAGTTTCCAATTTGAGTTTAAGTTTAAATACAGTTAATATGAATAGTGCCATGCTTTTAAAATTTGGGGGGGGGGGAAACAGGTTAGGGATAGATTGGAGAGATGGAAAAATCTATGTGGTGGCTAGGAGTTGAAAATAACTTGATAGCACATAATCAATCAATCATTTAATATTTTTCAGCTTCTGGTCTATTAGTTAAAATTAAGTGCAACAATTGGGGAACACATATACTCCAAGGATCTGGCAAAGCACACCTGGACGAGCATTTTCAGATAGATTAATTGAAATTGAAGTTTCTGTTGGGTAAGAGCCATTGATCATCCTTTCTCTACCCATTGGGAAATAAACAAGTTTTAATTTTGACATCTTTGTAAGCAAAATGACATCTTTGTAAGGAAAATATATCTGAGAATTGTAGGCGAGGGAAGACTGAACTCAATCTCTCCATCTCTCGGGTTCTGTGTCAATCTCATTATCCCTAGTTATGACCAATAGCATAGCCTCCTCTTCCTTCTTCAGCAGGTATGTTGCGGAGTCACTGATCTACAATTCCTATAATTGCCATCTAGGCACTCAAATTATAAGACCAGGCAACCTTATAATTTGAGGAATACCACAATAATAATTTCAGCCTCAACTGTAAAAGATTAGTGTTACTCTGCAAGGTAGGGATGTATTGGAATTCAGCTAACAAAACAAATGGATGCTTGAACTATATTTTATAACCATAAAATGTATATCCACAGAGAATTTTATTCCTTGATTTTTTTTTCCTTTTACAGGAGACAACAGAGATTTTCCAAGAGAGAACCCTATGCAGAAGACAGAATAGCTGCTGACATGAGCTGCAGCAGCACTCCTACTAGCCCTAAAAATGAAGACACGAAGCTGCCAACTATTAACCCCTCGGTAATTCTATAGTAACAAGAGTAATGCAAAACAACGGAGAGATCAAAGGATATCAGAGATTCACTTGAGATTATCCATCAAATACTTCATTTATTAAATATATTAAATAACCATTGGGAGGGCTATCAAGTATTTTTCTATGGACCCAAAGTTCTTCTTAGCTCATTGTTATGTGATCCTTCAAAGTTCACAGCTGCCTGAATACATTGCAAGCAAGTGACAGTGTTATTGTTAGCTGTGCACAAACAGTTGGAGGGATGTTCTAAATTAAAGAATGCCAACATGATGACATGACCGATTCACATTGCAGAGATGAAAATGAACTTTGTTTCCTAGAGACCACTGCTGGCTGGCTCTTCTTTCCGTGTTGAGGGGCCTAGCAATGCTTAATCCCATCTCCCGCCATTATTACCAGCTGAACAGTTGGAAGGAAAGTGCAGAATCCCAGTCCAAGATTTTGCAAGCTACTTACGACATTTGGCCTGGAGGGGAAATGCTTTTGGATGTATTTGGGCAACTGAACAGTGAAAGAAAAGAATGAGAAACTGGATCTCATGATCTCATTCATTGTACTTCACACGGACAACAATTTATTTCATTGAAAATAATAAATGGAACAATGCAGAATTAATCAGCTAACAGAGTTGTGTTCCCTATTTGCATTTTTCCCCTGTTTACTACAAACTCAAGTGAAAAAGCCCAGCATGTAAACGTCTAAACTAAAACAAGAAAAGTGCATTAAAACCACAGCTATCCTTCTATTTCAGACTGCTCTAAATAAAGATGTCCTTAAGAGCACTTGTTGCTACAATTAATCCCAGCATCTTGTGTCATTTTCATTGAGTTTTAATGTTTATTAGATAAATAAATATTGGACCGAGTTGATTAAATCAAATCTTATTTAATCTTCAGTAACATTCTTTTCACTGTTTTTTTCTCATCTCGTGTAAGGATCAGCTTTGTGAAGTTATACACAATGATCAGTAGAATCCAAATTTATTTATTTGGTTTATTTCTTGTCGTTCTGTTTTGTTGAAGAAGCTAACGAAATGTAAGTAAAGTAAATATTAAAGCTACAATCAAATAAATGCAAAATCATTTTAAAAATTAAAACCTGGTGAAAGAGATATATCTGTGGAGTTCTTGGGGCTTTTTGAGTTTGAATGCTTGCTTGAGGATATTTTCTTACCCAAGTAGGTAACAGCATCACTGCAAATGAGGATGGGATTTGCTACCTGTTTATGTTTGCTAGTAGTAGTAGAGGTGTGGCTTCCTGCTTGATGTTTCCTTGATCAAAGTATTATTTTATACATGATTGTTTGTTTGATATTGATCCTTGTTTATGTGATTATGCACTGCTGGAGGGAATGTGTTCTTTTTGTTTCCTTCCTAGGTTTTTTTGTGTCTCTTGCGTATGATGTATAGATGTGGTTTATCTCTATGTGCCTCTTGGTGCCTGATTTATCTGACTGCCAAACATCCAAGACTTCCTAGCATTTTGGATCTGTATTCATTCATTCATTTTATCTGGCTGTCAACTCAGGGGTGAAATGCTCCTGGTTCGGACCGGATCGCCCGATCCGGGAGTGATGGAGGTGGGTGGTTCGGAGAACCGGTAGCAAAAATCCCTGCCCCGGCCCCCCATGCCCAGCTGAGCTGCACAATCATCAGAGGCTTTTTTTTTTACTTTTTAAAGCATTTTTTCTACAACCTCTTTGGCTGAAAACTCTTTTTTTCTTTTTTTCAGGCAACTCAGTTGGGATCGTCAGAGCCTTTTGAAAGCATTATTTTACAACCTCTTCGCCAAAGAGGTTGTAGAAAAAAATGGTTTTAAGAGAAAAAAAAATTGGCCATGCCCACCCAGTCACATTACCCCCCCACCAAGCCACGCCCACAGAACTAGTAGTAACAAATTTTAGATTTCACCACTGCATCAATTCACATACCAACTGTAAGTCACAATCATTAAAATGAAAATAAAAAACTAGGTTAGAAAAAAGCAACAAAATACATTGAACCAGTGTAATAACAATTGAACTCAAAATACAGGAAATCCTCAATTTACGGCAGTTCATTTCGTGATGGTTCAAAGTTACAATGGTACTGAAAAAAGTGACTTGTAACCATTTTTCACACTAATGACCGTTGCAGCATCCCTGTGGTCACATGATCAAACTTTGGCAACTGGCATGTATTTATGACAGTTGTAGTGTGGTGGGATCATATGATCCCCTTTTGCGATCTCCTGACTAGCAAAGTCAATGGGGAAGCCATATTCACTTAATAATTGTGTTACTAACTTAACAACTGCAGTGATTCACTTAACAACTATAGCAAGAAAAGTCTTAAAATGGAGTAAAACTCACTTAAAAACTCTCTCATTTAGCAATGGTAACTTTGGGCTTAATTGTGGTCATAAGTCTAAAACTACCTGTACAGAAGCTGGCCTCACCAATGCTCTGTTCCAATCCATGGGAGAAGAATCAGTGTTCCATGAAAAGCCAACAGGAATGGGATTGTCCTAATCTCAAGGGATATGTTTTTTCCCTATAGGGAAGATATTGTGACAGAGAAAATATCCTTCCTGCATCCCATAAAATGACACTGTTTAATTGAGAGGAAATATAATATGCCCACCCTTTCTCATCTGACTAAGAAGTTCTCACTTCCACATCATATCAGTCCCTATTTTACCCACTTTCTTTGGTTAACTTTTAGTATTCAATGTTTTAGTAATTAAATGTTTTAAGACATGGGTGTCAGACTTGCGGCGTGATGTTGCCGTCACGTGACATATCACAAATCTTTTCCTCTTCGCGGAGCTGGGGTGGGTGCAGCCTGCATGTGACAGTTTGACACCCTGTTTTAAGATGAGATAAAAGACAAGAAGGGGGTCAAGTGATATCATGCATGTCATGATGTTATCACACAAACGACTTTATTTATTTGCATGCTTTCAAACTTCCAGGAGCTGGGAGCAAGTAACAGGAGCTTACCCCATTGCGTAGCATTCAAGTCTCAAACCCAGGCTGTCAGCTTTCTATCTGACAAGCTCAGCATCTGTAATCCACTGAGCCATCACGCCCCCATGTGGTTCATATCTTGACACAATTATCATGGGTTTTATATTGGATTATTTCTTTGGTGCAATGTGTTTACTGCCGTTGTTTTTGTAACTCTTTGGTTAGTTTGATGTATGGTTTTTAATCCTTTTATTAGAGAAGGTTTGATAAGCCAGAGTGGCATGTAAGTCATAGTACGTAAATGAACACAGTAACTAAAATTGTGTAATGTACATAAATTGTGTGATGACATGTTGTGCCGAATGTCATAAATCTCCTAATGGCGTCTACTGGATGTCTGTGAATGCTATGTTTCTCTGCATTATTAAACCTTTTAACTCGTAATTTTTATTTAGAACATTTTAATGCCTCCATTTGAGGTAAAGCAATTTCTGTAAATGGATATAACTCAAACCACAATAGTATTACAGAAGAGTTGTAAACAAAAACAGTTTTAAAATAACAGTTAAAATTGGATTGCTCACTTAGATATAAAAAGATGTAAGAGAGGCAAAATTCATAAACACGATTTTTATAGATATTAGAATAAAACAGGAATGATGGGAAATACACACAGAAATTTTGTTTGATTTTTATTACATGCTTACAAAGCAGTTGTTGAGAAGTTCTTGGTTGTGAGTGTTCAGATAAGCAAATTGTCTTAATAATTTGAGAATTTAAAAGGAGGTCAGGTGTTCCTGGATGTGTATTAGATCAGGTTATATATGGTTTATGTCTATTGTAAATATTTTGAAATCCAGAAGATTAAAAGTGGTTTGATTGTTGTTATCTCTTCTGCCTTCCTCATGTTGGCACATAGGAACAGAGTGTGGTCTAACTGTCCTAGTTTCAGAATTATTTTCTAGGGCAGTGTTTTTGCATATACCAATTGTTGAGGCAGATCACAAGTCACAAGTATTAATGAATATTAAAAGTAATCTCTTTGCCCACTTTGTATCAAATAATACAACAATGGGAAAGGAGATTATTACCTCATAGCAGAGGTGGGTTTCAGCAGGTTTGGACCAGTTCTGGAGAACTGGTAGCGGAAATTTTGAGTAGTTCAGAGAACCGGTAGTAAAAATTCTGACTGGCCCCATCCCCATCTATTCTCTGCCTCCAGAGTCCCAGTTGATCAGGAGGAAATGGGGATTTTGCAGTAACCTTCCCCTGGACTGGGGAGGGAATGGAGACTTTACAGTATCCTTCCCCTGGAGTGGGGTGGGAATGGAGATTTTGCAGTATCCTTCCCTTGCCATGCCCACCAAGCCACGCCCACCAAGCCATGCCACGGCCATCAAGCCACGCTCACAGAACTGGCAGTAAAAAAATTTGAAACCCACCACTGCCTCATAGGCAAGGCTTAATTTGATATACTTAAACTGAAAAGGAATAAGATGGCCTGCCAAAGGTGACATTTCATTTGAAGGTGCCTCCTATTGAAATGGATTGTAGTTCAAATCTGATTTAAGATGGAAGTCCACAAATTAAGAGCAGCAGGGAACGTTGTCCAGTAGCATATGGTCAGCAGACTAAGCAGGTATGCTAATCACAGATGGAATTAAACTCTTACTGAATTTTGTAATATATTTTCAATTATTGTAATGCTAAACTCTATAGATAATCACCATTGATCAACATGGCCAGCTCGCATTTTTAGTGATATGGGAAATAAATAAATATTTCTCAGGGCTTTCTTCTACGGAATGGAAACAATGTTTAGACTCAGACTGGGAGAATAAAAATTTTGCCAATTTATGTGAACTGAACAGAGATCTCAGTCCTATTAATATATAGGAAGGTTTAAAACTAATAATTACCTTCATTTTTGGCTTCCCAGATGTTTTGCTTACATTAATGGAGATATAAAAGAACAGCTTACCAAACTGGTGCTTTAGCATTTTTAGATTAGTTTAGTATTTATAGTGAAACCTGTTTTAACAGATTAGGTAGGATGTGGTCATGTTCATTAACCATCATTAAACAAAAAAATACATGTGCAGCAATTTATATTATTTGTGGAATGACATTATTATTCATTCTGTACATATTTGGATTCATACATCACACAGGATGAATACTGCATATTGCTTATTCTGTAAACTTCTGTAAACTGTAAAGATATTAACTACCGGTTGCAGGGATGAAATCCAGCAGATTCTGACAGGTTCTGGAGAACCAATAGTGGAAATTTTGAGTAGTTCGGAGAGTTGGCAAATACCACCTCTGGCTGGCCCCAGAGTGGGGTGGGAATGGAGATTTTGCAATATCCTTCCCCCAGGAAGGGAGGGAATGGGGATTTTGCAGTATCATTCTCCTGCCACGCCCACCAAGCCACACCCACAGAATCGGTAGTAAAAAAAATTTGGATTTCACCACTGACCGATTGGTATGGCTGTATTAGGCTGGATTGAATATTGCAAGGTGTTCTATGACTGCTATTTCAGAACTGCACATAGAGTATTTACATTTCTTGCAAAATGATGAAAATTGCCACAGAAATTTGGTTTGTTGCATGACTAGTTGATCATATCAGTCGACGAAATGTGTTGAAACATTCAGGATGTTTTTTTCCTTAGAAGAAAGTACATTGAAATGTGAATTCCTTTTTCTGAAATCTGAAGAAATACATCAGAACCGATAGAAGAAAAAAGTCAGGTCATTCTTTTTGAATGCTTTTCAGGGACAAAAAGCAAGGCTGGTTTGCTGATCTATTTCTCGAGGTCATAAAAATTAAATGTAAATATTATTACAAGCCTTTTGTCCTGCTGCATCTCTTTTGGAGCATGCCTATCATTGAATAATTTCCATTTGGTTTTCCCACTTACTTCTGTATGTTCTTATTTCATTGGTTTTCATAATTTTGCTGTTTGAGATACTCAACCCCTTAATAACCCTATTTTAGCTTTACATTTACTGTTTGAGGTGAGAGATTTCAGTTTAATTATGTGGCAAAAGCTTTTAAACTTAAATAGGATTTTCTTTTTATGGGAACAGAGGAAGACACTAAAAATCCCTAACCCAAAGAGTTTGACAAGAAAACTTTTTGTGTTGCTATCATATAGGTATAATTCTTGTTCGGTATTGTCACATTCATCCTTCTGAGTGCCAGTTGAGATGTTATGTGGAAAGAAAGAGCTTTCTACTAAAAATGTTAATAATTTTAACGTAAGTGTTACATTTTTAAAAAAAGTCTTCAAAGAAATCTGAACTCTTTCCTCCTTTTTTGTGTTTTAATACCACCAGAGGGCACACATTCTTAAAATATGTCCTTATGGATCTAAGGTTAGTTTTATACTAAACAGTAGTCAAAGAAAATAAAGAGTTTAGTGATGCTGTAATATATTCTGGCATCTCTTGGTGTTTATGGCATGATGTAGCAGGCTAACGTCAAGGAGACAGCCACATAACAGCCAGATTCACAATTCTAGTCATCCCTATACCACCTGTATTTTCGAAGTTATGGGGCAGGAGGAAATTAGAAACCTAATATGGTAGAAAGTAAGGAAAGTTTTTGGCGAAGATTATACCCAAACTTTGAAATTCCTTGCTAAGGAGGTCAGACTAGATTTATCCATATTGTTCTTCCAGCAGAATGTAAACTATTTTTCTTCCTGCCAATATTTTGCATTTTAAATGCCTCTCTTGGAATGTGAGGCAACTACAGTTTACCTACATGAGGCATTAAAAATCTTTTCAAAACATAGAGATGATTTTATTCGCCCCATCATAGTGTTTTATGTAATTCCAGTTTCTCCTTTAGCACATCCAGTAGCCATAAGATACTTCTTATTTAATTGGTGGTTGTTTCCCCCCCACCCCCATTTCCTTTCCTATATTTAAGTTTGGAGTTAAATTATGTTTTAATTTGGTTTTTAGCCAATATGGTCTTTTAAATTGTAATTGAGTTTTTAATCTTTAATTTTGTTACTGTTATTTGCCTGCAGCACCAATTTGGGAAGGATATGAATTAAATAATTCAATAGGCACCATGTCACGTTACTATGAATGACAAAATAAAGAGAGCAGGCATGGAATATGAAGTAGCCCTCTTGAAAAGGAAAATGTGGACAGATGTAATTAAAATCTCTGAAGAGCAGAAGAGACTTTCCAACAATCCCCAGGATAGTTATTCTTGGAGCCTAAAACAAAGGCTATTTTTCACCTCATCATTTCCCCCAAGATGCACTGCAGGGAAAAACATACTCATTGTACACTACAAAAATGACTTGTTTTTCTAAGAATTTTCAGCAAACATACCTTATTCCAGTGATGGCTAATCTTTTTGCCATCGCATGCCAGGAAAGGGGGGGCGGGGGAGGGTCACGTGCCATACACATGCACGCGCAACCTCCCTCCCCACTCCTGGCACATGATGGCCTGGTAGGCCTGTTTTTCTTTCTTACCTGGTTCCAGATCCTCTCTATTTATCTGGGAAGGGTGAAAACAGCCTTTCTCACTCTCTCGGAGGCCCTCCAAAGGCCTGAAGCAGCCCATTTCCCAACGCCCGGTGGGACAGGAAAAAAGTCCCTTCCTGTTCCACCGGGAGTTGGGAAATGGGGCCTTTCAGGCCTCCGAAGGAGTGGAAAAGGCTGTTTTCGCCTTCCCCAGATAAATAGAGAGGATCTGGAGCCAGGTAAAAAAGAAAAACGGGCCTTCCCCACCCTCCTAGTCCCTCCAGAGGCAGGAAACAGCTGGAAACAAACTTCTGGTGGGCCCAGAAGGCCCAAAAATCGGCTGGTGCGCGCATGCACCCCAGAGCTGAACTGGCATGCCCACTAATATGGCTCCGCGTGCCACCTGTGGCACGCGTGCCATAGGTTCGCCATCCTGGCCTTGTTCAAGCTAGTTACTAAGTCTGCATTACTATTAATCTTTTCATCGTTCCTATCACCCATCTCCTTCCACTTATTGATAAATACTGAGATGGGTAGGCAGAAATGAGGCCAATTCAATTAACCGTAACTATTCCGTTAATTAGAACGAGTTAACAGCAACGGCTGGATCTCTACAACAACAATTAACTGAGGAACTAAGCAATTCTGTCAGGCTTTGACAGCTCTTAAATACCCGAGCTGTCAGCGTCTTATCCAATGAGCGCTCTGCTCATTCCCGCCAGAAGAGCACCCTCACCTGGTGGTGGCAGACACGCATGCGCCAATCTGTCAGTACATAACACTTATAACTGTATGACTGCAGTGGTGGGTTGCCCCCAGTTCACACTGGTTCTATAGAACTGGTAGTAAAACCGGCAAGAGGCTCCGCCCACCGACCTTGACATCATTAAAACGCTTCTGCGCAGAAACTTCTGTGCTTACGCAGAAGAGTGTGTGTGTGCGAGCGAA